ACGGTAGGGAATGTTGCCTGAGCCGTTGGGGCCGACGACCTGGAAAGCGAAGTATGCGTTGAGGCCCATGCCTGGACTGTTCTGTCTGTCAGTGAATGCCAGATTTGGATACGAGACAAACACTTACGCAAGGGCCACTGGCAGATTGGTGAAGAAACCAAAGATGAAGCTAGCGAGGCCGGCGATGGCAGCAGTCGCAGTGATCAGGTCAAGACGAACATCTAGCAAGGTTAGCCGGGCTCATTGCGTGATCTCGGCCGACTAACTCTCTTTGCAAGCCTTGTAGCTGTCGATGTTGTCGCAGTCGGCTCTGTTTACCAAGTCGCACTCACAAGTTCCGCCTGTCTGCGAGAGAATGATTGCCTAGGCTGATCAGCACATAACCCTCACAGTCAGTCAAGGATATACACTCACATTGACAGCGATGATGTACGCCATGGTCGCAAAGGTGGTCACTCCCGCGCGAATCTCCCTAAAGAATGATGTATCGGGAATCTCCTTAGGCTGTCCGGGGTTAGAGAATTTGGCAACAGAGGCAGGGGGAGAAAACATACATGGCCGCTTCCCTCGAGTCTGAAGATTCGTCCAAAGGTGGACGTGGAGATTCGCTTGTCGCAGCGATCGACAGCTTTCCACATAGCATGGAATCTGTGGCCGATGGCGGATCGACGAACGGGCGACTCGACGGGCTCCAAACGCTCCATGTTGGAGTGAGTCGACATGTTGCTCATAGCGAGCGATGGAGGAAGGAGAGTCGGTGGACGAGCGTCCAGGCGACTCGGAGAGGTAGGTGGTAGTGAGTGGTAGGGAGGCCCGAGTGGTGAGGAGGTTGTGGTACAGGACTCAGTACAAAGGAAGAAGGTTGAGATGTCTCAGAGTCCTGTACGAGGCGAGGCGGGAGGTGGTTGGCACACAATCGGCGAGGAGGCAGGAGGGAAAAGAATGAGGAAAGCCGCAGGAGAACCTGGAAGTGAGGTCCGGCGGGTGTTGGAACCGAGATGGGAAGGATTGAGTGGAAGAAAGGAATGTACAGTGAGGTGACGAGAACCTGAGGCAAGTCCAATATTCGGAACTTGGAAGAGGTGGTACCCAGAACGGCCTGGCAACGAGACCGAATCCTGCGGGAAGGATCGATAAAAGAGCTGTCTTGGAAAAGGAGAAGAAAGGGAAGGCAGATGCACCGTTGGAGAAGAAAGTGAAGGTGCGTTAATGGTCAATGGAATGCCTAGAGAAGGGAAGAACCTGGAAGTGGAAGGGGCGAAAGTGGCAGGATGAATTATATCCTTGCTCGCTCCTGCCCATGTCTACTGCACACCTGCACACCTGCAAACGACCCCATCGTAGGTACCTACATACCGATACCTTACCAGACTTGCCTACCTACCTCAAGCTTGTACATGCATCTCCTGCATCTCCTGGGCGACATCCAATGTCTCTTCTTCCCCCCTCTTCCGAGAAGGATACCTTTCCTCGCCGAGTTGACCCTGCTTTAGTCTGCCACTTTCTGAGGTACGCCAGTGAAAGAGGGTGTACCAGTCTTTCTTTTCCTCAGCAAAACCTATACTGCGCCAATGCCGCGTGGAGGTGGGGAACGTCTTGCGGGAAGTCCACATCGCGGGTTTAGCCTCCAGGCCTGAGGAGGAGAGAAGTTCCAGGCCGCCACTATCAGCCGCGGCTTGTCTCTTCCCACGTTGACGCGAGGCGCTAGCCTCATGGGAGATCTACACTCGCCAACCGGGACGTGGAGGTGCTCGTGCTAATCTGCCATCAAAGGACATTGCGAGAGAGCTCCTCCTAAACCGGCCATTTCTCGACGCCACGAATGTTCAAAAAGCTTGAGCCCCCAAAGCCGGACGACGACGCCTTTTTTTTTTTTTCAACGATAAACGCCATATCCATTGATTCACCACAAGGCCTCGCCGACGGGCTTCGAGCCGGCCCTCATCATCAATGCCTACGCACCAGACTTTCAAGCCACGACTGATATCGAGTCCACGCTCTCGTACGAGCTGATAGACTTTCGGGAGAGCAACGATACCATCCATCACGTTAGCTCGAATATCCCAAGAAACGAACTCCATCTGTGCGCAACGCCTCACGAACCTACGACCCAGCTGTCAGGTTAGGCGCGTCTTAGTCTTGCTCTTCAACCGCTCGGATTGCCGAAGAACTACGCCATTGTCCGAACGAGGCATTGGAGTCGCCTGCTTTCTGGCCTTATCGTCGATGTCGGACCCCGTCGCGATAGCTTCAACATCGGAGACCGCCCAATCGGCCTTGAACTCAAGCCCTCCATCGCCCAGGCCTATCCAAAAACGTTCGCCATCGTGACTCTGTCCCCTATAATCGATCAAGCCGCAGCCAATGGCCTACTTGACTATCCCTTTCTTCATCTGGCCGCTCAGCTTTGCCGTCTTTCCAGATGATAAACCAATTACAACGGGAAATCCAGCCATGAGGCAATTTCTTGCCTGCAGGCGGCCGCTGCAGTGTATACCTTGGCAAGCGAGACATGTCTCGAAGCTCCTTGATAGGACCACCAAGGTCGGTGACCGGTGCTTTGCATCATATGCGGGAAATTCGTCCTTGTACCGAGATTGAGCTTGTGACAATGTTCTGCTCTCGCATCAGCCCCTGCTGACCATTGCCTAGCTATCACCTGTTTGCTCTTTTGCGGCTGACCTTGCGTGTGCTACAGCCGTCATCAGTCTGACTTGAAGCCCTCCTCACTGGCCAGTTCTCCGGAGGACTCAGACATACGCACGTCGTACCTTGCCTACGCATTATGCACTGCTACAAAAGGCCGCTATTTTCCTTGCTCGCTCGCTTCTTTATCGTCCAGCACTACGGAGAGTTTAACGTCGGTCCTAGACCACGCCCGATGCGTCGTGGCCAAAATGTCAAAGGGAGAGGTGCTCCGTGCTTGTTGGGATGGAGCTATCGTGATCCGATCTTCCTCCGGTATTCAGCGGTAGGCCGTTAGGAGATGTTGGAACATGTTTGTGGCCAGGCCCGTTGGCAATTTCGAGTTGGTCGCAGGTGATGGTTGGCAAACTGGGCCCTTTGGGGGTAAGGTATGCCGCATCTAGAAAGGGCTCAAGAGTCAAGACACTCTTCTGGATGGCACGAACGGGAAGTGGAAAGACCACAAAGGCCCTCTGACTCTGGCTGGAATTGAGCTGGGACTTGCTTGAGACCTCGTTGGATTGGGTCTTTGTTGGAATAAGCAAAGGGAAAGAATGTTTGCTCTCCATTGTCTGAGTACCTTGTTATCGAAGAAAGTTAATTCTTTCTAAGTTATAAGTATAAGAATATAGTTTTAATAAAATAGTATAGTACCTACCTAGTACTTAAATTAAGATACTTTTTTAAGCTTGCTATAAGAGAAAGATAACTATATTACTAATTACTTATTATCGAGGTCCGTAAGTAGCGCTATAGCTTTAATCGCTATAGCTTTAACTATAATAATTTTATTCGTAATAAGCAAAAAATCTAATTATAAGTCCCTTAAAAGCCTCTTATTAAGAGCTATAAGAGCCTCTGAGTTAAGTTAAAATGCTTACTAAGATATTAATAACTAAACTAACCTTATAATAACGACCTTAATAAAATACTTAGTAAATAACGTTAAAATCCTTACCGACGTTAAGTATAATTTATAAAGTATAATAACGCGGCCGTAAAGTATTATTAATATATCCTATATTAAAAAGAGTATTATTAGTACTAACGAGACGGATAGGGCCGTATTAATATAGCGCCTCGGCTTCTTCTTATAGCTCGAGGATAATCGCTTTAAATAGTATTAGAAGTTTATTAAAAAGCTCTTTTAAGTACTCCGGTATATTTATTACTATTTCTATAATAGTAAGACTCCCGGCGCTTATATATAAGAGTAGGTTACTTACTTCTAAATAGTAATACTAGCTTATTAATAAGCTATCGAAACTGCGATTCTAGCAATCCCTTAACGAGGGAGAGGGTGGAATGGAGGAAAGGATGGGTGAGAAAAGGGTTGAGGTTGAATAGTGCGGAATTCGAGGGCAGGGTAGCGTCTATATGTACTGCGGCAATCCTCTAGTAATGCAAAACGATGGAGTTAAACAGTGTGCTCTCCATTGTCGTTGGTTGGCAAACTCGCTTAAAGTGGCCAAGTGAGCCGCCAAAAGGATAGTGGAGGGTGGCATGGATCGCTCCGCGGCGCACCTGGGCGTGTTGGGCTTGGCCGGACGATGCCATCGCTGAGTCGTGAGTGGTCCCTGGGCCACTAAGGTGCTTTAGAGTAGGCTTGCCAGCAGTTACGGCCGCCAGGACGTGCCCCGCAGACTGCAAAGTCCCCTGACACGGGCCCCCTAGCGGCGCCGCTGCAGTGGGAAGCTGGAACCTGACCACTCACGAACCACCTTGTCCCCCAAGACGGTTTAGATCTGGCAGACCTCAGGGGTGGCCCTGCCCCGGATTGCCGTCTCCCTGCAGATCCACCCGCGCCCTGAATCCAATCTGTGATCCCGACTCTTCCACCTTGCAGACGACATCCCAGTGGCCCTCTTTCCCTGCCTTGCACTCCATCTCACTCTTACCTTAGCCTTTGGGTTGAGTCTTGCGAGTCTTCCAACGCCAACACCAAACATCGGACTACGATGCCACCGCCGTGGCTTCGCAGCTAGCCACTTATCAGCCCCTGCTCAAGTGTTGACGTTTGCCCAGACCAGTGGCCCCCTGGACCCCTTCACAAACACATCCACGACGTCTCATCGTCTGCTCTCTGCTCCCAACAAGCGGTCTGCCGGTCCGAGTCTCTGGAATCCGCTTCGAGCGGGTACTGTGTAGGCTGCAATGCCACCATATCGCCCGGATCGTCACTTTCTCGCCGGGGTCATGGACATCCCCGGACGACTTGACCGGATGCCTTCCGCAAGACGGTCTGCCGGGACCTACAGAGCCACCAGACTGCAGAGTTGACAGCTGAAGACGACACGACCGCGTCTGTCATGGACTCATGGAGAGATTCTGTACGACGGCTTCCCCGCCGGTCTTGCCGCTTCGCTGCGGATCGAGAGGAGCACCGCCTTGAGTCGAGAAGGCAGCTTGCAGCTGTCTTCAATGGTGCGAGGGCACTTTGCAAAAACGGAAGCAAACACGGCCCCGATGCTTCCCCATCGCATGTCTAGCTCACTTTCGTCCAGCACGAATGGTGTGCACCAGGCAATTTGGATTCCAAAGATGCGGCTAGTTTCCACAAAGACGCAGCTCGACGCGCGAACTTGTCGATAGTCCACAGCCCCCAAAGATAGCAATGGGTTTTGCCATGTGGTCGGCAACGTAAGCTTCGCACCGTCCCTTTCGCTGAAAGCTTCCATGGGCGCCGTCTTGGAGTGTTCGGGGCAGGGGCAGTAAAGCAGGACACAATGAGCATGTCCTGGTTTGCCTGCCCTTTTGCGTTCCATTCTGGCCAAGAATGAGGGTCGCAACGTGCCTGGAGTCAAGGGAGGCCGGGCAATGGAATTCTGCTGTTTGACAATGCGAAACCCGTTGACGGTTCGGAACGGTTCGTGAAGAAGAGCATTCATCTCAATATTTCCTCAACCAATGTGGCACGGCGCGATGCGTCCCGTTGACGTTGGCTGCCACAAGTCGCCGCTGTTGTGCCTGGTGCAACTGGCAGTTCGGGCGTACAGTCACTTCTTGTCTGTGAGCGAGGGCAAAGTTGACGATGCCGGCTGGGACGCCCTTGTCTGGTGGTGGTGGAATAAGCAACGCGGGAGGAGGACGGATTGAGACAATGAAAAACACTTGCCGATCAATGTCCAATGATTCTAAACCAGCACGACCAGATGGATGGGGGGCCCAAGGGCCATGACCGGCAGGACGCCACAAAATCTCAGATGACTGCATGGGCTATCGGCGAGATTGAGAGGGGAGCCAAGACCAAGGGGGTTCAAGGAAAGCCGGTTGTGTTAGTCCCAATTCGATATATGGACAAGCCGGGGAGCACAAATTCATACTGGAGCTTGATCGACCGCCGACTCGGCTTGCGAACCAACCTGCTTGCCCAACAGTATCAACTGGTGTCCTGGTCCTATCCATAGCACGGTACATAATCAGACGGACACGTACGATCACACACTGTCGAACCTGGTTCCTGTTGGAAGAGAGAAAGTAATTACCTATTTGTACAAATACAAATCTCTCGGAACGGGCCACTCACTCTCTTCTGACGCACTCTTCCCGCTCTTGTGTCATTTGTTTCTATTCTTCATCAAGTACCGAGAGGCTGGCCCGTTTGTAGGTTGCGCACTTCATACTCCCGATTCCACAGGTTGTTGTCGTCGGCCGCACCGGATCTCGACCTGGAGTTATCATCCCTCACGTTGCATTTCGCATCTGCGGCGCGTGTCGAATCTCCTGCAGCTGCCGCACAAGCACGACGACAACCGGAAGCGACGCTCGTGCACGTCAACTGTCAACTGCCATCTATCTGCAGTTTCGCATACCGCATCTTTGCATCCGCGTCCGCGTCCGCGTCCTCGCCCTCATCCTCGTCTTCCCTCGGTCCTTCCTTCCCCCGGCTTCCATTCTATACCTGACGTCTCCTGCCTTCCCGATTGATACAGGTTTCGCGTGGTCCTCCTGATACACTAGCGCCCTTCTCAATCAGAACTGCACCTGCCTCTGCCACATCGTGACTGCCCTTTCTTCTCCTGCCATCTTTTCTCGGAATTGGCCAACCAACACATTCAACTTCCTCCGTACACCACCTGCCGACGTCGGCTTCCCATTTTCACTTTGTCGAATCTTCCCTCCCTTCGAGACGGCACTCTCGTCAATCCGATTTCTTGCATCTCCCCCCTATTCAACCTTCGCCGGCTCTCCTCCATGGTCCAGGCTGTCGGTCATCGCAGCTTTTCAACCTTTCACCCCTGCGACTTCCTACTGCCGACCGCAAGTGTATCTTAACTTCATCCTCACTCACTTCTACGACGCGAATCATCGGACGGATTACGACCTCAGCCTCCACAGGGCCCAAACGTTCAGCAACACGCCGTTTTCCGAACTTCGGGCATGCGATTGATTGGCCGGTTCAAGCTCACAATTTTGCGTCTCAATCAGCATCAAAGCCGCCTGGCCGTGTATTCACAGCATCCCTAACACCTCACCTGGCCACTCGGATCGTTATTGCAACACACGTCTCTCGTTTGGACCGACGAGAAACGACTCGCAATGTGGGAAGTCGTGTGGACGGACCCCGACAGGGAGTCTAGGAAGGAGCACCGCGAGAGGAAAGCAGTTGAGCGGGAGCACAAGGATAAGACCAGAGTATCTAGGAGTTCCATGTCCACTCGCAGCTCTTCATCGTCCGACAACAAACCGTTCAGCTTCTTCGGATCTAGGAGTCTTAAGAGGACACTGACACCATCGAGCACCAAAACATCCACCACACACGCTCTCAAAGCCCCGAGCATCGATAGCACATTCAGAGGCTCGCTATTGTCAGCTGTCTCGGAGCCACCGCCACTACCCACGGAGCTCCCATGTAGCCCCGTCACCACGGTCGACCGCACTTACATGCCGCTAGAGCAGCATTCTGTCGAGTCACAGCAGAGCTCACCAATCTCATCCAACAGAGGTAGACAAGCCCAATTCCACAAGCTTGCCACAGCTCACTGATATTCAGGATTCCTAGACTCTGTTTTCTCTAAGTGGACAGACACCTCTATGGGCGGTCCGACATCCCCATGCAATACATCGGTCGCCGAGTCGACGTCGGCAAAGAGGGAACATTACGTGCAGACCCTCGGCCCAACCTCATTTATCACCAAAAGCACAGAGGTCACCATCCTGCCTCGTACGATAGAAAACGATATCTCAGGCATGATCTCTCATATAACCATCACAGCTGAGCCAGTCAAGGAGGAGCCCCCAACACCTCCACGTTCTCCAGCGGCGCAGTAAGTGCCTCGCAATCCCCTTACAGCATCGTCACTGACAAGATATAGGCCGGCGGTAACAGCCATGATATCACCGGCCATGCTCGACTCGCCTGTCAACCTTTTTCCTGGACATTCTAGTCCGCAGCGTTCATTGCGGCGAGTTCCTTCATGGTCCATGGCCTTCAAGCCCAACAACCCAGACTCCTGGAGACCACCAGATGCCTGGGACTGTGGTCCACCTCCGGAAGTGCGAACGCCAATGATTGAGGCGGTCATTGAAGAGACACCAGAGCTCGATGCCGCATGTGCCATGTCCATGGATCTTAATGGGATGCAGCGTGAGATCAGGCGAATGGCCGCTGCAAGCCATAGCATTCGCCTCTTGCGGTTGAAAGAGGTTTGGGGCGAGACCACCGATGCTAGCCTCTACAAGGAGCTTGAGATGGAAAAGAAGAGATGGATGCTTTCTTCTTTGCACAACATGGACAAGCCAGTGGAGGTGGACCAAGCGAAGGCTCATCCCAACAAAATTACTCCTGCCAAGGCGAAGAAGGTCCTCGCGCTTTACGAGACTCAGGGTAAGTAGAGGCAAAACTCAACTTTTCGTCACTCTGACTAACTTGCACAGCAACAACCTCATACCTGGCCGCCATCCACTTCAATAAGCAAGTGTACCATCTGGCTTCATCGCCGCTGTCTCACACACTCTTTCCAAATATCCACCCGGTTAATGTACCTGCCATTTCGCCATCGGCCTTCCCAGTGGCCCCGTCTCTGTTCGGCATAGTCTACTCGTTGGCACTACCGGCGCTTCTGCCATCGCCTGAAGTTCCCAGTCTTCTCAAAAATGTTCACCGGTGCCTCGCTGCCGGTGGTGCCTTTCACCTTACGTTGATCGACCCCCTTCCCGTCACGAGTACGTTGGGTCCTCTGATGCGTTCGTGGATTGAGGAAAACCTCATCTTCAACCTAGAGAAGAACTTCCGCTGCATGAATCCAAGCAAACTCTTCCCTCTGTGGTTAGCAGATGCTTCCCTCCGTGCTGAAGGCAGTACCATCACCACTGTGAGGTTTTCCGCCATACCACCAACAGACAGACCAGACACGGCCACGACCGATGCCGAGGTGCTTGCAGATAAGGCTGTCAAGCAGGAGCTCCGCAGTATCGTCGGCCGCATGCTGTGGAGGGAAGTATGGGGACAGTACATTACTGCAGATCAGTGGTGGTGGGAGAACCCCAGAATTGTGGAAGAGTGTGAGCAGCTCAAAACAGCGTGGGAGTACAGCATCATCGAGGCGGTCAAAGAAGCGTGATGATAGTCGCTCTGTCTCAAACTGGTTGGTTCTCTCGCGAACCAAAAACGAACGGATGGAATGTTTTTGTCACTTTGAGGGAGCAGAGGTGTTTCCCTCGGTACGGCGTTGGAGGCCAGATTTCTTTCACAATACCCCCCCTGGATGGCCGACAGAGCCACTTGCTTTACATATCGGCTTGGGAAACGGATCCAACGGGACACGGTGTGATTTTCTATGTATGCCACTGTGCTCTCATTTATCAGGCTTCTTGGGAACTTCTGAGAGGCCGGGTGGGCCCGCAGCATTACGGAAGAAGGCGCTGCCACTATACGTTGGAATCAGCTGTATTTATTACTTTGCAAGAGTACCCAATGTCGGCAGCAGAATTATACAGACTTGAATCACGTATCGTTGCGGTGAAGTCTATGTCAGTCGGTGGATGTCGCTCGTGGAACAGACTTGCCAACCTTTGAGTGTGAAACGTATCCGGCGAGGTTCCCGAAGCTTGTGCTTGACATTTGACCGTATGACTCGAATATTTAATGATGTGTCTGAATTTGACAGGTCGAAAAAGAAGAGCAGCAGGCAGATTTGTTTGGTTTTCATTTCGGCTATGAAGGCAACCCCAGATGAGTTCGGATTTACCGGGCAGAGAGTTTCCCAGCATCCCCCCCGCACATCAAGTTCAGGAACCGACCTTCATCTTTAGAGGGCTCCACGATGATGGGACCCTGGTGTTAAGACGAACTATCGCTTGAGGGCTCATCCTGGCCCCGTCTTCCCCGCATTATCCACTTCGTTTCTTACATCGCGGGAAACTTTTGGAGAGTTTGATTCTGGCATATAGTGTAGGGCCGGGACCACAGAGTTGGTGTCTCATGCTAGGCGTCGGAGGCCGTACTCTGCCGGCTGAATGATGCCAAGATGAGAATTTGGAGGTGCGCGTAGGTGGTAGTGGCTCATGGGGCCGGAGGAAGGACAGTCGACACACTTGAAACACGAAAGAAATGAACGTAAGTTTGCCTAGTTCTGAAGGCACCGTGATCTGCTCGTCTTCTATCCATCCCACCCTGCTTTCTTATCAACGAAAAGATGAGAGATATTGACTGACGCGAAGAGGTTTAATGATGAACAACATGCTTATTGCTGGCCGACTTATTTCGGATTCAACGCATTTCTTCTCGTCATTTCCTGCCCGCTCAATATCTCTACTCTCCTTCCGAAAGTGAGTGTTGATAATCTCTATACTCGTAGGTATCCTCAGAATAGTATTCATCCCGTCTCATGGTCGTAGTCTTTTCTCTTTGATGTTAGCGCAAAGGGCTCTTATCAAGCTTGAGTAACACAAGAAAGGGGTCGGGGGTTCGTAGTACCTCAGGGCTGAAATCTTCTCTTCTCTTCTCGTCAAGTACCTCGTTCTCATCTTCTCTCTTCTCGAGCAGTTCCTCCATTTTCTCCTCCTGTTTGGAGGTTTGCATATCGTTGTTATCGCAGATGATTATTGTGGCGAAACCCGCTGTGTAGAGGCTGACTAGGGAGACGGCTAGGAAAGTTGCGAAGAGCGGCATCATGGAGGGAAGTTGTGGAGGTATACTTTTGAAGAGGGTTGGTGTATTCGAAGTTGGGGTGGAATGAAAGCTGGTGGGATGATGTCTGTCGTAGTTGATATTGGAAGAGGAAGTCGATGCTGTCTGATATTTTGTAAATGTGATGTGTATGTGTCGGGTTTGGTGGTTTCTCTTCTTGTCACGAGTATATCAAAGATATGGAAGGAAAAGTTTGCATCTCCTCAAGGTTTCTGTCTGTAATAACCATACCCCATCGTGAACAGCGACAGCTGCTCAACCTTTGCGGGCTGAAGCGGTTTGCCAACCTTGAGTTACTATTCGCGGCACATGGTGTCATTTAGGGGCAGATATTACCCATTAATACACATGCAAAGGTTTCGAAAACGGAGTTGACGATATAGTTTTCCACGATGATATTCACATTGAACAAGGCTATCGAGTTCCTCGACTTATAATGCTTCTATGAAGACTACATCGCGTGGAAGTCTGGATGGAAGATATGAAGCTAAGCTATCTACACCTCACTCCGACAGAGGGAAGATGAGCATTAGAGCGAAATGTAGTACTAGAGTCGGCCTTGGGCAAGAATATCGGTTTGCAGGACATCAGCATCTTCTCAAATCCGACCTCGCTCCGTCGCACTCGTGCCATCTCCTCAAAGGACATTAGCAAACGTATCTACCTACGAGAAGGGCGAGTGTACAGCCCGATTCTTCCGTTGTATAGCCAAACCGCACCAGGTCAATACAGTGATTACGGATAGCCACAGAGAGATGAAAAGAAAAAATGAAAAAAAAAAAATGAAAAAAAAAAAATGAAAAAAAAAAGAGCAGTCATACGATTTGTAAGGCACATACACGTGTTGCGTCCCCAAAACTGCGGTACTTCTTGCGCTTTGACGTCCCTCTGGTAAGAAAGTCCCCAAAAAACAGGGCTTGCTAGGAGCAGCCACTGCCGTTGAAGAACGCCCTAGATCTTCATCACCGTTGAGAGAGACTGAGAAAAAGTCGGCGGGCAGGGGTGGGGCTGACTTGGACTCGACCGTATCGGCATTCATTGGCATGTGGGTGTATCTGGCATTGTTGTTGTTGTTTTTTTTGCCTCGGGACTCGGGCAGACGGTATTCATCCCGCCACTACTTCGTTATCTCTGAAGTTGGGGGGATGTTGATCTTGTGATTGTAATTATTATTATGTAGTGATCCGCGGCCCGCGCGATGCTTTTGCTGCAGGTACGCTGCAGGGCGAACATATCCATACATATTGCATCGGGCCACCAGGGAACCGTCATTGCTTTATCTGAGTTTGTGTCTCGGGTCTGGTGGCTCGTCAACTCGTTGAACGCTCGAGTCACATCGTCATCGACGAAAAAGAAGAAACGACGGATGTCAAATGAGGTACGGCCATATGACGGCCACAGGAGATGCAAGGGCACCATCATCCTGCGCGCCCACACAAGTTATCACGATGAATGAGAGCGCGCGGGGGTTCACTTCACGTCCGGATCCTCGGCCTCCACCAGCGCGCGGGAAGAAAAATCAGCCACGTAAAAACGAAAATCTCCAAAGCTGCGCCCGCCCCACCGTAGCTTAGACATGCATTTCGGAAATCGTGTAATCCAGACCCCCCAGAAAGCAACCGTGACGGCAGATGAAACGGGATCGTCGGGAGCGGTTTACCATTCGAGAGAGCAAGTGCCGTGGTACCGTGGTATCGTCAAATGTTGCTTCGTCGGGACTCGGGGAATTTTGACTGCTACAGTGCTACTGTCTGCATGCCTGCATCGTCTTGCATGCGACTTCTTACACTAGAGAATGGATATCAATAGTCCCGTTTCTCGATGAGGATCAGATCTTCGACCGCGGCATTTCTTGTCGTTTGGTACACTACATTGGTTGAAGCTGCCATTTGTCTTGATGGTTCCTCCACGGGCCAGGAACCGCCCTGAGCCCGCGGTGTCTATCATGTACGTATAGAGTAATAGTGTCATGTTGGGGGTATAGGGCGACAAGGATTGAAATGCTTGTCAAACCGTCAGAGCAGAGCAGAGAAGAGCAGGTGAAGGAGGGGTTCCAATAGCAAGAGCAGTCACTTCTAAACTATGTTGGCGGGAATATTGCGAATCGGCGAGATGAAGCAACCCGCCCAGTTCAACACTCCAAAACCAACATCACCTCTAGCTTCGAGACCATGGTGATTAATACAGCATCATTCTAGCCAACGCAGGCAAACAAACCAGGGCAGATGCAACGGAAGAGCACGGCGAGCTCGAGGTGATCCCTTGCATCGAAGCCAAGATTCGGGGAAGCAAATCCGCCCGAGAAGGCATCGCCAGGTTACCAACTTCCCCCGCGCTCTTCCATCGTTCTCTGTTATTTCCGCAGCCATTCTCTGAGGACGAGGTGCGCGATTGTCAATCAGGTCGACTTTCAAAAGTACATGCGGTAATGAACACCCCTGTATGCCCCTGCATGCGCGCCGCCAAGGTTCCCCTCCAACTTGGCTTTGTGGGATTGCGTGGGATCTTTTTTCTCCAGAAACCCACTGGGCTGGGAAAGTGGGTTTGCGTGGGAATAGGGAATGGAATGGTACTCGGGCAATTTGCTCCATCTTCTCTGCAACCCCCAAGTCCAGCGCAGACCTCGTCCCAGAGGATAGAGGGGCGGTGTATCCGTAATTCTTTCTCTCTCTCTTTCTCTCGAGTAAAGATTGACTAAAATCTTCATCAGCGTCAAGCAATGTAAAACTTAAAAAATTTGGTCTGCACAAATTTTCGTCAGTCCTGACTAAAGACTTCTTTCCTAGTACACTGCGTACCTGCTCAGTGACATGGCTCCCAGCTAGGACTGAGACGAGTGTCCCCTGAGAAGAGATCAGCCAGCCGCAGAAACACCGACAGCAAGTCAAGACGGGAGGCTGTAACACGAAGCCCGACACTCAAGAGACGAAAGGAATGGAGGGCAGCGAAGCAAGGCAGGAAGAGGGGAAAAAATGACACAGACAACCCCCGCGTCCCAGCAGCCGTCTGCATAACCAAAAGACAAACGCGAGGTGCCGGCAGCTTGGCACCCTGGAAAGGGACCACGAGTTCGTTTGCTCAGCTTTGCTCGTGCAGCTGTCTTCGCAGAACACGCACCGCCCCGAGAAACGTGCGTTTGGAACAATTTCTGAGCTCACGGACCGTTGGGAGTGTCGATCCATTACGTTCTCTGCAATTAGAAAGAGAGAAAAAAGAGTCCAAGCACTACCCGCAACATACATACTTACGTGCTCTGCTTATACGGCACGGCTCCTGCGCGCGCGTAGTGCCCTGAGACGAGACCAGACGACACCAAGACGAGACGAAAAACCCAAGTCCAGACTTAGACTACCCGAGGAGGAGGAGCGCGCCGTTGGAAAAATGCAGGAATCCATCTTAGTCTTCGGGACCGACGGCACGTGGAAGCTGAATGCGCTTTCTCTCTTCTCAAGTTAGTCCGTCTGGTCGTGAGCGCCAGTCTCAACGGCGTCTTTTTCGTGGCGTTGTGGGCAAAATACATTTACTAGAGACAACGAGTTCGTCAAGAGACGTTACATCAAGGAGACTTCACAAGGCGGAAATGTTGAAGTTCTGCAGAGTGACAAATGAATAATAAATGATGTGTTTTCTACAACCAACAGATTTTACAGACAAGATCGTTATAAATATCCAGCTGGGGCATGCCAACGCAACGAATGCCCCCCAAAAGCAAAAAACTGAAACCTGCTTCCGCGGCAGGGCCTCCCAAAACAACAACATGGCTTCGGGGTATCATCCACAAGAAATTGTTTCGCTATCGTGACAAGGGCACATCTCCTTCACACACTACGACCGCGATGGCTGCTCATTCGAAGCCGGTCGACTATTCGTAAGCTCCGTTATGCTTTCACTCTCGTAGTTTTTTGTCCTGCGGTTCTGGCTCGGGATCTTGAACTGGTCGCTGTGCCTGAAACTACCCACAATTTCCGTCACATCTGGCCGTCGAGACGAATATTTAATATCGGTCCATAGCGTCTTGCAGGCTTTCCATGAAGTCACCACATAGATGAGCGCATTCCAGAAGCCCTGAAGCGGGAGAACAAAGGCACTCATAAACTCTAGCGGCGTCGAAGACTCCTTGGTGTGTATGACCGAGTAGACGCGGTTGGCGCTCGACGGGACCCAAGTGATCAAAATGACTGTAAAGAATAGGATCGAACACTTGGTGTAAGACCAAGCCGCGTTGTTGAGCTCGTAGTTGCGTCGACGAGCAGAGTTCATCGGCCGCTGGGCGGAAGTATCCGCCGTGTTACTTTCGGTAGGCGGGATAGCCGCTTCGGCTTGTGATTCATTGCGGCTATAGCGATTGGCAGAAATGCTGACAGAGTAAGCAGCGTTGGGTAGTCGTGGGACTGGCCCGGCTTCCGAGCCACGTCTTCCCACTGTGGCAAGACCAATAGAACCCTGAGGCTGATCCATCGCTTCCGAGGTGACGTAGACTTCGGTCGTCTTCATCGAGGTTAGAACGTCGTGGAACGAGTTCATTTGGTCGTGGTCCGAGGAGCTAAAATTGTGAAGCTGCTTTCGCTTTTGGTAGATTTCTCGGCCCGCGCGGATGTAGATGAAGAAAGTGATCAAAATTGCAATCCTGGAACAATTAGCAAAGCCCAATTGAAGCGACAAATAAACCTACCAAACGGGTCCGTAGAATGTGAGAATGCGCCAGATCTCCCACTCAGGTCGAATCCAGCACCATAATGTCGCGTTGCCATAGACCCTCAATCCATCGCCGTTCCTGACAAAGACATAGACCAGGGCTGGGATAAAGGGAATTCCATAACAGCAAACGAGATACGGTATCTCCATTCTCCGTAGTCTTTCGGCGTCGAACTTGTAGTAGAATGTCAAGTAGACGTTGATAGCCATAGTAAGCGTCCAAAATGCATCAGCCGGCATGAACCTGCAGTGTGTTAGTCGCGAACCAGTAGCGGGGCCGATATACCAACATTTGAACCAGGAACGCCTGAAGCTGGCAGCCTGGCGAGTCCGGAGAACCAATGTAGGACCTTGCCATGAGCGTTCCAACGTTCGTCATCATATTTCCAAAGGAAGCGAAGAATACAAGCCGGTTGATGGGTTTGTGGAACGCTCTAGACGAGCAAAATGTGACAATGATGAATACACATCCCAGCAGCGAGAAGACCGAGCAGGTTCGTTCTATGATACTGAGAAGGTCGAGGTCTCCTTTGTCCAAGTTGGCCTTCTCTTGGGGTGTGTCCATTTTGTCGATGGTAGTATACGGAACCGGCAAAGGCCCTTTTGTGTGGCCGGGTCGATTTACACGGTACGAAACAGCGTCAGACTGGTGTCTGCGTTGACGGCAACCAGTGATGTTTTGAACAAGTGGTAGTGATTGTCGACGGCTTTGGTCGTGGGCCTTGCTCGAAATGTTGTAAATCGGTTTCGTGAAATGGTGGATGGCCAACCGTTCAAGTACGCTGACCTCCCTCACTGAAAGGTCCCAGCCAACGAAAGTAGCGACGACTCCGACGAGCAACGGGTTGTAAAGGTGTTGCCCAACCCAATAGGGGCAGTCCAATATGTCAACTTCCTATCAAGATTCTATGCGAACTCCTGACCAGGATGGTCTGCAGGAGAGCACAAGCGGATGTGCTGAGCCAGAATCCAGGAACCGAATTGTCGAGAAACGAGAACCAACATGGTCCGGAAAAGGCGTAGAAGACGGGATCAAAGATGATGGCAACGACGGTAAAATGTAAGAAAAGAGGAAAGGAGCCAGTCATCAACTCATCGAGGCGCCGCAGGCCCTGGGCCTTCGCATGGCGTGTAGCAGGGGCTGTGTAGGGCCGGATTGGCCAGGATGCTGTCGAGACCATGTTCCATGTTGGGACGGGGCGTGTAAGTAAGTACGTGAGTACCCTCCTGGACACCCTCTTGGGCAGAGAACCACGGGAGAGAAGACACTACAGATACCTGGCAATTGCTGGAGATTTGGTGTGGTCGCCATGTCCGCGTGAAGAGAAGTGTGAGGGCACTAGGGAGTTAGAGGATGGATGTTGTGGAAGCTGGAACAGGCCAAGTGAAGGACTTAGCTCGCCGCATCCGGACCCACTGGAACCAGCTTGGCGCGGGGTCGGACGAACCTGGGGACGCCAGGGACCCCTGGTTGATTCCCTCCAGCAGCACCGTTACAAGGCCCCCCTGGCCCTGGGCCAAAGTTCTTCGTTAGGTGGGTGAGCTGTCGAGCTGCATATCCGTAGGTATTCTGCAGTGCCCGTATTCGTTGAACAAAATTGCCTTCAGTTTCTGAACTTCCTGAGTGATGGCCGTCGCCATCCTCCCCCACCGCGTGGCCTCCTCATGGTGATCGGATACCCCTGAGCTGGCATTATGATGGGAGCTTGTCATCCTACCCAAGCCAACCCTGTACTTACTTCAGGCGGAAATATCATGTTTTCTCGCGGAGCTTGGACGTGCAAACCTTGGTCAAGGCGGCGGGATGGTCAGCGGAAGGGTACCACGGTTCCAAACCCCAAACTGTCTGGCACTCAGGCGCCTCCTGGCCGATGCCTTTCTCGACTTCCATCCTCCTAGTGAAACCCTTGTCAAGCCACCGCAAACCAGGGATCGAGGGCTGTAATTTGGATGTGTCGTTGTTGGACCAAAGGGAGCTCGTGTTTGCTGACCCCATGAAGAAGACTAGCAGGGTAGTTGCGATAAAAAAGATCGGGATCACGACTCGAGGAAATTGGGAGTTTTCCATAGACTGTAGGGCTAGTTGGCCTTGCTTTCAACGAAATGCTTAAGCCATAGAAGGGTCTCATTCTGCAACCCTCTGATGGTGCTGTTGGAAACGGGCCGTGGGCGCTGACGTTCTGCTGCAAAGTTCCGTACAGCACCATCCAATCTAATAGGGCATTGCCACGCTGTAGAAGGCGGCAGCTAGCGAAGACTGACGTCCGCATTGCTTTCACCGTATCATCCGGTGTGCTGGTGACAAAGCCATGGTGAATCAGGTATGAACAAAGACTGATCTCTGACCTCTCAAGATAGGGAGCCTTTCCGTTTGGGGACGCAACGGTCAGTGTGCAGTCGTTGGTTCGCGCAGGGCCTTACGAAGAATTCGTCATTGAGATGGAAATAGGTACCTAGCTTGACGGCCAGCCACAATGACTCGAAATGCCGTCGATTTTGCTGGCTAGCTGCTGCTTTGTCCCAACATCTCTCAGACCGGCTGACGGCACGGTGGTAGCTTCGCCCACGTGGAGAGCGCCACGATCGACGATGTCTCCGAGCTGGTGGTGAACGGGTGCTCGTAGGATGGAATCAAAACTGAGACGAAGTCGACGGCGGCGTGATGTCGTCTGGAGTGTGGTCTCCTATGGGTTTGAGATGGGACGGGGCGATACTTTCCAGCGCCGCGCCGTCTGCGAAATTCGTGGTTCCGACTGCTCGGTGCCAAGCCACACGCCAGAGACGAATCTATGGAAGATGGCTGTTGGAATGAATTGTTGGACTGGACGAGATCACGCGGTGATGAGAGACCTAGCTAAACCTCGGCGACGAAGCTCAGATCGATTTTGACCGACCCCAGTTTTAGACAGCCACCTTACAATTAGGCACAAGCTGTGCCGTCGTTTGAAGACCCAGACGGGATAGTACGGCCGTACCGAGGTGTCTGTTGGAGGATCTGGATGAACGCTGATTAGCTACCAGGCCTGCCAAAGCCCGGAGGATGGGAGGTGTAGAAGCCTAGAAGGGTTAAAATGCATTATGAAGGCATAGTCTGGGGGAGGAGACTCGTGAATCTGCAGTGCTGCGGTGCATGCTCCGAGATGAACTTGGTTGGGTGCGGTCGACCGGAGCGAAGCAGCAGGTGCCAGGAGCCTACGAATAGGAGGTCGGGACCTAAAGAAAAGGAGGCCACAGGGCGGGAGGTTTCTGGTGGTGACAACGAAGGCACGAAGGGTGACATTGGAAATGGAGAATTTACCCACATTTACCCCAAAACTGCACCACTCATTCCCCAGGACCCAGGTGCCTGTTCCTGCCTATCCCAAGCGGGGGAAGTGGGGCTCTCTTCCGAGCATCGGTACGTACCGCACAGATATCCGTATCTCTTCTGGGAATCGGCAACCACCAAGCTTTTCGAGTCAAACACGCCGGCCTTCCAAGAGTTCAACCATGGCAAAGCCAACACGCGGGTCCCATCCATAGGGCCTAGCCCAAGCTGGAAAACGGATGGACTGTTTGTCTTCATTCACCAGCTTAATTTACCGGCTTATGCCGTGCCTCCGCGACTCTGGCTGCCTACTTCACCTTTCTTTGAGCTCTTCGTTGTCGTTGGCCAGCCTCGATCCTCGGTGCTGACCTTTTTTTTTTTTCTTTTTTTCTTCTTTGTGTCGCGGCGGATCATAACCTCGATCATTCTGTTATCATATTCCAGCGGTGAAGAAGCTTGGTATGGAATCCGGACAAGAGGGTTGCCTCCGAGGCTGGTTGCCACTGACGGCATCGAATCATGTTACCTTTGCCTCCAACAGATCCGAGGTCTTGGTGCCGGCGGTCCATTGCCTCTGAAGGGGGTCAAATTATGTTTCATCGATCGCAGCGCTCCCAGACTGCTACCTTGGACGGACTTGAGGGCGTTTTCCCGGCTGACCATGGCCTCGGGAGTGGCTCTTCCCCCTAAATACCCAGAGGTTCCTCGACCAGGTCTCTCGTCTTGGCTTCTCGTGGGCAGGTACTATACGGTCGAACTCTAACATATTGTTGGTATACGACCCTCCGCCACAAAGCGACGGATCTATGGATCTGGATGACTCAACAAAGTAAAGGTGGGCAGATTGCGGAGAAACACAAAGAGGCCTAGCGAATTGGTGACATGGAGAGAGTCCTATCCCAACTTTTTTCACTAATGCCTTTATCAAAACCCCTCACTTTTCCATATAGTCTACGGATACAGACAACTACAGCAGTTTCAGAACACACTAGTCACAAAATGTCGACAGTCAACCACACCTGCTCTCTTACCCCAGACTTGCCTGCTTCAAGGGTCTGCCCTTGATGCGCAATATGCGTGATCGAAGGAGCTGAACCTGGCCGTCCATTCGGGGTTCTCGTCCGTGCGTTCCTGTCAGAATTAACATGAGCCGCCACAACGCCGCGGAGGAGAACTTTCCCCTGTCGACTCGGCCAGGGCGGTGGTGTCGATGCCCTTTTCAGCCATAAAATTCGAGCAGATACCTTACGCACTCTGATATAGTCCTCTCTGCTGGCCAGCTGGGTGGTGACGACTTTGTCCGACCTCCTTGTGGCTGGCTTTGCCTGCTCTGGTGGTCTCGTCGACTGGCGGCCTGGGCATCATACAAAAAATATGAACGAAAGGAAGGAGGGGAATACTGACCTTGTAATTCACGCCCCTGTCCGGACTCGAACAGCGCGCCCCTCAGTCAACCCGAACTCTGACTTCATGGGAGTATTTGTTTATTTGACCATTCGACCACCTCGCACACAGCTTGACCTGACCTCGCCGACCTAGACGGGCGCTGCTGTGCTGGTGACGGGAATGGGATTGAGGGGGGGTATATACTCCTGGCCCCACTTGGTAACGTAGATTGAGGAAAGAGGGACGTAGAGGTGGGAAGGAACGGCTGAGCGAGGCCTGGATGGTAAATGCTCAAGATCATGACCCATAGGGGCGCACCTACCTAGGTAGCTTCCGCTCGTCGCAGCCGCCTTCACGTCCTTGTCCACAAATCACTACAGACCCAGACAAAGGTTGATGAAGAGCGAGAAGGAGAAGTCATCGCTCCGTATCCTGGTTTCTAGGCCAAGAAAAGCCTCGTCCAAGTTTGAGAGTGACCAGAGCCACTTTGGTGGCAGGAAACAGATATAGGCAACGGAGAACCCCCCTCGCTCAACTTTCATCTATGCAGTCTCTTGTCTTGTAATTCAGCCACCACGAGAAGATGGGACACATACGAGCCAACTGCCTCATTGGGTGGCTTGTCTAATCAACGTGCCGCTTTCTTGACAGCGCTAGCGTCTGGGGTAATACATAGACCCGAACGGTTCTTTTCGGGAAAGGAGGGCGATGGCTCCTATCAGGGGTGCGTACGCCACCACGGCGACATTCGCGAAATTTGAGCATTTCTTCCGAGGACGCTTTGACGGATGTAAGCTGAATCGGTGATATTCTCTGGGGGTTGCAATTCAATGTTCCCCTCTGTCTGGTCCAGCCACGCGGGGTAGACAGGAAGACCATAGTTAGTTACTGAAGGAGGCTAGAGGTAGCATGGGCTTGCTTGAAGGGATCCAAAGGAAGCCGAGAGAAGCCCGGGTGGGCAGAGCTGTCGTCACATTTCACATTGCGGCGAAGGACATCTACTTCCTAGGTGTATTTGGCCATGGCGAGTCCGAAGCTTCCAACATACTCTTGTATCCAGGCCTGTTTTTCTGTAAGTCTCTTCGGCTTGTCGTCCCGTCATGCCCAGCTGCCAGGGGAACGCAACTTGGCGTTCGAACAGAAACCACTGATCTGTGGTCAAGGTAGAGAGGCACGGCTGGGTTGTTTAAACTGTTCTGGGCAGGAGGACGAGGCGGACTACTCCAGTCGATTTGTAAAGATGTCAATCGCCGAGGCCAAGCAAGCAGTCTGACTTTCCACTCGAGACATACTCGTCGTCGGTCGGTTGACCGTTGATCTACACTCTACCCTAGCACTATCTGGGTCTCCTGGAGTCTGGACCAGCCGCAAGCCAACTTCTAAGTGAATTCTAGCGCTCGGTGAAGGTCGGTCTCTCTTTCGGCGAATCTAAGCCAGGTTCAGTATGGTCGAAGCAGTGGCGTCGCGATAGTCGGATTATGCCTTAGTCGTAGTATTGCGATCGTTGTTCAATCTTGAGGTCAGTCTTTCTATCGAAGGAAAGTCGAACGGGAGATGGCTTGCCAGAAGCAAAATGATCTATTGATTTTCCGTATCATGCAGTAAAGTAAGGTAAGTTGGGATCGAACATTTTCAAGCTCACAATTGAGGTACGAGATGGATAGTATTGCCGATCATCCTTTTGACTGACATCGTCAGTCTTTAGCCCTCATCTGGAATCCAAGGTCGACTTATGCCTGCCAGAGTTCATTAGAAAGCAATAGCTGTTCAAGGTTTTGGCTAAACTTGTGGCTTTCGCGATTCGAAATACTGAAGTAGGCTTTGTCCCATGTCTCATCCAAGGCCATCGAAGCGGCAGGTACCGCTTCTTTGGAGCATTCTCCTGGAAGAGGACAGAAACGACATGTCATCTCGAGAAGTCACAACGGCAGAGGAGCCTGCTTCATCGCTGTTGAGTCTTTGTGGGATTCGGCATCGTCTCATTGTTCGGTTTCGAGGTTGAACGAGGGCGGCTTCCATGGACACCTTCTAGTTGCTTGTTCGTCGCACCAGGGAGTCTTTGCTTGTTGGCTTCTAGAAACCTACCCTTCCATCGATGGAGAATAAGATCTGGGCCATTCCAGCTTTGTTGAAACTTCACGTATGTGGAGGGCCAGAAGATGCGCGAGCAAGCTTTGTAGGTACAACCAAGTTGAAAATAAGAAGACTTCATCAACAGACAGCCTCAAATGAAACCCATGATTTCCAAGTATTCAGAGCATGAGCAATCTTGATCTTGAATCCTGTCAAATGGCGGATAATCACGCATCTTAGTATCCTCGTCACACCCCTCCCAGATAATATCTGAACTCTCCACGAGGAACGGCACAATGCCACGAGGCCACAGAATGTCGAAACGCGCGTCCAAACGCAGACACGCAAGCCCAGAACCGGACTTGAGTCTCACAGAAGGGATCCCCATCATCAAGGCCCGTCGATACCCCCCGCGAAAAGACGTCGAATATCACGTAACAGGAAGACACCGGTCGTTGTATGAACACCATCCTCCCCCTCGTTCCCCCAAACGCCACCGACACAATCACCACATCGAAGCCAAGTCGAACACAGATGGCGATCTGAAGATGATCCCCATGCCACCAGATTCGCCCTCGACAGCCCTCGTTCTCAGGACATCAAGAACACCGGGCCATAAGAAAGACAACCGAAAGAACGACGACGACAGCTACCTGGACATCGTGAGACGCCGCCGAAAACCTAAGCATAAGCCCGGCCTCGAGCTGAATCTCGAGCCGGTGATCCACAGAGCCTCGAAACGTCGCCGCAGCATCATAGACGATACCGGACGCGAGATACATGAGCAGCAACAGTGCAGCGACCTCGTCGTCGACAACTACCGCTTCCGTACTCGCATCCTGTCCCTCCTGGACGAGCAACGCTCATCGGTCGAGTCGTGGGCCCGCAGCGTCGGCGCGGGAGGCCCGGCTGAGCCGATGGACTGGCAGCCGGAGCAGGAGCGGGTCGTGTACATTGCCCGCGACCTCGTGGAGTACGGGTGCTACGAGGACCGGTGGAGAATCGGGGGTGGGCAGGAGGAGCAACCGCGGCAGCAGCTGGAGGGCAGGCCGACGGCCCAGCTCTCGTCGGAATTAGTGTCGTGGGCCGATCAGGTAGAGGATGGGTCGGACATGTGTGGGGCGCCGGTACTTGGCTTAAGTCTTGTGGATGTGATTGAGTGAAGCGGGGGTTGGGCTGCATGAAGTCTAGACGTACATGATGGGGATAGGGGTTCCTGAGCTTCTACTGACATTCGATAATGAAGGTAATCGGAGCCAGACGGAGTGTGAATGATCGCATATCAGGATGGATGCTAGTCACTGCGAGAGCCAGTCACCACGAGGGGGAACAATATGAGGCAGCAAAAAGCGCAACGAACTACTACTCCTATTCAAGTCTATAAGCCCATTAAACATGTCATTTTCACCGCGAGGGACTTTTTGAATACCTATATGGGTTAACATGCAAGTTTTGAACTAGACCAGTCCTAAATTCCTAACGCCTGTCCAGATGAAGTCCGACCGACCGTACCCATTGAAGCAAAAGTCAAATCTCGTGGGAATCTCGCAAATGTACAGATTCAACCGCTCACCCACCACTCTTCTTTACGCAACGCATACAATACTTTTTTCTCCCATTTCTTTTTCACATTTATTTCGCGTAGCGCGAGTACTCGGCAGCGACGAGGCAGTGATCACGCTCGAAGGGCTCTGTGATAGTGTGTTAGTCATGGGAGGGTTTCCACTTCCAGAGAGGAAAAAGGGGGTTACGAACCTAGCGTAAGCTGCTCCTTGGGAGTGATGCGCTCTCCTCTCAGCTTCTCGACCTCCATGGCGAAGACCTTGTGAGCGGGGGCGGTACTGTCGATACAGTTGGCCTTGATAGAGATGAGGATACCACCGCCGACCTTGAGGAACTGGTGGGCGTTCATGGCGACGATACGGGCCTGGTCGGGCTGGGCAACATCGGCGAAGATGCAGTCGACCATGGGCATGAGCATGCGGTACTTGAGGGGTTGACGGGCGTCCTCGACAATGGGGACGACGTTGGTGCGCTTGGCGGCCATGCCGATCAGATCACGGCCGGAACGGGGGGAGAACTCGACAGCGTAGACGAAGCCGGTAGGACCGACAATATCGGCGACGTGGGAGACTGAGGTACCGGAGGCACCACCGAGGTAGAGAACCTTGGAGCCGGGGCCGAAGTAGAGCTTCTCGAGACCACCAATGACGGCGGCGGCCAACTTGGAGCGGAAGGGGTTCCACACGCGGTACTCGATCTTGGTGGTTGTGGTGGTGCCGTCCTCGTTCTGGGTTTGGTTGTCGACAGAGACGCGCTTCTCGCCATAGACAGACTCGCCGGGGACAATGTTGCGGGTTGCGATGGCGTCCTCCTTGCCACGGACAACGAAGACACCCTCGTGACGGTGGGGCTCCTGCGATCTTTTGTTAATGGACAAATCCTTACCACGAGAAGAAAACCCTTGAGTTGTGACATACCACGATGACCTTCTGACCTCCCTTCTGACCGCCAGCAGCACCACCACGGCCGCCTCTGCCGCCCTTGGAGACACCTCCACGGCCACGGCCACCGCCAGGACCACCGCGACCACCGCCTGCAGGATCATGTTAGCATACTCATTCTTTCGCACTCAACATCGCGAAAAGCAGATTCTCTCAAGACTTACCACGACCACCGCCGCGTCCACCGAAACCGCCGCGGCCACGGTCACCACCGAAGCCTCCACGGCCACCACCACGGCCGCCGAAGCCACCGCGGTCACCACCACCACGTCCACCGCCGAAACCACCACGACCGCCGCCACGAGGAGTGAAGGGAGCCATTGTCTTTTAAATGTGTGTCGGGTAGTCGGAAAAGACTAGTTGTTGCAAAAAGAAAGAGCACAAGACTGGCAGATCCCAAGTTGCGAAAGAAGAGTCGAATTGGGGGTGAGAGGCGCAGATAATGCTAATCCTCTTGGTGGCGGGTTGGGACAACTGGATACTGGGCTGGGTGTTTGAAATTTTTCGTCGGACTTTTTTTCTGAGAGCTTCAAGAGTACGCACGGGCCAAACTGACAGAAAGATTGTGGGGTCATCAAGGTGATTGGACAATGCGGAATTTCAGAGGAGCCGCCTTCCGGCAAGTTTTTTTTTTTACGATTAGATAAGGAGGGACACAGGGTCCACCTGCAAAGTGGGGTCTCAGATTCGGGGAGAGGCAGGAGCGTCAGAAACCAGGTGGTGGTGTCCAGTACCTGGCTTGCAACGGAATTGAAGAACACCTCAAAATATCATCCTTTCCATTTGTCCCAACTCCCCAAGCCGCAATCTCATTCCAGAAAAACCAAACGAAACACCAGACTGTTCATCAGTTCATCGGAATAATCGTGAGTCTCATCAGATTTCCCATTGCGATTTTTTCCCCGGCCAAAGCTGGAAGAAATCGCCCATTTACCCCATAGGGTTGCGGAACCCTAAGGCCGACCCCCCTGCCGTTTCCCGATCCGCAAGCGAGCCAACCCGGCGCAGGAGGGCTAGGGTCAACGAAAGTTGTGAATTTCTTCTAACCTCACTCTGACAGCCAGCCCACGACCGACCACCGACCGACCACCGAAACCATCACCACACCCAACGATTAAGATGGTAAGTCGCACCGCCGCTCGCTTTGCCTGTGTTCCGCGTCGACGAGGAAGAGGAGGAAATCTGTGCAATCGACGAAATTTCGACCCTGTTTGCAGCCGCCGAGACGATTCCCTTGCCCCTCGTCGAAAGAGGGTCGAAATTTCACGATGTCAAAGGAAGAGAAAAAACTGGACTTGTGACTCAATTATGTCACTCATGATGGTCGACCAAGAGGAGGAATGAGGAACATGCGGAACACATGGCGACATACAATGCTCGTTATATCCCAGAACCCAAAAGACTGACCCTTATCGTCACAAATTCAGGTTCGCTACGCCGCTCAAGAGATCGCCCCCGCGAAGTCGGCTCGCGCGCGCGGTGCCTACCTCCGTGTGTCCTTCAAGAACACCCGTGAGACCGCCCAGGCCATCAACGGCTGGAAGCTCCAGCGCGCCGTTACCTTCCTCGAGAACGTCTCCGAGAAGAAGGAGGCCGTCCCCTTCCGCCGCTACGCCGGCTCCATCGGCCGCACCGCCCAGGGCAAGGCCTTCGGCGTCACCAAGGCCCGCTGGCCCGTCAAGTCCGCCGAGTTCCTCCTCGGCCTCCTCAAGAACGCCGAGTCCAACGCCGACGCCAAGGGCCTCGACACCGGCAACCTCGTCGTCAAGCACATCCAGGTCAACCAGGCCCCCAAGCAACGGAGACGCACATACCGTGCCCACGGTCGCGTACGTTTTACCACCCGAGTCTATCCTCTGAGAAGGAGAAAGATAGAGACCAGCAGCAGAAAGTGGACGAACTAACCCATGCCACAGATTAACCCCTACATGTCCAACCCCTGCCACATCGAGCTCATCCTCACCGAGGGCGAGGAGGTCGTCCAGAAGTCCGAGGCTGTCGCCGGTCGCGAGGACGTCCGCCTCAACTCCCGCCAGCGCGGTGCCCGCACCCGCCAGGCCATCACCGCCGCATAAACGAACTTTCCAACTCTTTAATCTTTTAAGAAACGGATCTTCGATTTTTGTGGCGTGTGTGCGGTTCATGACGTGAGCAAAAAGGGTCGGCGCGAAGTGTGGACAAGCGCGGTACACCACAACAACCCCCCTGGGATGGATTTGGTCTTTGGGTCGTGGATGGATGCGTGGATTCAAATACAAAAAAGAACTTTGCGGCTTTTCATATGCTGGTGTACAGGAAGGCCATGGTCTCATGGCATTTAGGGATTGGCATGCGAATTCACACGCGCAACGGTCTGCATGGGCCACCAATAAACAAACATGCAACAATGATTCCCCCATGGCGGTCCCTAGTTTACCATGATCGGCATCGGCATCGGCGTCAAACGGTTACGAGGAAATGCATTCAATTTTGGCTTGCTTCTGCATCAAATTACTACAATGTCGTGCCCTCTGTGATCAGTATGGAGTATTACGCTGCCCAACTCTTCGAGTCTTGGGGTTGTAATCCCTACTATGGTCGGCCTGAAGAACAGTCATGTTGTCTGAATGCAACGTAAGAGACGCATTTCAGCCCGGCTTACAGGTAATGTTGACGATGATTGTGTTATCAACTTTTGATGTCTTCCTACTATAAGGTAAGGTGACTACGGAGTTATGGGTCCCTCATCCAGTCATTATCCCGCCCGCCTTTCCGTCCCAATTTTGAGCCCGTGGTATCTTTTGCCAAAAACGCCGAAAAATCAAAAGACTCCCGCAGCCCACCCAAATCCCAATCATTATACAGTTTTCATCGTAATCAAGCGGTGCAGCTCAAACCTGCTCAGCCATCTTGGTAATCATGCCCGTGATTCGTCCTCTTCCAGGGTGAACGATGCCATCCCTCTTTGCAGCTTCAATAACCTCCTCGTCGTACACACCGGTCCACTCCGTGTCCATACCAAAGGCGGTCGAGAGGTTGAAGTGCTCCTGGTTGCTGATGTAATTGGTGATCTTAGCCGCTAGCCTGTCGCCGCAAGACTGCATGAAGGGCATGAGCTCCCGCCGACGCGCAGTCACTTCCGCAGGCTCTTGCCACGGGGAGGTGGTTGGCATGATGCTATGATTGTCAACCATCGGGATGTCCAGGACCACGTAGCCGCAGGACTTGAGCGAGATGTGGTGGATACTGAGCAGCTCCTTCTCCCTGACGAGACTGTGCGGCCGCGGCAAGAGCGAGAATCCGTCATCTTTCCGTACAAAATCGTCCACCCAATCCTCTTCGTCATCCTGGAAACCTTGGCCGACCATGATCTCTTGAATCGGTGGAGTCGGTGCGAGACGTTCAATGATGCCAGCCCAAGACAGCAGTCGAGGCTGTCTTAGTCGCATCCTACCCCAGCCGGCCATTGGATCAGGTGGAGGCGGAGGCGGCACCGCGTTGTTCGCCACATTGGCGATTTGCGGAAGAGGTTGCTGCATCATCATGCCAGCCAGATGCGCCGGCAAGATGCCAGGAGCATGCAGCGGGCCCTGAGGGATCACCACTCCGGCCGGAACCCCTGGCGCACCCCCGAAGCCCGGGTTGGCTTGCGGTTGAAGAGGTGCCGGCGGCAACGGAGGCGCCTGATTCTGACCCGCGGCTTGCGCACCTTGAGCCTGGCCATGTCCGTGAAGTACAATGCCTGGACCATGTGCCGGGCCAATAACGAGTGCAGGTCCAAAGGCATTCTCGGCACCAGGATTTCTCGTAGGCGCGCCCGTGAGAGAGACACTTTCGAGTTCCAACTTCTCCAGAGACTGCGATCCCATTGTTCGTAGAACCTGTAGAAAGACGTGAGGCGCCGAGTAGCAGTTCTTGAGCGACAGGTGTCTGATGTGCGGTAGAGTGAGCAAGGCGTCTGGCGACTTGGCACCTTCAGGATGAACCATCTGCATCGGGTCGCAGAACGGAGCGGGAAGCACGTATTGATTCCGCTGGGTGATGCCGGGTGCGAACTCGCCACCGCAAATCCACTCAAAATGGAGGAATTTGATGTTGAACTGTGCTGCGATGTGGTCTTGAATCAAACGGTGGACTTTGGTCACCGCCTTGACAGGCGAGACGAAGTCGTCCTCGACGCAACCAGGGGCGACTTTAGAAACCTGGCGCCAATCGGCTACAACAGCAAGGGCAACGTTGGTTAGGTTGAGCAGACTCTGCCAGAAATCCGACCTCTGGAACATGTAGACGTGGCTACTTGGAATCTTGGCGATCGTGAGGGTCGTCAAAGCATTAAAGCTATTCATTCGGGCGTTGTCGATGAGGGCGAGGACATAAGATTGAATGAGAGCCCTGTGGGCCCATTCCAGCTCCAGCAGCATCTCCTTCTGAGCTCTAGTCAGATTCCTGGGCTGCAGTGGATGGCCGGCCGTGAGCTCATTAAGCACAGTGGCCGCCGCTCTCGCCTCAGCGTTTGCCTCGGCAATCTCATCATCATGGTCGGGAGGATCGAAATCAGCCGCATTGAAGAACGGAGCAGGTTGACCCTGGGCGATGAGTTGGGCAATGTTGGCAAGGTTGTGCTGGTTGGCGTGAGCAGCTACGTTGGCGCGAGCATCTGCGGTGGTCTGGGCTGCTTGGGCGGCCGCATGGGCAGCGGCGGCAGCAGCAGCGGCGGTACGTTCGTCAAAGTCAATGTTAGTGAGTGACACGTTCTCGGTGTGCAAGAGTATAGCAATCGCGTCCTTAGCCTGCGCCTGCGTGTACCCGGCATTCGTGACCATGGCCTCCAGCACCGTGTACTTGAAATCTCGAGGACTCTCGAAGGCGAGCTTTCGGGCGTTCATAGAGTCCGAGTCGGCTCGCGCTAGGCGTCGCTGCAGGTTTCGGTATCGCAGATTGCGAAGGCCAAAGACCGGGTGAGGCAGAGGAGGGCTCTCCAACTGTTGGTCGGGTCCGAGAAGGTAGCCCAGCCCGGCATCGCAACACAGCCCAAGCTCCTGAACCTGAACCAGGCACTTCAAGGCCTCTGTCATGGACGCTGTCTCATCGGCAGTCTGCTCAAGCCCCTCAAGCTCCGCATATCGGTTATACGACTCATGAGGCCAGCGGTAGATACCCCAGTACGAGGTAACGGCTTGCTGGGTCGGCTTGATGGGAGGGTAGGCGAGGCTCTCCTCATCCAGCTCAAGCGACAAGGCAAATCGAAGAATATGTTCGCCGAAAGACTGGAAAATGCGCATGCCACTGGAGAAGAGGGTGTCCTTTCCAAGTTGAGGCTGGCCTTGACCTCCATCGTCCAGGTACTTCTGCTTTCTCGCCTTGTACATCTCGGATCGGAAAGGAACCACAACGTTGCGGAAGTACTTTGATGAAATCATCTTGTCAAACTCGTGGTTGACCAAGCGGAGGTTCTTAACATCCGGTCGCGAAAGGTAGGTGGTGATTTCGTCAAAGATCTCAACTGGGACCCGGCCAATGGGCCAGGTGAGCTGGGGAGGGTCTGAAGCCATGGCACTCTGTCCTCGTATCCGCCGGCGTTTGCGGGGCATTTCCGAAGAAGCAGGTGCCCTTCTGTTCATTTCGACCATGAATTAACCAAGCATGGGTGAGCTTGGCTGGCTGGACTCGGGGTCGGTTGTCGAGGCTTAGTGAGGGAGTCGGAGGAGCTCGGTATTCATCGGTCGCTCGGCAGTGGGCTGTCGGGTCGGACGATTCGGACAATGGGAAGGGGAGACTGTAAGAATATTATGCTTGACAGTGGCCTATCCCAAAGTCGAGGGAATATTGGCTATTAATACCAATGAGTGGTTCGCTAGATAATTGTGCTTCGTGGCTGCAGGAGCGCTTGGTCGGATGCAAAAATCGATCAAAGAACGAGTTGCGGGCGATCGAGCAATTGTCAAAAGGTTCACAATCGTCTTGGCTAGGAAGTTAGCAATAATGCATTATGATGAAAGATTCATTTGCTGTTTGCGTACCTGGCTATTGACGATGCGCAACAAATAATGTGAGCAATCGGCTCAAAGAGATATTTGGTTGAAGCGGGATGTTGAAGCAATGAATTGGACAAAAAAATCACAGTGGAGAGGTGACAGTCCACGAAAGTTCTTTGCAAAGCGCAGCCAGCAGGAGCCGAGAAAAGTGAAGTCACTGGTGGCAGGTGCCCAGGTCGGAGGTTTGTGAGACCACTTTTTAGCGTCACCTCAGACAAAAGAAGCTAAATCATTGGCTGTTCGGATCAGCATGTGGCCCTAAGGTGGGACGCTTTCCTAGGGATCAGCGAGTACCTTACCTCAGCCCTTTCAGGTGTTCAACATGGGATTGTTTGGCAGTCGCGATCCGCTGTGCTTTTGGCGGGGTGCTTCTGGCAAGGACCGGGGCGGGGCTACCGAGGTGGTGGACCCAGTCAGGGTCTACCTGAGGCTGAGTCTAGACTTGCTCCGAGTGACACTGATTCTTCCTTCTACTTATCTCATCCACCTCATTGATCGATTGTTTTCATTCCCTTGGGGGCCTTGACTGATTCGTTACATTGCAGTTTGCTTATCCTACGAATGCGGCAGGCACTTCTCATGAGTTTGGCCTCTAAATTGACAAAGTATGACGAAAGGGAGGCTTGTTGAGTTCACGCCGTTTACGGATTCGAACATCTTCACCCTGTTGGTCTCCCTGCCTGTGAACATCAGAACAAACACTCACTCCTGCATTAACACAAACCACTCGATGGGCTCCACAAGACTCAACAGACGACCATTCCATTACGAGTGTTATCTAGCGGCTTCAGTCTACTGGCCGACCTAATTCCCAGCCACAGCACAACAGTTCATCAATAGGATGATGACCCATATAATTGCCGTGGGAATACATGATGGTATATCGAATAAGAACAAACTATGACATATTTCTGCGGAACCCAAAAAACACCCCCAACGCCTTTCGAATCAGAACAATTGTTTCTCTGTCGTAGAACTGGTGCTAATCAAGCGGGTACGGTCTCATTGGGCGGGCCCAGAAAAGAACCAATATCTAAAATTTCTTGTAAGTCAAATTGATCCATACAATCTCGACCAGGGATGATTTCGACATACTGTGTAGCGTACTGGACCTCAATATTAGCAGCCTGGCCCTGGCACGAAGCCGGCGCGCTGCCGCCGACGGTGTGTATCCTGTACACCTCCTGGACGTCTCCGGTGCTGGGCTCGACGGTACGCAGCCGGAGCCAGGGAACCGCCGCCTCGCCGTGCTGGCCGGACTGAGCCGTGAGGGGCGCGGGCATGGACGCGTTTTTGGCGCAGTACGAGTCGCCGACAGACGCGCCGTCGTTCTCGAGCATGAAGAGCGGGACGCCCTTTCCGGTGAAGAGGTGGTGGCCCGAAATGGCGAGGTTGCTCGGCCCCAGGCGGCGGTTCGTCTCCTCCTCGGTGAGGTTGAAGTCCATGGCTACGACGGGCAGCTTGTCGAGCAGGTCCGGGTACAGGGAGCCGACGCAGCTGGCGTTGAAGAGGGTCGCGACGGCGCCGGTGGCGACGGGGACGGCTGTCGAGTTGCTGGTGTCGCAGGTGTAGTTCTGGGTGCCACGGCCGATGGCGATGTGCATGAGAGTGAGGCCGTCTCTAGGCTTGCCGAGAGTCTGGGTTGCGGCTGGGCATGTGGTGTTAGTGTATGCAGATCTTTCTGGTTCTTACCAGGCCGCGGGATCTCTCAACTCACCTTCAGGTAGCTTAGCCGTGGAGAGGTCGCAGACCGGTGCGGTTGACAGATACTTGGTGGCCTGAACCTTGGTCGCCAGCATGTTGAAGTACTCGGAGATTTGCTCGATGCTACCCGGCAACGCGGCCTGGAGGTTAAGCGTGGGGTAGGTTGGCGCAGCAAGGGCAAGGGATGCCAGAGCCGGCACCAACAGTGTTGAGCAACGCATATTGGTTATATGTGATTGCGTGAATTGAGTGGGGGTGATAGTGTGGAGTAGAATAGGGCGGATGTCAAGGTATTCGATGATGTTCGGTTGTTGGTTGTTGGTGTTGGTGATTATGCTTCGTTCCCCAGAAGAGTGGAAATATCGAACCAGAATTTCAAGCAAGTAAAAACCCAAACGAAACCAATGAAATACGAGACTAGGAAATAATGAAAAAACTCAAGAAAAACCGAAGCAGATTCGTCGCTCGATATATGAGATGAACCGTGGTAGATGGAAGGGGTGGGCTACACAAGTTCCGTTGTGCAAGCGGGCAGCCGTTTCTAATATACCACGACATCCTCAAATCGCTTACCTCCTCCCACCCCGGCGGCAAAGAAACGGCCACCAATGCATCTCATTAGGGCCCTAGGTTCCTGACCTGCCCAGAATGGCATGGTATCAATGGAGGGTTACAAAAAAAGATGGCGGGGGGGGGGGGAAGAGTCTGCCGCCGTGGTGTGCGAGGCAACGGCTCGGTATTCGCAGCGGCTGCCATGGTTCAAGACTGGCAGCCGCCATGCCATGCAACCGTACGACGGGCGGGAAGAGGGCATGAGGGACGAGGATGGGAGCGAGGACGAATGAGTGGAATGGCAGAGATGCAAGTAATACCAGCGGGGTGTGTGGATGCCAGGCGATCTTCGCCGGGGTCAGGGGAGGTGCAAGCGCCCGGCCCGCTTCAAACGGCCTCGTTGTGTGGTGACAAGTAGCGACGCGCTCCACGTTTTTGAAGGTGGTGTCGTGCTGCTCGCTGCTCAGGACTCGAGGATTCGAGGTCGCGGCCGTGTAGTTCTGTCTGTTTCTATGGACTCGAGTTGAGATTGGGTTACTTACCTAAGGTATTTGAGATACTACGGCGATATCGTTTTGGACAAGAGGACTATCTATGCGAGTAAAGGTACCTTAGTGAAGACGACTTGACGTGTCATCTTCTGGCCGCTGTATACCCTACCTAGGTATTACATAGCACCTTTCAGTCCGCCTTTGTCCTTCTTGATCCGTCTGTTCATTTGCATCAGAATGGTGAGTATCGATGAAAGACGAGGCCTGCCTCATCTGGACTTTGACCGAGTATGTATCTCTCTCTGTGTGCATACCCATGTGGGTGTCCTTCGAAATAACGAACCACAGCGGCTAGAAACCTGAAATAGCAACAAGAGAGATCGCGTCAACCCTCACATCTGATAGGCCAAACCACCTGAGATTACCCAGGGACGGTACCACCTTCGTGCACCTTGCCAAAAACAAAAAAAGTTGTACCCGTCTCTGGCCCGGCGACGCGCCCACGTTGCATGTACCCGCTCTTGTACATTTCCCAAGGCCAGGTTTGCTTTCTTTTGCCGCGCTCCCAACCAGGGTCGCGACGACCTCTCATTGGTTGCAAAGTCCATGTCCCCACCCGGGCCGCGCAGACGGGCCAGCGTCAAACGGGAATCTCTCGTCGAATGGGAATCGTTGCTGGTCTTTTGGGACATTTGGGTGGCAGCTCGGGATATGAGAAAGCCTTCCACCCTACCTTAGGTTGAAGCGGGAAGGAAAACCTAGAATAGAACATCGTGGTGGACCGGTGGGGAGCCACGCTTTCCCACGCTGCTTGACGCCATCTAAGGTAAGGTATGATCTCGACCACATGATCTCGGATAATGCAACAAAGTTCCCGTTCATCCCCGGTAGCTAATATTCAAAGTGATCTGGAATCTGTGTTCTGACAAGATTCCTCACTAAGCCAAGATAAAGTACTGCCGCGGTTCATACCACATGTCCTAACGCCCAATCGTACAGTTGTCGGTGAAAACAAGTTTTATGCATACAGTTTTCGCCCACATAGAGTCGTTCGTCGCTGGCTTAATCGACATCCATCACGTTTCCCTCCCTCTCGGCGTCACTTTAAGTAGACACCTTACTGACTACCGTCTAGTGCCCACTGAACCCCTCCTCTTGCCAGTCGCCGTGGCCGTTTCCGGCCCCTCCCTTGAGGCCCCCGGCGCCCGCGGCGGCGGCTCCTGCTACCGACTTGCCAAGGTTGCTGGCGTGCTGCTCCACGTCCACCGTGCCGAGCCAGTATAGCGAGCAGAAGACGAGTAAATGCAACGCGACACAGTATGCCGCAAATAGATTTCTACTAGTCCGAGAGGCCAGCACCATCCGCGTCACTGAGTATACCACTCGTTCGGGGAAGCTCATTCGCTTGTAGGCCCTAGCAGACTCCCGCCCTCGGAAAGCGGCAAATGGCGAAATATTCGATTCGTATGCCTTTTTGTATCTGTCCATTGTAATGCCCGGGTTGCCGCTGCCTCCAATGGAGACCGTGGAAGGGTTCGGGTTAGATGAGAATGCCGCTGAAGACGACGTTGCTGAAGGTCCGGCCCGATTGTATGTCGAGACGTACCTCGTCTTCTCGTAAAGACTGAGATTGTCCTTTTGAAGAGCTGATACTTCTTGTCTCAGCTGGGAGACGGTGCGATGCGTGTCCGACAACTCGCTTTCCAGTTCGGCAATTCGCTTTTTGAAACGGTCACGTTGGGCTGTGATCATTGGCAGAATGCCAGAGCCGCCGCCCATGGGCTCTCCTCCACCACCCATACGTGGGTCAATTCCGCTGATGATGGACGATGTTGGCGAAACTCTTCCACCACCACCTCCTCCTCCCCTTCGTCCCGGTGCAATTGATGGGGCGTAGCGGTTGAATGTTCCTGCCACCGACGCGCCGGAAGGGAACGCGTTGGACGACTCTGACTGCAGCGTCGCGAGGTCGTTCTCGAGTCGCTCGTTTAGTTTCTGCGACTTTTCGAGGTCCATATTCGTTCGCGACATTTCTTCCTGGAGGTCAGAGAGCTTAGTCTGTAAGTCTTGGTGGGAAACGCGCAGGATCGTCAGCTCGTCACCGAGCTTCTTGTTCCGTGCCAAGAGGAGCTTCTCCAAAGTGTCACTTTGGCCCTTGGACTCTGTGGCACTTTCGACCACATCCTTCAAATCATCATCGTCGCCTGTGGAAAACTCGATGCTCTTGAGTACCTCAAGCTCCTGCTTCACATCGTCGTAGTCACTCCACTTCTGCACCTTGGACTTGAGGTTGTCCCTTTCTTCCTTTAGCAGGCCAACCTCTCTCTCCAAGCTGCGCAGCCTGGAATCCAGATCACGCTTCAGCCCCTCCTTCTCAACCCTGCTAGCATCGAGTTTCCGGATGAGTGATGAGTTTTCCGACCGCATGCGCATGTAAGCAGGGTCGTCTTCCAAGGATGTGGGCGTCTGAGTGGTGGCGGATGACTTTGCCTGTGCCAGTTCCAGTCGCAGTTGCTCGTTCCGGGCCTCGATCTCGGCCAGCCGCTGACTGGTCCGGTCAAGGTCTGAGTGAAGCATCTCGATTTCGGCACTGGTGACGTGGCCTGCCTGGCCTTCCGCATCCCCATCGTCTGTCTTTCCGAGGCGCTGGTTGACTTCGTAGCTCGCCTTGATCTCGGTGAGCAGACGCTCCTGGTTCTCAACCTTTTCTTCCAACGTCTTCTCCTTCGCGGCCCAGTTGTCCTTCTTTTCGTCGAGCACTGCCACCCACGAAGCCTCCACCTCCTTTACCTTGCTATCCAGATTGTTTTCGAGCTCCCTCTTCGCGGCAGATTCTGTCTGCAGCTTGCTCTCGGTATCCTCCAGCTGGGTCGTCAGCTTAGCGACGGACTTTTGCAGGTGCTGATTTTCCTCAGTCAGCTTCGGAAGAGTGTCTTCAGACACGAGCATGGAGTCGACCGACGCTTCAAGAAGCGGGTATGGATCAGGCGCATCGGATAAGGATGTGTAAGTCTGGAGGAAGGCCGAGTTGATTGACTTTGAATGGTTCGTAAGGAGATCGATGAAGGTTTGGTACGCTTTTCGTTTAGTAAGAGCAACACTTCGGCAATGAAGACGCCATACCTTTCAACAGGCCTTTGATCTCGCCCAGCTTCGTTGCATCATCGAGCTTCCTGAAGTCCTTTGTTTTTTGGGCTAGTTCCTTTCTCTGGACGGTCGAGTCTCGCTGGTATGTGACGATCTCGGAGGCAGTGTTGTCGAGGTTTGCGACGAGGTTCGTGTAGTCGATAGCTAGCTCGGTCAGACTATGTTTTCAAAGTTATAGCCAAGGGGTTCCCTCACTTCTCCAGGCCGAGATGGCATGCTGGAATTTGTTGCCGCCCTCGGGCAGGTTGGGAGTGTCCGAAGGTGCCTCTGGCTGCGGCGCGTTGGCATTGGCCGCCAGGACGGATTCTACGTCTGCCATGTTGAGTCGGTTTTCTCGGTCGCAATTTGAATAATGATCACTTCATCACCGGGAGACCATGGAACTCCAAGAAGTCGAGGTTGACGGCGGGGTTGAAGAGTTGTTTCAATCCGCCGGTGTCCGTTGTAGCTGTTGTCGTTCGGTACAGATCGAAAGTGTTTCGACTGAGCTCGCTGGTTCGGGGAACGTGTTCCCTTTCCGGGCAGCAAGTTGATTGGCTGCGCACGGCATGCAGGGGTTCAGAGGCAGCAACAGCTCGTCGTTTCCGTCCCTACGGGGCCGCCCCAGGCACATGCCTGCGCCAGTACCTTTAGCACAGCGACCCGGTTATCCAGGACAGGTGGGCTACGTAATCCGCCTACGGTTAGGTTAGCTGTAGGTACCAAGGTGATGGATGTACCTACACTACCTCTGGACCATGTCATCAGATTACCAGCCCAGCTTCGGAGCTTCCCAGCTGCATCATATTCCCAGCAGAACGACCCTTTCACGCCTCGAGACGACCGTCGCATGAGCTCGACAATGGCATTACGGCACTCATGATAGTACGACTGATTTAACATGGCATCCGAGGATCCAGACGACCAGACCTCCTCTGCGTCCGGGAGCTCCAATGCGATCGCCCGCAATGACGGGCCCTTTATCCTGCGCACATTGTTGGAGGATGTGCCGTTGTCGGCAGATGGCGCTGACGAGGGGACCAAGATCAATTGTGTTGAATACCTAGGTAGGTAGATGTGACCTCTCCGATGGCTCATCACGGTGCTGATCATCTTCCCACCAGACCACAACCTATACATCGGCACGAGCGCATCCGAATTGCTTCATTTTGTCCAGATCCCAGCCGACCCCGCCGACCCGGCCGGACGACCATCTTTTATACTTGCCTCCCGTCTGCGGCCGGCCTTTGCCGAGAACAGCAACGCCCTCCCAGGCATTCAACAGATTCTCCTTCTGCCCAAGGTCGGAAAGGCTTGTGTGCTTTGCAACCAGACCGTCACCTTCTACTCTCTGCCTGAATTCAGCCCCGTATTCGGAACCACGCAGGTGAAGAACTGCAACTGGGTTGGCGGAGTGGACTTGAACGATCCCCAAGATGATGTTGACGAATCCGCTGCAGGGGTATTCATCCTCCTATCGCTGATGCGAAGGATTCAGGTTGTGAGGATCGGGGAGGTTGCAAGAGCAGTCAAGGTACGCAATGCCTCGTCCTATAAGCAATGAATTACTAACGGCTGTTTAGAATATTGACGTACCCGGGACTACAATATCGATTCGTCGCGACTCCATTGCGTGTGTTGCTGATTCACGAAGTTACTCCTTGCTCGATGTTGGCAGGCAGCTTAGAATTCCGCTCATGACCATATCCTCCTTGGACGACTCACAACCTGCGGGTGAAATAGGTCAGGCTCAAGATATCGCAGGCAGTGTAGATGGAGGTATCTTGAGAAGTGCATCGGCCGCCCATAACCGACCGCTCCTCTCCGCTGGTGACCCTCACGGCCATGCTAGAAGCACGAGCCTGGGCGGTCTGCTCAGCGGTGGACGGAGGGACCTCAGCCCTCGAGGAGCCGACGAAAGCGCACGGCAAGGATCTTCACCACCGACTCCATCTGCCAGTCCAAGACCTTCGGGCGAAGGCCCCTTGCCGCCGCCATTAACAGACAAGCCCTTGCCAGCGGCGCCTGCAACTGCTCGCGCGGAGACGTCTCCAACAAAGTCGGCTCCCGTCTTCCTCAAACCCCACATTGTTTCGCCAACAGCTGAAGAATTCCTACTTGTCACTGGCACTGGACCCTTGGACCCGGGCATCGGGATGTTTGTGAACCTTGACGGAGACCCAACGAGACCGACTGTCGAGTTTGACAGATACCCGCGGGAAGTGGTGGTTGACGGTGGGGCCTCTAACCAGGCATCGTCCAGGATGGCACTGGAGCAGGATGAGGAGGGATACGTCATTGCATCCATGACGAAGGACTCGGAAGCAGGGCTGCGTCACGGACTGGAGATTCAAAGATGGGATTCGGACGGGACGGACCCAGAAACTTCTAAATGGTGGTTGGAGACGGAAACATCAGGAGGAGATGAAACGACACCTTTGGGGATTCGCTCGCTAATGGGTACCGACGAGACCCATTTCGAAGAGATTGTCGAAAGACTTTGTCAGAGGAAGTTTTCCCCGTTTCCTGGAGGCCTTGCCGAAAACCCGATATTCTCACCGAGAAGCGCAGACTCTCGCACCGCATCATCTCTAGAGCAGATGACGAAAGAGCGAGAACTGTTCGAGCGTGATGTAGACTCCCAGGAAGAAGACGCATTACCCGAAGGGTGGGAAGAAAACAGAAACGCTGAAGAGAGTGAGTTTGCAAGGCGACTGGCAAATGCCAACTCCAGGATAGCAGTATGGGCAAAGGATCATATTTGGTGGGCAATTCGGAACCCGGCGTTGCTGCGGCTGGAAGCCCGACTAGAAGCTGCATGCGAGCAAGACGGGACCTCAGACCCATCCAAACTCAACCGACGTGCAATTTTCACGGTACTCAACTCGTTTAGAGGGCAGGATGCCAAATCAGAGCTGGAGTTTGTGACATTCAGTTACCTGCGCCAGCGTGCTGGTGTCCTTCTTCTTACCAACTTATTACATGCGACAGAGACGCCTTTCACAGATGCTGAGTTGAAAGCCTTGGAGGAAGTTTTGGTGGAGAGTAGTCTGGATCCTCGCGTTGTTTTGTCTTTGATACCCGGCCTACGGAATGAGATTGTGGAGAGCCGAAGAGGCATCTGGATCTTTGGCGGCGTCAAGAGAACAACAGAGAACTACTTGGAAAGCGAGCATTTTCATAAAGACAGTCACTCAATAGGGGACCTCGACGGCAAAGTCGTGCAGTTTCTGCGGCGGTTCCTAGCCGCGTGGAGAAAGAAGAAGGGATTCGGCAGCGTTGCAGACGAGAGCGAGGTGTTCCGGACTGTCGATGCCGCGTTGTTGCTGGTCCTCCTCGAGCTCGACCAGACTTCGCCCGCAGGCCTGGCGAGGAAGAGCTCGTCGGTCCGATCAGAGTTATATGACGTTGTCGACAAGGGCGTAGATTGCTTCGATCGAGCTGCCTCCCTTTTGGAGTCATACCACCGCCTCTTCGTACTCAGTCGACTATACCAAAGCCGCAAGATGGCGGGCGACGTTCTTGCGACCTGGCGGCGTATCGTCGAGGGTGAGGCCGACTATGGAGGCGAGCTGCAGGATGGAGAGCAGCGCGTCCGTGAGTATCTCACGAAGATTAGCAGCCAGGCCCTCGTGAGGGAATATGGTGTCTGGCTCGCGAGTCGCAATCCGAAGCTCGGCGTACAAATCTTTGCAGAAGATAAGGGCAAGGCGCCCGGCTTCGAGCCAGCGGAAGTTGTGGCCATCCTTCGTGAAGAGGCTCCCGACGCAGTCAAGTACTACCTGGAGCATCTTGTTTTTGGCAAGGGGCACACTGGTTATGTCAACGACCTCATCGCCTACTACTTGGACGTTGTTCTCAGCGATCTAGAGACGTCGCAAGAGAGCCGAGACGCGTTTGCCGGCACATACACATCATACAGAGCATTACAGGCTCCGAAACCGACATATCGACAGTTCCTCACGGATAACGCTCCCGAAGATGACGAGGTCTGGCAGAGCCGGCTGCGGCTATTGCAGTTGCTGGGTGGTGCACACCAGTACGACGCCGCCGCCATCAGGGAGCGCATATCCTCGCTGCCGGACGAGCTTCTCGTCCCCGAGACCATCATCCTCGACGGCCGCGAAAGACGTCACGAGGATGCCATCCGGCTTCTCGTACACAAGCTGGGCGACTACGACACGGCTGTCTCGTACTGCCTGCGCGGCGGTTCGAGCATCTACACGCGCCCGGACGGCAGGCGGGAGAGCACGCCGACGCACGACATGCAAGCGCGGCTGTTCCGGGCTGTCCTCGGCGAGTTCCTCGCCATACAGGACGTCAGCGACCAGATTGAGCAGACGGGCGCGCTGCTGGAGCGTTTCGGGGGCTGGTTCGACGTCGAGGATGTGCTGGCGCTGATTCCCGACCAGTGGTCCGTCGAGGTCGTGGCTGGGTTCTTGATGACGGCGCTGCGGCGTATCACGCAGGAGAGGCACGAGACGACGGTCACCAAGGCTCTCAGCTCGGCGGAGAATTTGAGAGTGAACCACGACTTGATTCTCAAGGTGGATGAGAAGGGACCGTCGATTGAGGCGCCTAATTAGTCGGCTGTGTAGCCGTGATTGGTGTCTTGGAGATTGGAGGAAGGGTCATGTTTTGATGTAGAGTAGATTTGGTCCGTAGAGGACAAACATAGCAAGGCGGGAGAAAGCACGATGATGATGATGCCCTCATAGACTTTGTTCCTTATATCCGGTGGTACGTGGTACCAATGCAGGTGAGGTGAGAGGAGCTGCTGGATTTCTTGACAATATAGGCACTAGGGATTGTAACACTCTGACGATCAACCATTGCTGTCGTAAACCGGGACGTGCCTCACAAACCATCAAGTCTCCCTGAATAAGCCGCTGGCTGCCTGTGCATTTCAAGAAAAGCCATTCAGCGTCCCCAGCCATCGCAGACGGGGGGGAACAAGGTTCGAGTAAGTGGAGGTGTCGACGAATAGGAAACGGAGAGCAGCTCTTGTTTCCTTTTCCTATCACGAAGCCGCTGCATCCGGTCACGGGAAGCAGGATCTCACCCGTCGTTTACCACTCCTTACGGCCGGTTGGAATTACGGAAAGTGCCAAGATTGACGCAAAGAGACGGGAGATTTCGCTGCTGTTGCTGTTGGAGTGGTACCTACCCGCCTGCCTGCCTGCCACTTACGTATCTACCTCAGCCTGCTCACTCAGCTCCTCAGCTCCTGGGGGGTGGCTCTCGCGAATCCGAATGCGAATGCGTCTGGTCGGAGGCATGTGAGGTATCTCTATCCAGCCACCCAGCTGAGTTTTCATTCTTTCCCATGGACAAAAACCAATATGAACAGATGATCGTAACCGATGACTGCACGTGGTGTCGAATAAAAGATTGCCGATCAAAACCTGGGTGTTTTTGTCTCATATGAAAAAGCCTTGGGAATGAGAAAACACGGAAACATACTCAGCTAGACCTAGGTAAAAGACGGGGGGTTGATGTGAAGGGCGGGAGAGAAGAACGCACAATGGACGGACGCTTCGACGGGCTGGGTCTTGGAAAGGGAAAGCTGGTTGTGGTGGAAGAGTTGATTACGATGCTGCGAATAGGTGAGGAAGTACGGATGCTCCGTAGGACAAAATGATGGGACAAGAATTCAATAATTGATGTAGGTAGATTCGATGCCGGCGCGTGGATAGCTTCAAAGGGGGCTCAAGTTCTATTGACAGGCCGGGCCCCCCCTTTCGGACCAAACTCCGTCCCTAGCTCTGGTTCTAGTTCTAGCAGGATTCCCCTCCGGGTCCTCGTCCTACGATTCTCCCACTCATAACCCTTCTCCCGGCCATTGACTGTGGACAGCAAACTCAAATACTGCATCTGGCCAGGTCGGCCAACGCCCGAAGGAGTTTACCCCATCAACAGAAGTCTGGCTGTCTAGGGAAGGAAAACTCAGCAGGAGAACGGCGACGACGACGACGGTTTCAATGATTCCAAAGCGCCGTGCCTCGAAACCAAAAGTTCCCCCCCCAGCAAAGATCTAGGGCCCAGCCACAATGTCTAAGATCGAACCAATCAAGAGTCGTAGATCAGGCTCAGCTCAGCTGGAATAGGAGAGAACCCGTACCCGTAGGGGCCGTAGGCGCACCTCTGAGCTTCGAGGGCTTGAGTTTTCAGCCGCACCGGGCCTGGTACCCGGGCATAGCAAAGGTACTCCTCTTCTTCTTCTTCTTCCTCCTGTTTCCCTGCTTTCTGCTCCTGCTCCTGCTCCTCTGTTGTTCATGCCATGGGCACGTAAACAGCTGATTGCGGGCGAAACAGATTCATCGCCATCATCTTCCTCCCGGACGCTAACTTTACCCCCTTCCGCCACCTTTCCCAGGGGAGATGAGAGTACTCAAGTGAGCTGTCGAGGGAAAGCAAAAAGGCAAAAGTTCCCCCGGAGAATGGAGCGGGACCTCGGATGGGGCCTAGAGCCTAGAGCCCAAGAGCCTAGAGCTGAATCGAGAAATGATGTCGTTGAATGTCTCAGCATCGAGAGAGACGGAGCGGAGTGTCAAGGTCCGCACCAATGGTCCTTATAAGTCAAAACCCCACCCATGTCGTGGTTCTTGTTGTCCACTGACCGTGACCGCTTGTCTGTGGCCACCATAGTATGTATATTTTATTCTTTTTGTTCTTCTTTCCTCTCACGCGGCAGCCTTGCGTTTAAGCACCGCAATAGTCAACCACCTCTTTCGGATCGTCACGTCCTCGATACCGCGGTCCCAAGCCCACTCCCGCTCCTCGCCGTCGCAGTCCCGCTCCCAAATGGACTCGACCTCGAGCCCGGCGTCCGCCAGGCCCGCCTCCTCGAAGAAGCCGCGCATCTTGGGCCGTCCCGTGTGAAATCCGGCCACGACCCAGCACCGGGACTCGGAGCCTTCTCGCATGAACCAGGCAATGGACTTTTGCAAGTTGGCGTGCTGCCAGGGCATCCAGAGGCAGTCTGCGACGAACAGCCGATCGAAGGCGTGCTTGTTGGCGATGGAGAACGGATCGTCGAGCTCGCCCCACGAGTGTCCCTCGACCAGGACCTCGCGGGCCGTGAGGGCGCCCGTGGGGGAGACGGCGGGGACGATGTTGCGCGTGGCGTTGAGGCGGAGGGACTTCATGACGGCCGGGGCGGGGTAATCCGTCAGCACGGTGCGTTCCGCGCCGAGGAGGGCGGACATGATGCTCGGCAGGGCGGTGCCGGCGCCCAACTCGAGGGTTGTCTTGCCGCGGACGTCAAAGTGCGATAGTGGGGGCCCGAGACGGAGGGGCACGGCGGTGTCGATACCCAGGGTGCCGGCCTCGACGAACTCGCCGAGCTGGAGGCTCGAGTTCCAGAGGTAGTGGCTGAAGAGCTTGCGGTCGTCGGCGGCGTCGGGCTCGGCGAGCTCAAAGGTCAGGGGACGGCGGAGGTGCGGGGAGGTGTATTCGATGCCGTTTACGGCGTCGCCGTGTTGGTTTGTGACGTCGTCGGGGAAGATTACGCCGAGGGAGGACATGAGGTAGTCCTCGGGGGACTCGGCGGGCGGGCCAGTCAGGGAGATGCGGGATGTGAGCGCCATTATTGACGGATAGGAACGGAGAAAGAGCGCCGGGGGGCCGGGATGTCGAAGGAGGAGGAGGAGGAGGAGGGTGGGCAGTCGAGATGCCGGGGATCCAAGGACGGCGAGACACCGAAGCGAACGAAAGCGAGTACGACGACGACGACGAGGACGAGTTTGACAACGAGGTACCTGCCGCGAGTAGAGTGCTGTCGTCGAAGCGCAGTGGCGTTAGGGTATGCGTAATGCAAAAAAAAAAGACTTGGGTAAACGGGGAAAAATTGTCGTCTTTTTCGGTGTGTGCGCGCGCGCAAGGTCAGGAGGAGGTCAAACGGCGCATGGCGGGGTAGTCGAATTGCCCCGCCATCCACCGAGTTGCGCTACGGACACCTACCTAACAACGTACACCTTCCCTCAGTCACTGGTCAGGCGGCATCGTGCACAGCGAGTCCGAATCAGCGAACAACCCCAACGACAGAAAAAACAAAAAAAGACCGGGAACGACACCGCCATGAAACAGGGAACACGTCGATTTTCGAAAGATGGGACGAAAGAGATGTGGCGTCTGTCAATGCCGAAAAGATGTCCTCGCGGTGGCACCGACAGGAGGAGGAAGAAGAAGAAGAAGGGGTACGCATACACTACACAGGACGCACAGCCATCAGAGCCGCAAGGAACCGCACTCGCGTCTGCGTCCGCGTCCGCGTCCGCGTCTGATATCAGTGATGTGGGATGAAAAAAAAAAAAAGATGTTGAGCCTCACGACGCCACGGCATGAAATACTGCAAGAGATGGGACGGGGGGAGGCGTAGAGGACGTGGACGCGCACCACGGCACAGGGGCACCGCTGCCCATTAGGAGTTGACATAACCTGCCCATGAGGTGGTTTCTTATGTAAGTTTGTAAGGTAAGGTAAATGTGTTAATAGTCGGATGGCAGGGTTGATCGTGAGAGTGGGAGCTTCCCTGGAGAGAACCATCAGGATCATCCAGGTCGGTGATAATAGTGCACCTATACACTACTACTCCGTACCCGTATAGTGGTATCCTTACGCAGTAAGCGTGTACGTGGCATGGTACGCTACTTTACTTCAAACCTCATCTCTGGGATGCTCTGCAAGGTACGAACCTGGAGCTTGGAGCCTGGAATCCCCGGGGACTTGGCCCCCGGGGCAGAGGAAAACAATTACCACGGCGCGGATGCTGCCGCGACACAGCCACACTGGCCACGATGTTTTTTCCTCCATGTACTGTGGTAGCTTTCCCGCCTGGGCTGTCCCTCGGTCGGTGCGTCGGGGGCCTCTTCAGGGACCACAGTGCCGGAGAAAATCGTCGTCAGCGGGGTCCCTTTTTCTGCGTCTCCGTCCTTTCTTCCAGCGGACCGTAGGTTATCAGTGGAGGGAACCTAAGCGCAGGTGGCTGTGCAAACAAATCGCTGCAGACTGCGGAGTGGTCCCCCCCCCCCCCCCCCCCCCCCCCCCCCCCCCCCCCCCCCCCCCCCCCCCCCCCCCCCCCCCCCCCCCCCCCCCCCCCCCCCCCCCCCCCCCCCCCCCCCCCCCCCCCCCCCCCCCACCCCCCCCCCCCCCCCCCCCCCCCCCGTAGCCGAAGCTTAGCACTGCTAGTGGGCTCGCAGGAACCCGCATCCCGACAACAGGTTTCCGCTCCACCCCTCCTCTGGGCTCCCTCTCCCTCTCCGTCATGACCACCACCACCACTACCGCCAGGGAACCTCCCACTAACAGAGGAGACCAAAAAAAAAAAAGATAGAGGTAGTGCAGTGCAGTGGCTGTGCCGCCCTGTGCCGTCCACTCGCACCCGCATCCGCAAACCAGATCCCTTCTCTGCCCCAGATCCAACCATACACACACACTCTCTTTCGTCCATTGAGTTTTCCAAAGTTACTCTCTCCAATGTGCAAAATGCTTGTAATTAGTAGTACAACCACACACACACACACACACACACACCGACAATAGGTAGGTAGACTGCGGCCACAACATGCGCATGCCACTCATGCATGGCTATTTTGATCCTCCCTCGGGTCATCCTCATCCTCCTTCATCATACCTCCCCACCACAGCATATCATGCTTACTTACGTAGGTACCCAAACACGAACAAACGTAATCCGTACCTTACATTTTCGTCCCATCGTCATCAACCATCCGTCCATCCACCACCCTCGATCCCGAATCCCGTCAGCATGCCCCCCCCCCCTTCTCTGGCCAGCCACAGGTACGGGTACGGGCTACCCAAACAGGCCGACCACCGGCCACCGGCCACCAGTATCCTCATCCTCCATCGGCTCATCCTCCGTCGCTCGCGGCAGAGCGCGGAACTCGGAACCACCAACCACTCACCAGTAACCGTTTATTCTTGCTGCCTGGCACTCTAGGATCTTAGGGGCTTGGGGAAAAAAAAAGCAGCTAGTTAGACTAGCTGATGAGGTCGCACAAGAACCAAGGCACCCACCCCCATCGTGATTCGTGATAAATCTGGCAGTCTGACACGCTTGATAGGGGATCTTAGGGCCAAAGAACAAACCCCCCCCCCCCCATCACCATCCCCGATCCGGTAATACCGCTGCGAGTCTTCGGCACGACTATCCATCCCATACAACTACAGCCCGTCCACACTCCCTTGCTTGACACTATTGCTGCCGATCTTTGCTGCCAATCGCTGACCCTGTCGCGCTGTCAAAACCGTCAGTCCTGTTCCTGTTCCGTCATCCCTTGTTTCCGACGAGTAATCAGATCGGGATTCGTTATCCAAATCGCATCATTCCCCATCTATACCCGAGGCATCACGGTTGTAACTCATCACGGCGAGTGAGAAGAGCGGGAATAGTGACAGTGAAAGTGAGAGTTGACAAGTGTCTCTTGTTTTATACCATCGAGCCTTAGGCTATCATATAGTATAGGGTATCAATCAAATGCTCCTTTTTCTTCAAGGGGCAAACAACATGGAACTTATTCCGTCCAATCATGAACCTCATGTCCATCCCGTCCTCGTAAGCCAGTCGTTGTAGTCCCGTACAAGTCTGCGCCAAACCATGCAACACCAAAATGTAGTGTAGAGATTTTTTTTCCGCTCGTCAAAATCGCTCCCGCCCAAAAAAAAAAAAAAAAAAAAAAGAATGAAAAAGAAACGAATGAAGCATCCCGATGATATTGTCCTCCGCCGCCTTCCATTACTGAGCCGCCTGGCAGCTCTCAAGCATCGCCTGCATCTCCCGCAGCTGCTCCTCAGTCGGATCGTCAGAGATCCAGGGTCCCTTCTCCTCATCCGTCGCACCAAGGAAGCCCTCGGCACGCTTCAGCGTCTGCACGTCCAGGTCTGTCACGTAGCTGTTGCCGTCCGTGAGCTTGATGCGCACCTCGTGATCCGTCGACAGCATCATGTCGTCCTTGGCCAGTCGCCGAGGACCATCAAACACTGCCATCACCCGCTTCTTCATCGTCATCTGGCCCTTGTCGAAGCCCCAGGAAGAAGGGTAGTCGCGTCTGTTCTTGCGACCCTTGGCCTTGACAGGCATAGGGCCGCCTCCACGGGAGTGCGTGAGGCCGCGCGACTTTTGAACACCGTTGACCGGGTTGCCCTTCCTCTTGGGCGACGCGCTGACGCGCTGCTTGCTGTCTTCCTCGTCATCGTCCTCCATCATCTCCTCGTCGTCCTCCTCCTCGTTCGAGGGCATCTGCGTCTGCGTGGGCAGATGGTTCTTCTCCAATGTCTGGTGCACCTCCTTGTCGTTCTCAACCTCGGCCAGGCGCTGAGCGTTGATGGCCTCAGAAGGATCCTCCTGCTGCACAATGCGCAGCACACAGTCGTCCAAGTGCTCGTAAAAGTCCTGAGCGTTGGAGAAGGTCTGCGAGCAAGTGGAACACTTGCCAGTGGCATCGGGAGGGTATCCCGCGAGCTTCTTGCCGCTGTTGGCGCTGCTGCTCTTCTTGCGACTGTTGGGTGGTGTCTGCTCGACGCCGTGGACGGCTGTCAAGTGACGCTTGAAGACATCGGCGCGGTTGAACGACTTCTCAGCCGCTGAACCGGAGCCGGGGCAGAAACCGCACACCATGGTTCCCTTGTAGTGCGTCAGGGTGTGGCGGTTCTTGTCGTACTTGCGAGCGAATCCCTTGACGTGGTAGTCGCAAGTCACAATCGGGCACTTTTCCGGCCGCTCAGTCTGGTGAGTGAGCATGTGGGCCTTGAGGTCTTTGAAGACCTTGCCGCATTCGGGATGGGGGCATCTCTGCTTCTCCTTGCCCTCATCGCCGCTGTAGTTGTTGCCATCAGAGTAGGTTGAGGGGAATGAGTGAAGGCTGGGGCGGCGGGCGTCACCGGGAGTAGCGTAAGGGCTGAATTGCTGCTGCTGCTGTTGGAAACCGCTGTGGAGGAAGGGCGATTGACTGCCGTTACGAACCATTGACATTGACTGTGATGAGGGCGAGAGGGCAGGCGAGGTGGGATACTGGTTGGGGTTCTGGAAGTTGGCCATCATGGGGCGGCTGATGTCGGGGTGGATCAAAGAAGGGTCTGGAGCGGAGAGGTGGTCAGCGGGCAATGTGCGATAAGGAGGATGATGCTGCTGCTCGACAGAGGAAAACCAACAAGAAGAACCAAGAGGAGCGACGAAATGGCCGCTGCTCTGAGAAAAGAAAGTAGAGACTCGAGGAGTCTTTGGCGAGTGGCCCCAGACGGGCGCCGGAGGAGAAGAGAAGGAAGTAGAGCTAGGAGAGACAAAGGACAAGCTTGACTTGCGCGATGCGGGCGTGACAGGGGATGAGGAGGACGAGTGAGTATCCAGCACCGGGCCCGAGTCGCGCACGCGCACAGCTGAAGCTATAGCGGTGTTGGAAGAATGAGAGCCAATTGACTCGTGTGAAGGAGAAGGAAAAGAAGAAAGCGCGCGAGATGAGGGCGCAAGAGTGGTTCTAGAAGCGTTTGGCAACTCACCCACGAAACCCGGGGGCTTGGTGTTTGCAAATTCGAACGTTGCAAAGTCTTCCATACCTGGGCCGGCGTAGGTCGAGTACTCTGTACCGGCGGTGTTGTAGTAGTCGTGGGGCACGATGCCCGGGGTCACAGCGATGCCGGGGTGCGCCCAGTCGAGGATTGGCGCCGGCTGGTCGTTGTGTGATTGGGGCGAGCCTACGTTGGAGGAGGCCGCCGATGGTGCTGATGCGGTAGAAAGGTTGGAAGAAGGCAGTTGGAACTCGGCGTCCTCGTAGAGGCCAGGTGATGTGCGTCCTTGGTACATAAAGTTGTTGTCGTAGAGGGCAGGCTGGTGATCCATTGCCATGGAGGTTGGGAACAAGTAAGAGGCGTCGGCAGGGATGCTCATCTCCATGGGTGCTGTGCTGAAGACTCCCTGTGGTGGCTCAGGGTAAAGAATGTAGTCGTCGTGGTGCTGGGGGCTCAAGTGCCTGGGGAGCATGGTATATGACTGGTCTATCGAAGCCATTTTGTAGGAGATAGACGTGTGTGTGTGTATGTTTATGGTAATGTGGTGAAGAGAGAGGTAAAGGGTGATGATCTGTGGAAGGCCTCTCGGTCAAATCCGAGTTGCGAAGTCGCAGAGTTGATGTTATATGGTTGGTTGGTTGGTTTGCTGTAGCTGTCGCTCAGTCCGAAGCAAAGCCACACAGTTGCCTTGTATTATGCCGTCACTGCTATTCTTCCCACTGCTGTCAGTCGTCTGTACTATTTGACCTGCTAAAAGCTGCTGCGCTGTGCTGCGCCTGCTTTGGATGTGGGGCTGGTGAAGCGCACCTGCAGCGATGTTCATGCCCGCGGCGTTTCCGCGTTGTGAGGTACCGGGCCGTTAAATGATTGGCGAATGCTTTCTCTCTCTCCGTCTTTCTCTGAGCTTTACTTTGCGCGCGGTAGTATGCCTCTGAGGATATGGTTCCTGAATATTTGCCGCGTCAAGGAACCAAGTGTAGTAAGAAGAGAGTTGTTGCTGGCGAGAGTGAAGTAAGAGACGGTGGGTGGAGGATGTCTTTCTTGAAAACGTGTGAAAGACTACTAGGTGATGGACCGTCGTCTTGGTGTCGTGGGTATCCGGAGATCTGGGTCTGATAGATAGATGTAGAGACTGATGGGGGCGAGAAACAAATCACCAAGAGCCTTGGGGGCTTCACGACTGATATAGACCGGCTGCGAGCTACGCTCTTGTCGAGAGAGAGAGAGAGAGAGAGACAGACGCAGAGACAAGAGACCACCACATCTTGCAGACCGGGGGCACATGGGTTCGGCGGCCGTGGCTTGCTTGCTGTTGGCACTTGGGGACCCGGTGGACGACGCGGATCAGTCTCCTCCAGATGGTGAACCCCCAAAGATGACAGGGGACCAAACGCCCAGGGGGCGGAGGTCGTAGGGCAGAGCAACAAGCAAAAGCGACGAGAGCGAGCAAGCGGCAGCGGCAGCAGCAACGCCAGAGTGAGAGGCGGTACCGTACCGTACGCCGACCTTGCGGCAGGGGTCAGGGGTGCGTCGAGCGGAAAGGGGGCGTGGTGGGGAGGAGGGTGGTTGCTGGAGACCTCGACTTGGGTGTGTGGTGGGCGTGAGCCTTGTTCATGGGGTGTGTGGGTGGTGTGCGTGCATAGACCAGACGAGAGGCGGCTTCTTCTTCTTCCCTCGTTCTTGTTGCTCCTCCTCCTCCTCCTCCTCGCCTGTCTGCACCATCCCCTCTTGTCCCCTCTGCTTCCGTGGATACCTCATTTAGCGCAAGATACGCACCCAAACGAACTAGCCTTGCTTGACCTGGCTGGAGGGGCTCGGCCTGAGGGCGCCGGGTAGTAGAGCCACGAAACAGCGCCCATTCCAGACTCGGTTTTTCGACCTTCGACTGCGAGCCTTCTCGACACTTTCAAGAGACTCAGAGAGAGGGGGGTGTGAGTCCTTCTTCGTTGTCTCTGCCCACCGATGCGGGATGCCAAGATCTGTCTCTGAAATGGTCTCTCATTTCCATCCGTTGTGCTCTCTGAGCCGTCTGCCGCGGTGGTGTGCCACAGAGACAGACATTCATTAGCTTTGGAGCGAAAAGGAACCATCTATCGTCGTCTACAACACACCTCGACAACTTCTGTACGCCGTATGTGTTGATGGAGACGGGTATCTGGGAACGAGATGGTGACGGCCAGCCATACTGCGTAGGTAGTCGCAATGGGTACTTGATAGCTCTGGTATTCAGTACTTTGCTGGCTAAGCTGGTGGCCTCCGACAACCAGACCTCACACCCACTGCCGCGCTACAGAATGGCAGCCAGCACCCCCTTGGGCCAGTGCTGACCAGGGCCGCCAGACTCTCAACAGCTTGGGCCTTGGTACATCCCTGGCATCGAGAAGTACGGTAGACAATACTTCTCGCATGTACAGTCGGTCAAGTTGTGTCCACTGGTGCAGACCCTGGTATCTGGCCAAACCCCCCTTGAGCGTTCGAGTGCTCTCGGGTCCTGTCCCAGTAGGTAGACGCGAGGGGCCTGACAGGGGCCCCAAATGAGACAGGCAGCGAAGGTGCAGAAGCTGTACGAAGCATTCCCAGATAGTAACTTGTCAGGCCCAAGAGCCTAGTTGGGAGTCTCCGTCTGCAGCTGTAAGTATCTCACTTCGTAGTCTGGTAGCCTGTTGGCAGCGTACGAAAAAGCAGAGCCGTTCCCCCGCCAGTCAGGTGTGGTGCTGGGGGCGTCGCTCTCCGCCGCCGCGGGATGCCGTCGGTATGATTTGGATCTATTGACCCGTCTGCTGTGGGAGGTGTCGACGTCGCCGCAACCGGGTTGCAAAGCACTGCACCAAGTGCCTACTCCGTAGGGCTCAATCATCCGTTTCCGCTCTGCTGCCGACCATGCGTCCAGCGTCCCTTGGTTCGTCCTCCATGAACAAGGAGATATATTGGATCGCCAGTGTACATGCAGCTCATGTCGCGAGCCCGGTCTGCACAATGACAAAAGTATTCGTAGGTCTCTGGGTCTATGCAAAACTTTCTTCTTCCTGTACCACTCTCCCATCAACTCTCACATCGAAAATGGCGTCGCAACTTTCGACCGTGCTGTAAATTCAAGGACCTGGAAACAGCAAGCGGTATATGCAAGGTCCTGCATATGCTGACGGACGTAAAGCAACGTGAGGGTTCGAAAAAAAGAAAGTTGACTTGGAAATAGTGTGCATGAAGCACGTCCAACAGCCACAGCCCCCTTTCGCCAACCTCAGAGCCAAATGTGGATAGCAATAGCCAAAGTTGTATCTTGAGGCGACAACAACTCGCCAGTGTGCGTCAGATGCGTCAGTAACAGCTTGGGCACTCCGCATGTTGGCCTCAAAATGGCATAACTTGACTCCAAAACGGGCTTCATCGTCAGTGAGGGGGGAGCGGGTTATTGTGGAGGCACTGGCGGGAGGTGCTGCTGCGGTGTACTTTCTCCCACACTCTACGTGTCTGTCTGTATTTGTGCTCTGTGTCTGTAGGTCGCGCCGGTACACATATGGTGTTGCGTTGCTTACTGTAGGTAAGGTGTCGACGTGGTTGAGGGGCGGGATATTTTTACTCACTGCACACTGCGGGTGCTCGTGCTGTGCTGAACAAGCCTCCTTCATCCCAGGCCCAGGGATCTCTCTCATTGCGATTTTGTACATGAGTGTGGGAGTTGGCCCAATGAACGGCGTCGCGCCTCTCTCCACGCTTGCAGCCCGTGGCAGCACTTTGGTGTGCAAGCCGGGCCCGCCTTCGACTTGTTGGTGTGCACAGCCCGGCCTTATCCGTCCCTCTAAGTTATTAGTCGAAACCTTTAGAGGTTGGACATGACATTGGATGTCCTGCAGTCACCCCATATCGCGCTGTTCCAGGCGGTGCCTGGAGTGTGGGTAGCACTGTTGACTGGATATAGCGACCTCGAACCATACGACGGCGCCTGTGCCTCCTCAAAGGTAATGGGATCATGTACGGGCCGGAGAGAGAATCTGTACCGATCCATGTCTTCGTGACGGCCACTAATGTTGCTATTCCTCCCGCCCTTCCTTGGGACGACGATGCGTGTCAGCATCTTGTTCGCGGCATCGTGTCCCAAAACGGCATCGGGGCAGCTCAATCTTGTCAAGCCTCCAAGTTCCAGTGTGCGGGACAGCTTGCATCGTACATGTTCGACTGGCAGAGACAACAAGGTGGGCTGGTGGTTCAAAGTCTTCGTTGAGAACAGCCGTCCGACCACCGGCCACGACACGCGGCAAAAACATCGAGTTTCGAAGAATCGGGACGGCCCAAATAGAGTTCCACGACCCAAGCGGCGTGACTGAGTCTCTTGTCTGTGATGCCATGCCAATCCGGGCTGGCGGGTTTGTTGGCTGGTCCAAGGGTTCAGACGTTGGAAGGGTTCCAGAGCCGTTCGGTCATAGTCATCGCACGCTAGAGGCACCACGTCGCGGCACCGCTCTCTAGAGGCGTATTCCATCCAGTCGATGGCCAGAGTTCGAAATGGCCCAGCCCGAGACTTGATCTTGGTGCAACCGGCCCCTTGGGAAATGTATGTGCGGCAGGTGGAGACCAAAGTTCTGGTGGTTAGATGCCTCTTTTCGTCCTCAGTCCTCATGCCACCAAGCACCGGGCCACGATGAGACAAAAGACTAGTGCCGACCTCTGGAAAGATTCACGTTGTTGCCATTCAACGCCTCGTCTCCATTGTGGCAGGCAAGCCAGTGTTCCTAGATAGCCTTTCACGCTTCGTTGCTTTGGCGTTGCCTCGCGACGACTTGCCACGGCGGTCTCAAGCCTCTGCACAGAGTACGACACGTCGAGCTCCTGGATAACTATGTGCGTCGCATCGGGTTGGTGAATTCGAGACGTGAAGCCGGACCATTGGAACATCATCGTCCGCCGGCGTACCAAACAATGCCTTCTTGCTAGCGCGCAGGAGTGTGATGGAAATTGAAGTAATTCGCTAGTCTGCGTGGGATTACGGCCGTTGCCGCACGGGCTGAGCAAGGGCAATCTCACGCTCTCCCAATCTTGTATCCGTAGAGTTCGCTAAATCTTGACGATGTTGCTTCTTGAGTTGTCGCTAATGCCCTGGAGAGTAACATTGACCAAAGCATAGTTCGCAATAGCAGTCGCATTCAGACGTACACGCATAGGGTGGTTTCGCTTGGCGAGATTCGATGCGCTACTGACCAAAGCATTCCGCATCATGGGTCGCCGGCCGGGGCAGCTCACACGAGGCACCCATGGAAGCCATGGGGAACTCGAATTGTCTCCGCACTGCGAAAAAAACCGTACTGTGGTAGAGAGCCAACGTGGGATAACATCGTCCATCGAGACATGTCGCCCGATTAGGTGTAGCGGTGGCTCATCTGCCCGAGACCCTGGTTGGAAGCCTCTGATTGGCGCTTTTACGGCTCCCGCTATCCTTGCCGTGTAGATAGTCAAAATCTTTAAAAAGAAATCCAGGAGGCGGTGCAACCTTGCCGTCGTTCACCAGCCCCGATGAACCCCAACCTTGCCAAGGGCTGCCACCCAGATGCTAGGACGGGTGTGGGCAGTGTTCAGTGACTTGAGCATCCACCAATGTTTCATGCTCGTGGCACGTAGTGGTACCTTGCACTGGCCGGCTTGATTCCATCCCGTTTTCCTGGGAACATGGATGCGCCTTACCGACCCGGATTTGTTGTCCCTCAGAAACCCTGCAGTCATCAAACGTGGAAGCATGTCGATAATTGGCATCTAATATTGCCTGGCTCGCGGGACAGAGGATGATGCATGTACGAATATCTGTAGGCTGTAGGTGGCATCCTTTGCACGGCGTATTCCTTCCGTCATCTCGTGTTTATGGCGACGTCATGTGTGCTCCTTGCGACCCGTACAACGCTATCGGTTGATCAAATGTATCTACGGAATTCTGACTTTGACGGTCGGCTCTCTTGGTCACCGAGGATGCGTAGGTTCGTTCCGAGCAACGCAGGTAGGGATGTCGTGTCGACTTGGATGTGGTGCTCGCCGAGACTCGAAGATTCTCGCCGGAGCTTATGGTGTTAGCCTGGTGTCTCTGATTTCGAAAAACGTTTGGTCAGAAGGGCTTGTATGCCGGCCGGGACTTGCAATGCTCCAAGAACCAGCCAAACGGAATCTGCCATGCTCTCCTTCTCCTTGGCGCACCTGTGCTGATGCGGGTTGCAAGCGTCATCTCGTCTTTGGACCCGCGTGCCATTGCTTCAAATGAAGCAGTCCGTAAGTGAGACTCGACCAAGGTGGTTAATAGCACGGGGCAGAGAAGTCCCCAAGCCCCTTGTTCTACGAGCGCACACATTGCATGCTTTCGTTTGGTGGCTTGCTGAAGCTCAAGGGTCTTCGTGTGGAGCCAGCGGACGGGAGCGATCCCGCCATTTCGAGGTATAACCAGCCGGCCGGCGTTGGGTAAAGAGGCATGCAGCACGCAAGCCGCTCCTGTGCCGCCCAGTCCTTTCCTGTAATCCGCGCGTCGGGTTCTTTCGACGCCGCCATGCATCTTGTCAAGGAAACCGAGCCTGCGCCTAGAGAAGTCGACGACGGTCAGCCTTACCGAATCAACAGCACGCCCTAAAGAAGAAGAAAAACAAAACATCGATCAAGGCTTCGTCGGATGTCCCAATGATCATTGCAACTCGCAAAGTCTCCGTTTACGCTCCTCCTGCTCGTAGTCAGGGGGCTGTTATGCATTCATCGTGCGGAAAGTTTGTCGCAAAATCTTTACGTAGACGCTTAAATTTGCAGTCGAACGCAGGGAGATGGCACGTTAGAGGGTGATGGCGCCGGGCACCAACTTGGTGCTTTCATTGGTTCAACCGACTCGATGTGTCCCCTCGCCGGAGACTTTAGCGTCCGTTGCACTGGCTCAATGTTGGATGATTGCGGCCATCCATGCCGCCGCGGGCCGGTCATATCATTGGTTGTGTCTAAGGTAGAATCTGAATCTGTAGTAAATAGGGGTCTCTTGCTCAACTGGTCGTTGGTGATGTGGAGTACGTGCGAAGACAACGAGGACCGTCGCTTGGATCGTGCTGACCGGGTAAGCTAGGACCAAGGGGTGAGGAAAGAGCGAATGGGAGGCATAGGCGTGGGCTCCCGAGGGATGCGCAGCAGTGAAGCATGGGTCGGGATAGTGACGATTGCGGCAACCAGAGAGAGACGTCGAAATCAGTGGGTGAGATTTGCGCATGTAGGTGTGCGGAATCGTGGCCTCGTCTGCAATGGCATTGGCCACATCCGACTGTGCCGCCTGGTCGGTGCATAACCATGGCTATGCGGGGGGTCGTATTCTATTGAAAATCAGGTTCAGAAGTGATCTCATGACTGACCGACAACGTGCAAGGCAAGGCAAGACGGCAAGCTTGGCGAGGGTGCAAGAAATGCTGCAGGGTGGAATGGGCCGAAGGGATGAGACGATCATAGTGACTTTGACCAGACGTACAATGCAATGGCAGGTGCCGTGGTATGGTACTTTGGAGCAAAGCGACTGTCGGCGGGATCGATAATACGACTTTGGCAATGGCTGGCGATAAACTCTAGAGTCTAGACCAGTCCGTAAAGTGAGCGATCCCACACAAGACGACGACGATGGTCCACTGACCCAAGAGATTGGGCTGCATCCGAGTCGAAGTTTGGTACGCGCAGATGGCGATTCAGGCGAGCCGGGACAATGCTTGTCTGGGACAGGGTACATGGTGCCGAAAATCCATCATGTTGGCGGTGGGTTCGAGGCCATGAACGAACAGTGGATTGTAAAATGAAGTTTCATTCTTCTTCTGGCAAAGGTAGACGAAGGCGAGCCGCGAAGGGGCAGAGCACATGGGAGATTGGCGTCAAGGGCGGCATGGCATCGCATCTTTTGTCGTATGTTTCTGGCTGACCCCAGAATGTTGCATCGGCAGTAGGATTTGGATTATGGATGATGGATCACGACCATGAAGATGGCCTCGTAGTGCCATGCCCATGTCGGCGTTGAAGCCCAACTATGGATGCTTTTGTGTATCCGAACCGCCGGGTCCCTTGCCGTGTACGCCAGCGCCATTGCGACTCTTGGGATGCTTCGTTTTTCTGATTTTGTCGTTGTGGCCTCCCCAGGAGCAGGCTACAATGTAACACAGTAGCATTGATGAATGCACATGTGTGGCTGATGACACTAGGGAATCTGGGAGACTGGCAAGCCGCAAGACTGGGTATCGGGATGGACTTGGGAGGTGCGAGGTGGGAGCATCCATAGGGCTGAGTCTGCCAGCCACCGCCGGGCTGGCAAACTCTCAAGTGCAGCAGGCAGTCGCAGTCGCAGTTGCAGTTGCAGTTGCAGTTACGGTCGGGTTGCAATTGCAGGGAGGATGAGATCAGGGGGAAGGCGCCGTCTGCGTCGTTCCCAAGGTACCGTACTCCCTCCGCAGTCAATGCCTTCCGTTGTGCAATTGCTGAGGTAATGGAAGGAACTGCGGAGTACCTAGGTACCTTAGGCACGGAACGTACCTACCTAGATACCTTGCCTTCCATTTGTGATCATCGCGGGAAGGTCCCGGTATCTGGCGTGTGTCTTTCTTTCCTCGCCTCAGATATTGTCATACCTGGTATTTAAACGCATACGAATGTCTACTTGGACATGGAAGTTCTCAACCACTCAGCGAAGAGGGGAGGAGTATCCGTAATTAGCTCCTGCTCTCGTCGCGATTGGCTTCTCCACGAAACCGCTTGTCCTGCCGGAGCACGGGGGGTGGTAGATTTTACTGCCACTGCGCAGTCTATGGTAGAGACAAGTGTCGCGAGCGTCAGATGTGGACACGGGGCGATCCTGCATCATCTTCCATGTCGTTGCAGTTGTTTGCTCGAATCACGGGCCGACTAGCCAAGATGCGGAGGTGAGGCACAAACGGAAGCACAGGGTTGGGCCACAGCATGCATATGCTCGAGACACCGACACCCATCATCCGAATGCTTGGGACGAGACGGACGGGACGACAGGCAGGCAGGTGCAGGGACGAACAGCGCAAGGGTCGTCGGTACCACGGTGGAGACATTGGAAGGGAGGGGTGCTTCGCACGGACCAGAGCATTTCCTAATTCGGCAAGCTGTGCGATAGCCTCACCCTCGACTTTCCTCCACTGACTGGCAGGCCGTAGGTACGGCAGGTACGGACAACTTCACCATGAACTGAGGTGTACAGATTGGAGATCCGACTGGTGATGTCCACAATGCTACCTTACTCCGTCCGTACGGGCTTTACTTTGCCATGCAACACAGAACTCCGTACGCAATTACCAGAGTCTCTCCAGTCTGCCGTGGACATAGTAGTTGGAAATTGACTGAACACCCATGGCCCATGGGAGTCGAGACCAAACATGACGGGAATGCGGGTTCAGTCAGTTTGATACCTGCTCAGAAGTTAGGACGGCCTGAGCCCCAACCTTTCGATTATCAGACTGAACCCCTTCCCCGGCCCAAGGTAAGGTAGGTTGTCTTATGCCAAAAGACACAAGACCCTAAACGTCGGTCGACTGTGAGAATTTGCGCACACCTGAGTACCGAGTCTACGCAGACGGAAGAAGTGCTCCATGGCCCTCACACAAGACTCCAAGACCTTCTCAGAAGCATCGTCATTGTTGCCAGCATTCTTCAATGGTTCTGGGTTACATCTCGCATTCTGCGGGGCGGCAGTACGGTGGATTCCCTGTCGTGATTTCCATTGCAGCGTCACTCACCTGGCGGTGACGGCGGAACGCGGGAAGAGAACAGCGTTTTTTATTGGACCTTGCAATGGACAGTTTTCATTGGTTGATGAAGCGACGATCGATGATTAAGGTTCCTGGGATCGGCGTCGCCGAACAGAATAGCAGCAGGTGGGGCCTATACCTCATAGACCTCTCACAGACCTCACACAGGGAAATATCTCGGATACGTACTGTCTGTCTCCATTATGAATGGAGACGAACGAATCAGAAGACGCCAATGTAGTTCCGTTTCCTCAATACCGCGGAACGAGAGACCCATCCACCGTCATTCCGTGTCCTACGGAGTCACATTCCTCATCCTCAAGCCTCAACCTGTTCACTGCTCAGTCAATAATCAGTCACCATACACTATGAAGTACCTAGCCCAACAGTGCTCTCCTAGGGTCATAGGGTGGAACTCCACGATCCACGATGCCACCGACAACCGTTGAAGCTTGTGTGGTTCTCGAATGTCGACGACGTTGGCTAGACTGGCGACTGCCTCATCGGATGGCTGAGACTTGGGCCCGCAGAGATTCGGTCGTTGGTTGCCATTTCAGATATCCATGCCAACGTTTCAAATACCCATCTTTCACTTGCTAAACCCGACCTTTTCTAGGAACTGAGGCGTTTCTATTGAGTCAGTTGTCGTTGTCGTCGTCACGTCGAGTCGTTACACCCAAGTCAGAAGCTCCAACATTGTCCACGGCCCGGGGCAACACTGCATACCTGGCCGCTGCCGGCCAATGGCTCGCATCCGATGGGATATCGACTCGGATTGGCGGGTTCGCATTCTTCGAGCAGAAGCATTGGCAGACAAAGAAAGGTTGGGTGTCTCGTTTCCCGACAAAATCAAACAAAAGTAACTCCGTACTCCATACTCCATACTGATACCTACCGCAGGGTTGGACGCATCCCTCATGCCTGTCTATCCGTATACGAACTATGAACTGCCGTCGCGGCACCTCATGACTGAAGAAAAGACGATTGCAGGCATGTCTCGATTCTCGACTCCTCGTCGACTTTCAGTCTCTTGTCACTGTCATGATCCACACGGGTCATGCGGATGTCATAAACGCGGGCGGGGTCACGAGCTGCCAGGGCCCAGAGCCGGCCTTGATGTCTCTCAAGGCAGCAGCATTTCGACCGTGGTTGCTTTTCTGTGTCGAATAGACGAGATGCAGGCTTTGTACAGCAAAATTACGCTAGCCAGGGGCCCAAGTTGCCTGCCCTGGGGATCATTTTTACCCCTGTTTTCTTTTCCACACACGCTGCACCCAGCCAGACGTGCGAGACAAGAGGGGGGAAGATGAACACCAGGGCTTTGGGCAGCAAATCGAGCCGTGTGTTTGCAGGACCCGTTTCTCTGGATTCCGCAGATCTCATATTGCAGGGTTTGGCCTTACCAAATCGATGCTGAGGACGCTTGCGACGAATACAGTAATAGTAAACGAGAATGACAAGGGAGCCCAGGCCCAAAACGGCTTGGGGCGGGCTGTCTTGGTGCGTCGGGGAAGTGTGGGAAGGGAAGCGGGCACGGCGGGGCGGGAGGATGCTAGCGATTTGAAGACTCGAGCCAAGCATCGACCCGTGGGCCTTGTCTTCTGCCCCCAAGGGCCCAAGACTGTTACACAGACCATCACCACGCCTGAGCAGGTTGCGACGTCGGCCAAGTCTAGTCTGGGCCTATACTGGGCTAGGGCGACGACGGCGCGATACTGCGTGATGGTCTGGGGGGTTTGCTAGTGTATGGCAAAATCAACGGTTTTGCCCGTGCCGCAATGGCTTGTGGCGGACTGGCGGCATCTGCCTCCAGGCTTACGGTTTGCCAGGCCTGCCAGAGTAGACGGGCACCAGGTTGGCATAGCCTGTAGCGTGATGGACCAGACTCCTGGGACGACGATTCAACTCTGGGGTGTGAGAGTCGGTTGTTGACAGACTACAGACAACAGTACCTGCGTGCAGAGCCGTGTCCTGTAGGCATTCCTTTGAAGCACGATGCGCTTGCCACCACCAACTCGCTGTGAGTTGGCCGTTGTTTCTTCCATTTGGGGGCCAGGACCAGACCACACGCGGAGGCTTTCGCCTCAAAGCTTCGCTAGAGGGCCCAAGGCCATGGATATGAGGGGAGAGCTGGGAGACCCTGTTATGAATGTGTCTGGCTAATCTATGAAGAACTGCCAGGATATCAAGCCATAGACGTCTAGCTCAGGACCGAAGCCGTTCCCAGACCGATCATGTCCTTGATGTTTCATGGCCCTTGCAGAGAGATGGAGAGGAGTAATTAGCAGTATTTGGTAAGACAGGCACGGCATCTCTGCCCATACTCCCTTCCATAACAAGTTAACAATCTAGTGCCCACTTGTTCGGTGCCACTAACAAGAGCAAGAGGAGAAAAGACATAGAAATGAAAGGAGTGGGGCTTGTGAGAGTGCAAGTTGTGGATCATGGTCGGGGCGGGGAGAGAGAAAGGGGGGGGTGTGGAAGACGAAGAAGCGGTGCGGAACACGTGAGAGACAGCGGTACGTACTGCTTCGCGGGCAAGTGGAGATGGAACAAGACTGCGAGATTGTGACTCGGTACGTACTGACTTGGATGAGGCAGCAAGAAAGAATGAAAGAAACGTCCCCACCACGCGTCAAATCAAGGTTTCTATCTTTAACCCCAAATGAGATAAACTCCGAACACACGCAGCACAAGCGTCTTCCCTGCCGTCCACAGATGCCTTACACAGTTCACTACGCAAGAAAAGAGCGGGGACCGCAAGGCACACATTCCCCCGCTGCTTCATGCTCTCCCAGAGAAAGCCTCGCCTACTGCACCACATACATTGCATCTTGACCGACCTCCATCACAGTACCACACTACACTACGACAGCGGACAGTGGTGATCCAGGCAAGCCAGGTTGTCCTCTACATACAATGGATCTGGATATACCCCTAGGCGCTATGGCACTTGGAGCCGCTTGCTAACGAGACCCGGACAGACCATGCATGCCTATGCCTTGCCCGCCCAGAGTTCTGAAAACCAAGGTAAGGTTGTCAGTCCCTTGGCCCTTCACACTCCACTACCAGGTGCGGCATCTACGCAGTAAAGGACCCCTCCCACTAACCGTCGTATACCGAATCCGGTTTGGCCTGAAATTCACTGAACCTCTTGGCTTGGGCTTCGTTCACATGGAGAGCGGATCCCTTTTTTCTCCTTCCCCTCGGCCTTACTACGACTACACTCCCAAATGGACGAACCTACGGCACTGTCGTACAGGCTTCAACCCCGTTCCAAACCTTCCGCGGAATGCCCCCAGTTCCCTGCCAAGCGTGCCTTGGCCATTGCAAAGTCTCGCCCATCTTCATTATTCCGCAGTACTTGGAGTACGAGATCATGGGCATGCATAGCTTGACGAAAGTGGGCGCGCGAGCATGCACATACAGTACGGATACTCCAGTCTCCGTGGAGGAAAAAGAAAAGAAATAAGATCGGTGCCCACGGCTTCTGTGACCTCAATCTCTTGGGGCGGGGGGGGACACAGCGGGGAGAGGGCCTGGCCTGGACCGTCGAATGGACGTCAAATGGCTACCTGACGATTTTATGCCCTGACAGACAGGGGAAGCAAAAAGATGATGGAGTGTCGTTGAAGACAATTACGCGCTACCTGCGATTGGCTCCTCCATCAGGTCTCACCCGTTGTGAAAAAGCATGTAATTGGGATACGTTCGGCCAAAACGTCCACGCTCGCAAGCACCCCCCGCAAATTCATCCAAACATGTACCTACTTACTCGACATTAGACGATTCGTTATCGTCCCATCACTCAGGATGAATGGAGAGCGCATCACAATCGCGCAAAGGGAACTGCATTCAGTCGTCCGCTGCTCCTCTTTCGGACCACTATCTCGGAGAGCCAGCAGTATCAGGTAAGGGATGGGAGATGTGGAAAGAAACCAAAGGGGAAGAAATTCGCATCTCTTACCAATCGGCGCTACCCCCGTTTGCAAAAACAACCCTTTCCGACTCCCGACTTTCGTCTGCCCTTTTTTTTTGCTCATCGTGATAGGTTGGCCGGCGGGAGATTGTCCTAGTACCAGTATGCAGGCTTTCCAAAATGGGTTTGGCGTATCGACGTGTGGAGAGCTGAGGACGGGGGGACAAGACAGGCCCATGGGCTCATCAGTCACTCCCCTGGCCCTGGAAGTATTATACCGAATTTTTCGCAGTACGGATACTGAATCCCCTCCCCAATCCCCGTCGCCATCGTCTACTCCGTACTCCGTCACGTCCGTACGTACGGTCGGCGGCCTGCGGTCTGCGGCAGGTTTCCCCCTGTCCTATCCACTGATGAGGAATTATGGCTACCCGTCTTGTAGATCCGATGCTACGTCAAAGGTGAGCCGTCACCCGTGGGACTTCTCTGGGAGGTCAATAATGATCGACATATCAAACATGATGTGCCAAATCCCGGTCTCTTCTCTCAGTCTGCGTGCCTGCGAGGGGGGAAGGGGAGGGGCTTGGGGGGTCCGGAAGATAGATGACAGAGAGTGATCCACGAGATCCAGTGCTTCCATCATCCATGCGTGCCATGATCTCACTGAGAAAATGCAGAAGGGATAGGCAATGATACCTGGTAACTCCGTAGGTAATCCGTAGGCAACTACATAGGTCTCTCGACGGGAACGAAACGATGTCACGATCTGCCAGGACAGACGGAATTACGCAATGACACAAGCCTCACCTTTCTGTATTCGCTACTCTTACTCTATTTTCCAAGGTTCCTCTCTCTTGGATTCTCGCGCATTCGTTCTTCCTTCGCTCTCCGGGTCTCCCTGCAGCGTAGATCCTGCGCCAGTCCCAGGAACCCCAGGGCTGCTCTCCTTATTCTTTCTTTTCTTCGTTTCCCAGACCGCCGCTTGAATGCGAAGTCGTGCTCAGGCACTCTGGGTCCACCAGCACCAGCAGCAGCTGGGCCCAGGTGTTTTTTTTTTCACCGTTACATCGGAGACGAGAAAGAAGGTTTGATTCTCCAGTGGTATCCGTATTACACAGTACACTACCGCAACCACATGGAGGCTTGTCTGGCTGGAGGCAGAATCTTTTTCTGTTCGGTCTTGTCCGCGGGCCGGGGGTTCCATGCTTCACGATGAGCCGGGGGCCGCAGAATGACTGAAGCCTTTTCGACAACCACCAAGTAGTCGTGATGCGAGTCTTTTTTTTGTGGGAAAGAGTTTCCCTCGGGAGGCAGCCCAATCTTTGACTACCGTGGCTACGTAGTTCTTGTCCCTGTTGAGCTGGTTTTCCGTCCAATACTCTCTCCCATAGAGGCGCTCCAGATTCTCAAGCGTGGACACCCCCTCCCCCTACCTACTCCTCCATGATATCGCGCCTACTATCGTTCGTCCCTTGAGTTTAATGTATGTACGTATATGCGTTATTCCCCGATGGGAGGATGGGAGGGGGCGTCCAAGGGTCACCACATCATATACACACTCACTCTCCCCTCCCAGGCCGTCCAGACGCCGTCCCCGTGCCACGAAAATGAGATGTGTGTGTGTGTAAGGCGGGAAGCAAGCCCAGTCCCAGCCCAGTCCAGGCCAGCCCAGACGCCGTGATACCTGCGTCTACTGTCTGCCGGCAGCGGGCGAGTGTTGGTGATGGATCAACCCGCCCGGACCCCTATTTCGGGGAGTTTCTTTCCTCTCTCCGGTTTTCGCAGATGAGGAAGGGAATAATATCTCCGTAGCGCCTGCAAGAGTGAGATGGAGGCGCCGCGGGCAGGTAGCCGGGACCTCGCGGTGACCATAGTGATATCTTGGGTTATTGGTTGTGTTTGTTTTTGTCTGCATATAGAGTCCGCTGTTACACAATATCGGACTGTAATCCATATCTGCCGTAATACCCTTATCACAGAAACAGGAACACGCGAAAAAGCCCCCTTCATGGTGATGTTGCTGCCGTACGTTGAGTCTCACACTCAACGACTGAAGTTTTCCCAACAGTCCGGTTCGAGAGGCGCTTCCCGCGAGAGGAAAATCCTTGCTGGTCGGAACCAACGCAGCCCAACCATCCTAGCTTAACAAGGCGAGAAATCACTAACAAAGTAAACCACCATCGACGACACCAAAAGGCTCGCACTCACACGCGCACACACACACCACCACCAGATCCTGCCGTGCCTTGGTTCCCCTCCAACGGGCCGGGGAGGAAAGATGGACGATGAGCCTAAGTCTTTAGAGACAACCATCTTCTTTTCTTCCTGGGTGCCACAATTGGTCCAGCCCGGAGTTGCGGTCTTGCACGGCTAGGTATTGCTATTCTTTCCGTCTTCGGCCATGAGGGAGAGTCCGAAGACTGGCATAAGATGGTATGAGACTATCGAGATATAAGACCGGCTTGAAAATGTGCTCTTTCTTTTTTGGTAGCCCACTGGGCTTGAGCTTCAGAAAAAGAATCTTCACGCTTGACGACAGCGTCACACGAAGGACAGCTTATCTCGGAGTGAGAGAGGGGTAGCGGAACAGTCGTTTGGTACAACACTGTTTACATGCCAAAAACAAAGTCTGGCCTGGCCTTTCCACCTTGTGATAAAACCGCACCAGTATTCCAGACCATCAATGCCTTGCCACGAGGGATTGGAAGTTGAGGTCTTTGACCGGCCAGGTTTCTCTACACGACGTGGCGCGTGGTCTCTGCCGTCAACTTTGCAAACGCCCCGGCCTTGCAGGTGTCTCACTCCGCTCGAGCGCTCTATACCGCCCCAACTTTTCCGCGGTCCTTGAACCAAAGAAAGAGTGGCCGGCCACTTGGCTGGGTTGTTTTTGGCGCCGTGCTAAACGTTGCAGAATATGATAGCGGTTTGGTGAAGTGTGATGGGATAGACTGGCAAGTGGGCGCCTTGATGGTAACATCGGGGATCTCTCCTTGCAGTAGGGACGAAGCACAATGGCTTGTGACAGGGTAACAAACGAGGAGTTTTTACTAGTGTCCAACAAACGCCTTTGAGATACCGGCGTTGTCGGACTTTGCTTCTTTATGAGGTGGTTCCTCGTGGCGTCGTCCCATATCGCACCACCCCCTCTTCTCTGCGATGCATAGCAACGGCGGGAAAAACCGAAGAAAACATCAAAGTATCTCTCGGCACTTCTAGAGAATACAGGATTACTCGACCGTCGACCGAGAGCACGGGTGGACCCTGGCTTCAGATGAGACTGCCGTCCTTGCTCGCCGCGTGTAACTTCGGGGACTACGCAGTAGATCGTACGTGCGAGATGAAAAGTGACCACAAACAGCAACAGTGCCGGGAGGTCTTGTCCGCCCCCAGCGTTTGAGCGAAGGCGAAATAAGGCAAAGCTACCCGTGATGGTATCCATCTGCCATTACCGCAGTCTTGGGTCCGGAAGCACCCAGACTCTCGGGACTAACACATGCATCCCAGCAAAAAGAGGCGTCACGCCGGCTTCTGCTAAGGGGACGAAAAAAGGCCACTAAGCCAGCGTAAGGGTAGTCCCCCCAAACGCGAGTCGCCTCTCCTCTCCCTCTCACTAATCCCTCGAACAATGGGCTTAGGCACGATACCGTTGAAAGGGGTGGAGGGAAATAGGTCTAGATCCGAGGGGAGACGCGGGCTTTGACTAGTCCTTGGACGCACACACGCCCGAGAGGTCGGGTCAGCACAGTGACAATGAGCAAAACGTCGAAGTCTTCTTCTGCCTCCCCCGTCCCCTTGCTTTCCCTTTGCCATCTGTGCCTGTGCTAGGCTAGTCTGTGGGCTAGAGGGGGCCAGTAGAGTTTAGATGAAGAAAAGGAACGCATCGTGGCTATACGGCATCTAGATTCTAGACACTTGAGGCAAAAAACGCCAGGAGAGATTGAGTTGGAACCTTGGGAGATGGGGCTGGGTTTATTCTGCCCGCCCCTCTGTGCAGAGATCAAAAACAAAGAAGCCGCAGTGTGAAGAGGCAATGAACGGGCGTTGGAAAACCAATCAACGCAAAATTCGCAAACGAGTCTCACAACCCCCCAAGTGTGTAGGACCCGAAGCAACGGGTTCTGACCGGCGCCACGCCCGCCTCCCGACGATTTCGAAGGGTTGCAACTTGCGGGCGGGATAAGGCTTTTTTTCACTCTCCGAAGGGGGTCTGCTGCCGTGGCCGCGAGGCTAGACGACGAAATGCCACACGAGACGGATCAAAGTTGCCTCAAAGGCCCTAGGCTCGTCCAAAACCACGTGTGGATGATTGCGCAGGGGTCGCCTTTGTAGGCGAGCACGGGAAGAAGCTTGGAGCACACGATGGCGGGCTTCGCGTAGAGTATTCGGGTCTAGCTTGTTAGCTCTGAGAGGAAAGCCCGGCGTGGTCATTGAATCAGTTGTGAATCTAGACGAGTCTGTCCGTCCCCCGGACCCTCCTTCGCTCGCGATACCCTCGCTGCTGCGGGGATGGGAAAGGTGCGGCGTGGGATGTTCTGCAAAGACTACACCGACGGCGAGGCGAGGCAGGCCGAGGCTGGTACGGGCGATTATGCAGGAGTCGGGGTCGGAGGCGGAAGCGGAGAGGCACGTGAGAGGTGGGAACTTGGGTTGGAAGTGTGACGGGTTGACATGGCCGGTAGATGGAGGAGGAAACCTGGAGTCCTGGGCAGTCGTGACCAGACCAAATCGATAGTCTCAATCCTTCGCGCTCCACTGCCGAAGAACAGCATCATGAATGAGTAGGTGGCGGGTAGATTACCAGCGAGCAGCCGGCGGCGAACCGGGGCGGCCAAGTATTTTGACATTGTCACGTTTCACCGGCGATGAGCATCATTTCGCGGCTCCCTTGAATGATCAAAATCGCATTAAATCCGGCGCTACAGATGACTTGTTGTCGTTGAGAGACTTGGTAGCTAAAGATCGGAATCGGAGTCGGAGTCCAAGACAGACAAGGGCATGGGTGACAGGGGAGCAGGCATGGAGATGATGTTCACGTTCTCGGACGAAAAGCCATCCGAGATTAGTCGCTGCAAGGTGAGGTGGAAGATGGTCGCCGACCACTCTTGCACATCTTTTCCCGAGCGAATCGCTGCCCCCTTTGTCGTCGAGACTCCAAAGGTGTGGTTGAAATAACTGACAGAGGCGTGACAGCAGGGAAATGGGAAATACCTAGAGAAAGAGAGGTCGGTAAGTTGGTATTCGTACGGATACAATGTCGATCCTTGAACCTCGCGCGGAGGGGTGTTCCCTGGGCAGGGAAAAGACTGAAAAGATCGACACGCCAATTCTGTCATTGTTTCTTCTTCCCTTAACCGCGGGGGGGTGCCAGTGCCACGGTGCCTGGCAAGCCGCAAATGCAGACTCAAGAGAACCAGGTCCCCCCCGTCGCCTTTGGCTTGCCTGAGTAGCCCTGCCTTCCTCGCAACTCTCCACCCGAGTGGTAGCCAAGCAGAAGCCACGGACAGACAGAAATGCAGGGGCTCTAGGGGTGCCATTCTCAAGAGGGAAAATGCCTGGGATGATGGTGCTGTTGCATCCAGTGGCCGTATCCGGCTTGGGGCGCGAATCTTGGTGTGTGTATCAATCGCACTCCTCGGACTTCGGCGTCGGAGCTGCTGGTGATGCCCTCAACTCCTCTCATGGGTGTGTGTACACTATGCGTGTGGTTGGTGTTCATGGGTAGAGTTAGCTTGACTGCCCACCATCCTGGTCAAGCTACGACCTTCCCTACAGAGTATGCTGCTGTACGCGATGTACTGATCTCCACGGCGCGAACCCATTGTGTGGCCCGGAAACCCAGCGCCAATCTTTGGGGATGGGGGAGGGTTGCACGACATAGGGAGCCCGTAGCAGACAGGTATCTCTTCCCCATGCTGACAGCTGGTTCGCTTGAGGAGGGACAAGGCTCTATACAACGGGTTTCAATATCCATGAGAACCCCCCCAGTCCGTACCCAAGAAGCTTGCCTACGGCCGTATGTGAGTATGTACATATGGGTGATGTACGTATGTAATGCGGGCAGGGCCACCGTCCACGACTTACCCCCATGCCCTGCAGCGCGGCAGCTGGCTCCGTTCGTACCACGGTCTATCATATCACGGGAACACAAATATCATAACTCAACTCGGACACTTGGGTGCCAGCGTTTGTGGGCCAGTCAACCTTCGCCGTGCTCTCGTCGCTAAGTGTATCGCTTCCGGCCTCGTCTATTGCGGAATTGTGACCGCGGCGGAACCTCTGGATTGCCCGCCGAGCCTCATCCCCAGTATCGTGATGTGTGCTGTATTGCAGGAAGCATATCATTCTGCCTACCACGAGGCTTTCCTCGGTGCTGAGAAGCCTCGTGAGGGCTTTCTTACCGTCACACGCTGTCACTTGATGCGACTTAGCCACTCCAAAGTCTCCATATCGAGATAGTCTTCACTACCATACCGTCGCCCCGTCTATCTCGCCCTGTAGCATACATAGCCATCATACAGTTGCAACCTCGCTTCGCCAGCCCCATCCACCAGGTACACCGTCACCGAGTTGGTTCATGCCTGAAGCTTTGCATATGTCCATGACGATGCCTCTCACAGCCCTCACCTCCTCGGCAGATGCGCCACCGTTGAGAGCGCCTTTGAGATGACCCTTCAGCTGAGGATTCACATCCTGCGGTATCAACCCCGCAATGAGAACGTAGGATGTCTCTACTGGAGACAGAACGTTGGTATTGCTGAGTATGTACCCATACATCAGCCGGGCGGTTAAACCGAGGTCTTCCGTGCCCGAGCGGTCCATCTGACTCATTACCCGTCTCGATATCTTGCCGTAGATGTTATCCCAGAAGCCCTGGCCGCGCTGCAAGATCTTGGAAGAGGGAGTGTGGTGTATGTCCACATGCCGTGCAGTCGGCGATGAAGAAAGCGTATCATTCGCACCTTGCGGCTCATCTAGTAGGTGCTCCGGTGTCACTTTCTTCAACTCCATGAGAGAATTGATGGTCTACTTCATGTCAGTGACTGTTTCCAAGTAGAGAAGTACAGTATGAAACTGGTACCTTGGGCAGGCCTCCAACTGCAGAAGCCTTGACGAGTGCTTCACGTAGCTTCCTCAAGATTGTGAGGTGTTCCTCCGGGCCCGGCTTCACATCATCAGGACCGAGGCCGTGTTTCATGACATGATTGTAGACTTGCGGTATCTCATCTGGCCGATTCAGTATGGTCAAAGTCGTGGCAGCAATGAAATACCAAGCATGCTTGGGAACATGTGGTTGATTCTTCAGCGATGTGAGGAGCGCTGGAGTAGCAATGGGCATCAATCCAGCTGTCATCGTGGCCATGGATGAAGCACGAGGGAGGTAGAAAAGTGAGGTTTTACGACCAAGTTATCATTGTCGCATTTACCGAGGCAGACAGATGACTTTCCAAAATACCACTTCAACTTCCTCAGCAGGGAGATGGGAAACGACTACGGCGTCTCCTTTGGCAAAAGCTATCCGTTCTCAAGCGGACATGAGAAGAGCGCCGTCCAACTCATCGCGGAAGACGAACGCTGTCATCCTTATCGGGGGCTCGGTGACCAAGATAAGGAACGGCAGGGCCGGCCTGTCGTTTGAATCGTGGCCGGAGTCGGCTTAATGTAGCCCCGATTTAGTCACCTTGTGTAACGAACCATCACGTGCTCCACCTCCAACCTTCCCGCGCTACCGCGTTGAGGTAGTTGGATACTGTGGCGTCACTGCTCTGCTCAGGTAATCCACCGCAGCAAGTGGATGCTTGTCATTAACGTGGCATCAACTACGGCCTCCGAAAGAGACGTACTACCACGCCAACACCGCGCATCCGGACTTTCTTTGGCCTGCATCAACAACATGGGCACCTGAGGGCTTCCCTCACTCCACATCACCAATTCCCGTGCTAACAGCCCATCAAAAGTCAAGATGAGGCTCGCGTGGTACGCAGGGGTAAGTGACGCTGTTGGAGCTATCGAACAAGCTCCGTTCGCATAGCTCCGTCTCCGCCAGACACGCCTGGCCATCTCGGAGCTGTAACTTGCTGACCCAGAGACATAGGTTTCCACGGCCCTGGCGGCCTCGGTCGTCGTATCAGCCTTCCACCAACGAGCCAACTTTTACTCGGCCATGGTCTACCTCGCGCAGAGCAACTTCTGCTTATTGGTGCGTTATCTGGCCTTCCTCGTGGTTCCGTTGCAACCGAAGCTGATTAGTGCTTCCAGGTCCTGGTCAACTTCATTTACCTCATCTACGGTACCCTGATATACGGCCTGCAACGACTCCTGTATGGCCCGCTGCGACAAGTTGAAGTCGAGCAACTTTCCGAAAAAGCCTGGTTCGCTATTACCGAAACATGCCTCGCGATGACGATATTCCGGGAGGAGATTGGCGCGTGGTTCCTCGTCATGTTTACCGCACTGGTGACAGGCAAGGTCTGGGGCTGGATTGGCGATGGCCGCGTTGAGGTTCTCGAGCAACAGCCTCCTGCGAACCCGGGTCTCTTCCACACTAGGCTCAGCTTGTCACTCCTCTTAAGCTTGGTGTACGACACTTGGCTCCTTCGATACACTGTCTCTACAGTTATCCAACAAGCACGTCCTAACATGATGGTCATGTTCCTCTTCGAATTCGCTGTTTTGGCAACATGCTCAGCACGAACCGGAATTCGGTACTTGGTGTCAGTGATGGAGCAGAACATTGTCAAGACGCAAACGAGATTGCGCCTGGAGGAGCGACGAAGACAAGTTCGCGAGGAGCGCGAGGAACTCATCCGACAGCGCGAACAAAACGGTGCGGGTGATGATCAGCCCGAATTGCCTCGTGAGGAGGACATTGATGAAATGGACATTGAGGTTCCTGGATGGGAGGCAAAGGGTCAGTGGATACTGATCCTGGACCTTTTCGCTGGTAAGTTACACCGAAACTCTGCGGCCGTGGCCATGCTTTGACAATATCCAGATTGTGTGAAACTGGCCATCTACCTGGTGTTCTTCGGCATCTTGCTCACATTCTACGGCTTGCCGATTCACATCATGCGTGACCTTTTCATGACAGCCAGATCTGTCATTAAGAGGGGTTCAGCACTGTGGCGCTACCGCAAGGCTGTCGAAGACATGAACAAGTATCCTGACGCTACCGAGGAGGATTTGGGACGAGAGGATACATGTATCATCTGCCGAGAGGAGATGCGTCCCTGGGACCCAACCAACGGGGCCGTCGAACGTGTGCGACCTAAAAAGCTTCCGTGTGGACATATTCTACACTTTGGATGCCTCAAGAGTTGGCTTGAGCGTCAACAAGTCTGTCCTACCTGCCGAAGCCCTGTTGTCATTACGAACAACAACAATAATGGCGCCGTACCGCAGAATCGGGACGCAATGTTCGCTAGAATTGGTCTCGGCGGGCTCGGAGCTGCGCCTGCTGTCCCACCTGGCCAGCAACCGCCTGCGAACCATGCACCAGGCGCCGCTCCCGGCGGCCAGCCAGCTCAGCAACCGCCCCGAAACGGTGCAGCGCGAGTCTTCCAGCTTGGCCCTCTCCGCCTCGGTTTCGCCCAGGGCGAGAACATGCAGCAGTTGGCACAGCAAATGGGTGTTCCCCAGGAGGCCATCCCTGCACCCTTCGCTCAGGGCGGTCCCGCTGGCCCTTTTACGCCCGCTGCACAAACGCCAGGCGGTAACAACATGCCAGCTATCCGGCAGCAGATTCAACAGCTCGAGCAGATGATACAGCGTGAGGTGTCAACCCTCCAGAGCATGCACCAGGAACTGCAGACACTACATCTTCTTACAGCAGAGCTGAGCCGTATTCGCCAGCTGCAGCAGCTTACAGAACAGGCCCAAAATGTACCCCAGAATCCTGGACCGACCCCGCCGGTGTTCAACCTGGGCCAGCCACAGCAGATGCCACTTCCGGCAATGTCGTTATCGCAAGTGCCCATCCATCATACCCTGCGTGTGAACGGCCCAGTAGTGACACGGCATGGAGCCGCAAACCACTCCAACGCAATTCCGGCCGGCAGCTCTGAGCTCCCAGAAGGCGTAGTGATCCCACCTGGATGGTCACTTCTTCCTCTTCAGCGGATAGAAGGCGCCCCCGGATCTCAGCCCTTCCCCGAAAGGCCGTTGTCGGCGTCGGGCGAGACAGCTCAGCCTTCGGAGGCACCTGTCCCGCAAGCTCCAGTCGTTGGCGTGACCCAGGATGCCGACTCAACTCACCCTGCTACGAATGACTTCTCAACGCGCTCTACCGTCCACGAGCAAAGACAGGAGCCCGTTGGCTCTGGTCATGATGTCTCCACGAATCAGACGGACCCGCCGCCGGTCCTTGCCCCGAACCCGGTGCTACCTAACTGGGGCGGTGCGAACCAGCTTTTCGGCAACGGACGTGGTTTGCCGGGATTGGGCAACAACGCCCCATCGGAGACGTCTATCGATGAACCCCCGAGATACGATGAGGACGCGCCTAGAAGTTCGCCAGAGAAGACGTCCGCCACGGCCCCCGCGGTGGCCGAGGGAAGTGCCGAGGAGGAAGGCGGTAGTAGTAGCAAGGGCAAAGCCAAGGCCAAGGCCGTCACGGTCGAGGAAGCCGTTGACGACGACGAATAAATACGGCCAAGGAGCAGGCATTACGTGGCGTTTGGGGCGGTATTCTTTTGGTTGAAGTGTAAAAATCATACCAATTTTCTGTAGGATTACTAGCGAATATTAAGTACGCGAGATAAGCGCTCTTCAAGGAACCGTCTTCTATCCATCGTATCAGGCATAATGACTGAGTATGTCACGCGTGTGCTGGCTTCAAACAACTTGATAATGAAGATGCCCATTTGTCCAAGGTAATGCGTACACCTGACGACCACGAATCGACATGAGACCACTACATGATTGATGTTTGGAATCTGATAGAATTTCCCGAAGCTTTTCCCTCGAAGACCGAAATAATGGACATGGGGGAAACAACATGTCTAGATGCAATCCTTGAATTGGTGAGATGATAAACCATATTGCCTACACAAGCAGGGTTATTGACAAGATATGTATATATACCAATTCATTGAATCCGACTCGCCATTCTTCGTCCCGCATTATGACCTTCACGCCCCCCATCCGCACTGGACGGCACCTCGGAAACATCGCCACCAATATGATACAATGAAGCTCCCCATTTCCTTGCCATATGCCACCAATTCCATCCTTCGTGAGCCTAAAATATTGCTGCTGTATGATGTAATTATTAGACACGAGTCCCATACTTCATTACCCATTATGTGTCGAGCACATCGCGCTGCTCCTCCATAGGAAGTGCAGGCGTCTCCCACAACGGGGCACCCTCTCCCCTCTCCCAGGCGGTACCCGGACCTTGATACGCCGGCTCTTGGATCTGTGCCTGCTCACCACCCAGATTGCGCAAAACACTCGTAGTCGCGCTGCCTTTCACCGGCTGCGGACTGAGTACCACTCCTTTAGACGACTGCGCAACATAAGTAGGTGGAAACACTCTCTCCGAGCCGAACGGCAAGGAACGTTTCGGGATCTCTCGACTCACACCCTCAGGTCCACCTTCACCACCACCGAGCTTCTTCAACAAAGCCTCTGACTGCTGCTTAGCCAATTCCTGAAGCTGTGCAGAAGGGTCCTTGGGGCGCAAGGGCAGGTTAGTATATTCGCAAAGACAGTCTGCGGGAGTCCACCGAATTCCATGCACACATACCCAGTCAGTCTGCGGCGGCACGCCCTGGGCGACCGGCAGTTCCTCATCATCCTCTCCGTCGCCAGGTTTGGGGCCACCGCCCCAGAACTTTGGCCGACGGATAGGTGCAGGAGTGACTGGAAGACTAGGTCTGTCGACTACGCTAGGGAAGTCTGTGAGCTTGAGCCCATGCTCCTTTGCTGTCTTTCCATCAGAGGTTCCCACCGAGCCCTGGCTCTTCCCACGACGATGCTTCTGGAGACCCTCGACGTAACGTTCGATTTCGGGTACTTCGTCCCAGGCATTCGTACGTGTAAAAGCGGTCCAAGGGTCCGACGGGCTGACTTTGATAGTTGGAGTGGCTGGGGTGCTGGGCTCGCTCTTTTGACCAGTCGTCGATGATCCTAAAAGAGACGGCTCAGCGGGAGCCTGGGATGTGGAAGACGCCGTGAAAGACGCCGCGTGCTCACCAGTCGGCGTGCTCGAAGATTCTTCGGCTTCCGGCTCGGCCAAATCCGCAGTGAAGACTCTGGTCGGCTTGGGTTGGTTGATCTCCCATGGGAAGAGGTGACGAGGCTTCTGCGTTGGCTTGTCCTTCGGAACCTCATACCACATGTTTCTTGGGGGACTCGGGTATCGTTGGGGGGGCACAAATGGAGCGGGGTCCTGAGACATCTCATACGTCTGTGAAGGGAAGTTGAGTGCCTCTGGTCTTGAATCTGCCGGTGGGGGTTGTCTGGTATAAAGTTAGTATCAGAAGAAAGAGCTAGTGGGCCATATCATTGACGAACCTCTGAGCGTCCCATGCTGGCGGAGGAGTTGGCTCTCTTGGTTGCTCCACTGGTACTGATTCACCCCGCCCCTCATGTGCTGAAATCTGCTCTGATCGAGCCTCAGCTTGCGTTCCAGCAAAAGCACCAAATGAATCGCTCAAAGGGGGTAACGAATGGCCAGCCTGATACGCGATCTCAGGCTGGGATCCTTGACCATGATGGGGCTGTTCGTGATGAACACATGACTGGGAAGAGCCAGCATCGTGAGCATCATGGTGGGAAGGGCCATGAGCCGGATGACCCGAGGAAGAGGGCACCGTCTGGTAGTGTGTGCCACCGTGGCTACGGGGCGTTTCCGCCCCGTGGAAATGCTCACCCGTTGATGCTGCTTGCGCAGCTTGCGGCTGGAATTCTCCTTTAGTAAAATACTGTACAATCTCAGGAACCTGCTGTTCCTGATGTGTCTGCTGCTGCTGGACAGGAGTATGCTCCTCCTGAACCTGTGGCTGCTGCTCTTGTGGCGGAGCAGATGCTGTTTCCTATGGAGACGTAAGCTCTTGTTCTGCCCGAAAGAAAACGACGTTGGGAGACATACGGCAACTCTGTAATGCCGGTCGTAAACGGCCCACCATCTTCCAATCATGTCTTCGAATGGTGAATCTCCTTTGCTCGCTTGTCGACCTTGGAACCACGGCTTGTCGGGGCCAATAAAATGCACCATGTTGATGCTGGACTGGAAGTGTCGGTACGCAGGCACGTACTGGTAATGTGCCGAGGGTGTGACATTGTAGGTGAAGCTGATGCGATTGTACGTATTCTTGAAGTGCATGTTGAGGAGACCTTGGTCGGCACCATCGAAAGAAATGCCCCTCTCCGCCATCGCCATGAGAGCATAGTAGTCTCCCATGTTGGGGCTCAGAACCATTACACCAGTATTGAAAAGATCCGGCCATCCGATATCGGGTGCGGCAGAGAAGGGCGCGGCAATGTCGAATAGTTCGTCAGGAGCTCGATAGGCGACGACATCGGCATCGATGTAGACAATTTTGGAAAATTGAGTCTGGCGCCAGAGGTTGACTTTGGTGAAGGCTGAGTGGAGATCAGGCCGGTTCATGAGGTACAAGTTCGCTGGTCGAGCATTCCGAATGCGCGGCACGGGGATGACATGATCGTAGACAGCCTGCACCGCGGAGGCATCAGTACATTGTACGGAGAGATCAATTGGCGCCAAGGTTGTCGCGAGCTCACCTTGAGTTCTGTGATAACCTCGGCAGATACGGTATCGAGCGTGACGAGCACGACCAGCTGTTTCGAAGTGCCGGCATCGCGGAGAGAATGAGCAAGAACCAATGCGCCTGGTTACAATTTGGTCAGCAAAGCTTTGAAAAGTAGATCGAGGGCCAGAAACTAACCTGGAAGGTATGTGTCGTTCAACAGAAGCTATGCGAAAGTGGCTGTTAGCTCTTTGTTTACTTTTTTTTTCCTGTGCTCGCTGGGCTTTGCGATGGCGGTTGGGGATACGAACCGTCGCATAGACCTGTTCTCCTCCACGAAGCGGCGCCATTGTGTGTGTATGGCGTTGCGAGACACAAAACTAAAGAGCAGGATCAACGATACAACGACACAGGATCTGTTTTTCAGCGAGTGGCCATGAACAGTATATTACAGGTGTTCTCGTAGGAGGTTGGAAGTGTTGAGTGGCACGACAAAAGTTGTTTGCGAAGTGACGGACAGCGGATGGGTGTGGCGGGGATGAGGAGCCGTGCGTCCACGTTCAAGTCGAGGCCCGGTCCAGGTTCAGTCCAGGTGCAAGCTGGTGCGGAGAGAGAGGGAGGCGTGGAGGTGGAGGGCAGCTCTGAAGTGGGTTCGCTGCAGATGTCGGCCAGGGTACCTTGACTATGCGAGAAGTAAGTAAGTATCCGCGGAGGAGCCTGACAATATGATGTGGTTCTCCTTCGTATTCCGCCATGTATCCGGACCTACCTGGGAGACGACGTTGCGGGAGAGAAGAGGTAGACGAAAGGTGGGAAAACGGGAGGAAGGAGAGCAAACCCGGAAAGGGACGTCACCGGCACTGGTTTATCAGAGTGAGGAGAGTGAATCAATGTCAACGCCTGTCGCGAAGAGGCATGCGCAAAATGGGACGTAGAGGGTCTAGACAGCCAAGCGGTTGGTCTGTGGCTCGTAATCATGTCATTAGCGGGAAATCGTTGTTAGTCGCGATGCCTGTCATTTTCCGTCCTGTACGAAGACCAAGAGCTTCGGGTCATTGTGCAGCAAAGCTGGAGTCGCACAACCTGATGGGGACGTACCGGTAAGAAACGAAGACGGGCTAGCAGCAGCTTTAGTTCAACGCTTCAGGTATCTCTACCTCTACCTGAGTGGAAAGAGCAGAGCTACGGAGTATTGGTATCGTACTCCGTAGCGAGGTCGATGATGCGTGACTGGGGACCCAGGTAGAGCTTCGCGGCCTAGGACAGGACAGAAAGGGCGGCGTGGGTCGTTGGGAAGCTGCACAAGCAAGGCCGTTGCAGCTACGGAAATTGCAACTGAGCAAATACAGCTAGGATATTATAAGGTAACTGCCATTCTAGCTGCGAATAAACGAGGGCCAAAGGAAGAAAGAACCTTTTTGTTCCAGGTAAGCTGTTCGAAGCAAAATATTCCAAGGTACGGAGTAGGCACGCGTGTATTCTTTTTGGCAGATGGCAGGATGGGCACATTGAAAAGAAGGAAGCGGAAGCAGGAGCTTCGACTAGGTACCTAAGATACCCAAAGTATCTACGTACCTGAGGTACCTACCGTAGGTACCTAGGTAACGTAAGGAGCATCTGACGTCTGTGAAGATACCTTAATGCGCAAGCTTCTGAGGTACTTGAACACTTGAACTGCGCCGTTCCAGCGGGTCTTTGCATGCTGAGGTACCTTTACCTAGTCCCGGCGTGTTTGGGAGCAACCCACCCTGAAGGTTCGCGCGCTGAAAAGCAATGGACTCGAACGGCTGCCAAGGAAGGTCAGAGCTTGTGCACCTCTTCGGACTGTGCCCCGGCCTGGTCATACCTCACCTCACTTGTCGCGGGCGTGAAATTTTCCTCATCACAAAGGCCTTCTTTCCTGTGTTTGTTCGTGTTCCTCAATCCATTCCCCTACTATATGAGAATTCCAGAGGTAGAAATGAAGGCTCAACGGCCACACGCGACTCAGATATTTCAGGCCATTCTTGCCGAGGCTCGACACTCGTTCCTTCAACCTTGTCTTATTACTGCGTAGGTTCTTCAGGAACGTCCCATATAAATATGTCACTCGCCCTTGGGTCCCACAACTTGCAGCACGGTAGCGGAACTGGAGGCACGAGACATTGCTGCAGCTTCTGCTAGCCCGGCACAAGGTTTCTCAAGGAAGAAAAAAACAGTCCAGCTCCTATGATGAAGAAGCTTACTTGAGGGTAACAATGAGGCAAAGCAGAAGACTATCAGAGTAGGTAAGAGGACTGAGAGCTGTTGAAAATTACTAGAGAGTGAAACTCCTTGAAATTGAAACATGGGCAGAGTACTCCGTAGAAGAAAAAGATTGGCAAGGCTGGCACGCAGACCCCTTTCTTCTCCCAGACTTTGGACCTCCCTGTCCATTTCTGGTGCCTTCAAGCCCCCAAATCACTCGATATTTCTCTTCAGCTTTCGTGACGCATTTTCTAGACGTCTCGGAGCTTCTTGCTATTTCTCAAGGGATATGCCTCTCAACTTCTTGCTCGTCTCAACAGCAATTTCCCTCCATTACTGGGCCTTCAATGGGCATTTCAGTTGAGCAATTTCATCCTCATGCTCACAGAGGCCAAGTATCAAACCGTCTGATGTATTTCCTCGGACATCCTTACCATGGAGCCCCTCGTGAGATGATCTAGGTTCTTACGTGCATAACCATTGCTAGCCGCCACAGTCATCCTGGTTCATCACTCAATCCTTTTCTTGCTCCGATAATGGGCATTACACTTTGACCATCTCATGACGGCGATCCCACCCAGCACGCTCAGGTAGTGTACAAAGGTTTTCGGAGGCGGAAAACTGCCCGTGGGCAGAGGTCACCAACCCCTCCTTCCCCACCCTTCAAGCTATCGAAGCTGTCAGCCTGAAGCTGGGAAAGTCTGCGTACCATGTCCGTAGTTCCTCCATCTCATAGGTAGTGGTCTAAGGTAGTTGTTGAATGGAGGGCGGGTAGTTTCATGATATGAACGCAGCTTCCCCGCATCTACCGGCTGCCTTCCTTTACCCCCCTCCGAGACCCAGACTCGCATCGCCTGCCGTTGGGAAGCTGCGAGGTTGGAAAAAAAAGGATTACCAGGAGAAGGAAATGACGTGAGGTGAACTCGGGAAGCTCATTACACCTCCCCTCCCGCATGTCTTGCCCACGGCTCCTGGACCTATCGTGCTGTCCAATCTAGTGATCCGGGACATGGGGGCTTCCTCGATCGGAGAAAGATGCTTCCCATCAGGAAAAAGACAAAGGACCCTTGGAAAGGCGAACCGAGCCATGCGCCGGATTAATTTACACAAACTCTCCATCACCTCTCGTCGGGCCCTCTCTCACCTCATCCGTCCACCGGCACCTTTTCCTCTCAATCTTTGCCCCGCCTTACTACTGCATACCACTGCATGCCTGACGTCCCTCCCCAGCTCGCCTAATTCCCCGTCAGTTCTAGGTATGCTGCAGACAGACTGCTGCATCATACTCGTCATCCGCAATGGAAGGTCCCGGTGCTCATGACCACCACCAATACGCTATTGACGAGGTCACCTACCCGCCCAGTCCTGGTTGGTCAATGTCGGAGCCAGAACTACAGACGCAAGCCGTCATTGTGAGTCTGCATCTGATCTTCTGTCCATCACCGAGTTCCGTATCTGGATTCCACCATGGTTGCGGCAGGATGCCGGAAGACGTTGGACACGAGTGTGGACCATCTGGAGATATCCATCCTCTACACTATGGAGTAGCATGGCACTACCCATGCCTACTCACTCGCCCCAACACTTTACACAAACGTCACATGAGCTGAGGGATGCATTGAGGTGGGCAAAGCAAGAAGGACCCTGTGGACCACCTCCGCATCTCGGTGCGGGGATCCAACAGCTCTCGCAGCTCAAGCTGATGATCTGCATCAAGGGTCTACCCGGCACGGCACTTTCAATCCTGCAGTCACTGGACCGGTCGTCTTACTGTGTACAGACTCAGAGCCTGTTCCCTATTTACCTGCCTACCACAATAGGACCTCACAGCATTTTGCATGTTCAAAGCCCTGTCCGTCTTCTCGTTGAAGCGATCCTTGGTGGAACCAATCTCAATTATAATGTTTAAGCACACTCACTTCTTATAGCCATTACAGCCAATCACCGTGGAGCCTCGCCCGCGCCGCCTAGACTTTTTCAGTCTCCCTTACGAGCTCCGCCTAGACATCTACGAACTCCTACTCCTCAACCCGGAGCCCATTATCGTGTCGAGCAGCCGCCGCCAGCTCCACGTCAAAGTTGAGCCGCCGGAGCACCAAGTCGCCTACCTACGGGCTCCCCGCCCGAGACCTCGCGTCGTATCGCTGACCCATAGGAAACCTCACGTCGAGGTCCTACGGACATGCAGGCAGATCGAACAAGAAGCCACCCCGATACTCTATGGCCGCAATGACTTCGTTGTCGGATTGAGGCTACGGGCGACGCAGAGCCACCGGATGGACCCCTTTATCCAATATCTGCGTTCATCGACACTGCTTCAGCTCCGCTCAGTCACATTTCGGCCGGGCTGTTGTTGTGATCAGTGGCTCAAGTCTCTTGGTAGCGGCCAGAATGTCGCAAGCATGATAAGCCGTATGCAGCTCATTGAGCAGAGAGATCACCAGCAAGTATTTTGGGACATCGAGACAGCCCTGTGGCAGAGTGCGTATCCCCCATTTGCTTAGGACAACCTTGGGATGCTAACGTCAAGTGAATCCAGATGTTGTGGGCAAGAGCAGAGTCTGTGCCTTTTGCCATACCACTACTGGGGAGCGGATGTTCATATAAACCGTACAGAGTATGTCCACAGAGGCTGGCCCTCACATCATACTGGTGTCAAAACCTTAATGAGCCGAAAAGGGGTTGTTATATGATCATGAAAAGCTCTTGTCACTCGAGTCGGCCCCAGAAGGAACATTGGGAGCCATCAGTGTTCTGTTGCGGTGTAACTGTCATAATAATGCTCTTCAATGTTTCTTGTGAAAGCTTTGCTATCAACTATTTGGCGTATACTATTACACATCTTTACAGGTCCTTCTTGAACGCATGCTCCGGCTTGTGTGTAGTCTCATAGTCGATATGTACGTAGGCCCGCTCCACATCCGGTAGACTCTCCAACTTGACTTGCAGCGCCTCTGCCACATCGTGCGTCTGGGCTAGTGTATTGGCGGGGTCCATGACGATGTCCACCTCGGCGATGAGCCGTGGGCCCGAGTGATAGACACGCACCGTGTCGATGCCCTGAATGGCAGGGGAGTGCGTCAAGCAGACGTAGGTGATGAGCTGCTGGGTCTCGATCGAGGCGGTTACACCAACGAGTAGCAAAAACTCGGCGATGGCGGTTCGCAACCAGATGCCGGATACGATCAGTGACAATATTATGGCGCCAGTTGGGTCGATATACCACTTAAGTTTTGAACCGCCAACAGATGTGAGGATACCGAAGCCGTTCACCAGCAAGTCGTTGCGGTGGTCGGACCAGAGGATGCGAACCTGGGAATATCGGTTTCGCAGGGAAAAGCAGTACAGGAAGAGTACAAACTTGGTTGCAAAGGCGCAACAGACGGCAACGATTGGCTCAATGCGGAAAGCCTTCGTCTCGTTGGCCGACTCCCTCTCGGTAGCTAGCTCGCGCGCAGCGAAGGCGATGATGATGAGCGAAACTGAGATCATGAGGAAGCAGAAGACGATGTTTCCGACAGTCTCAAGGCGGGCCTTGCCAGCGGGGAAGCGGCGCGGGTTCACCCTTTTGATGGCGCGGCCGGCCAGGATAAGGGTCAGATTGCTCATGGGGTCAAAGATGGCGTCGGCCATTGTGGTGATGAGCGACAGAGAGCCAGTGCTGATGGCCGCGTACAGCTGTAGAGCTGTGAGGAGGATGTTTGCGGCGAAGGAGCCCCAGACGGCGATCCGGAACTGCAGCTGGTCGTCGCCGGCTTCCTGGCGAGCCTCAGCAACATGCTCGTCGACGGACTTCAGCATGCGCTCGATAGCAGCGTTCTGCGTTTCGTAGAACTTTTGGACCTTGTGGCCCTGGCGCCAGGAGCCGTTTGGCGAAGTTCTACCGCTGGGTTTGTCGGTGGCGGGTTGACGGTCCCGTTTGCGCGAGGTGTTGGCTCTGATCTGGGCGAGGTCCTCCGGCGTCTTGAAGGCCGCGGAGAGACCGTAAGGATCCGAATCGGATCGCAAATGGGGCTGACCTTCGACATCGGTAGCGGCAGAAGAGTGTCGGGCGATGGGCTCGTGTTTCTCATCGCGCGAAGCGGGATGATGAGTTGCGGCCTCTATGGCCGTACTAGAGGCGTTGGCTGCGGCATCCTCGCTGGAGAGTTGCATCGAGCCTCTGCGGGAGGTGTTTGCTAGATGGGATGGCGTGTGCAGCCGGAAGGGGTGCGGATGCATGGTGATGCTCATGGAGAGATCGGGCTCCATGGTGGCGGCAGGCGTCAGATTTATGAACCGTAAGTTATGCGCAGTAAAGGATACAAGTTGATAATACGACGTTTGCCAAATGCCTTGTTTCCAGTGAATCGATATAAGCCAGGCTAACGGGCTGTGAGATAAGAAGAAGGGTGGCGAAGGAGACGTGTGGAGGGTGATGCAAAATGGAGGTTCGGTGTCTGGGCCATGTCGCCTATGGTATTTCAAAGAGCTTCGAAACCTGTGTTGTTACCCGACAAACAAAGCCTACACCTTCTCGCCCCTCTCAAAGCGGGCTTATGGGAAAGGCATCTTGTTTGGTACGGAGAATTGCAAGCTCCTGGGGCAGGATCGCTGCAGGATGTGCGGGGATAGCGGGTGCAACGGGATGCGTTGTCGTCGAGCTGCTGCCGTGTGAGGCGCGCTTCTTCCCCGCTGGCGCTGGCGTCTCTTGCTTATTCTGCCGTGTCGTTGATTAGCTGGCCAAAAGTGCCGGGGAGGTGGAGGTTAGATAGGGAAAGAGAGAACATGTTCATGAGGGAAAATGATTGTGGGCCAATCATTTGCCCACGGGGAGGAGGAAGACTATCGCCTCGAGCGACACAATTGAGATGGCGGACAGGTCTAGACTTAGTTGCATCAGCATATTGTAGGCTCGAAATGGTAAGAATGATATTGCATAACGAAAGAAAAGGTCGGCGAACTTTCCCTCGACATAGGTGGGGAACTGCCTTCGCTTCGTCCTAACGTTGTTAGTGACCAATGTTGAAGGGAAAGCATAGGAGACAGAGTACTCCGTATGTGACGCCCATCTAGACAGGGCACTGTTTGAGCGCTGGGAAATGTGGTACATAATCTAGTGTTGGATGCCACGCCAGACAGTCCAATGCCTGTGTTCTGTACGTGGGCTGGCGATCTCGATGACTTCATCGATCAGACTCGTCCCCTTTCTGAGGCTTTCGAGCCGACTTGTGAGACAAATGAAGAGATTTGAAAGCAGATAGTAGAAGCAACTTGCTTTCTGGTTCTTCCAATCGCTAGAGATAGAAAGTGAGAGCGGACTTTGACGGTCAGCACTCAGTAGAGAGGTGGAGAAATGCAGCATTGTCTCACACACTCCGGAAGCAGGAGCCCAAACAACCCCATCCACGATCCGCAGCTGAATAGGGTACAGAAATGAATGAGATGAAGTTGAAAATCCCGGGGATGCGGGTCGATTTTATGTTTCGAAACAAGCCGTTACCTGGAAGGCTCCCCCGGGGACCGAGACCTGCCGGGACTGGGGCGCCATTGGATTCGGGTCCCCCGTTTCTCATGTGCTTCGGGCACAACCGGAACCGGGTCACATCCCACCCGCTCGGCAACCTTGGCATCGATGTACACGAGTACACCTTATCTCAATAGGCTTGTAAAGAAGAACACCAAAAGGATGATTTGATATGTATTCGGCCCATGGGTGGGAGATGCTGCTGAATGAGAGTAGAAAAATCAAATAACTTGGATCATATTGATATACTGCTCAAAAGGAACTCATATATTGATCCTGCGAAATAGCGGCAACGTGCATGCCAACGGTATCCTCTCAGCTCTGGTACTTCATAGAGACTGGCGTGGGAGCCGGTATAACCTGCACCTTTCCAAGCACAGCCATGTATCACAATCCACATGTCAAGACACAAATACCGGTTCCATGGATGAGAGGCAGAGGCAGAGATCCCGCGGGCCCGTCCAGTCTCCTACAACTTCGACTCAGGCTTCGCTGCCGCAGGCTCTCCAGCCCTCTCGAGGATCCAATCCCCAACATCTTTGAAGAACTCGTCCTTGCACAGGTCCGCGTGCAGCTGGTGATACGCCCCCTCGTATGGCTTGTGGTGCCCGTCCTCAATCGTCGTCTGCGCACCGAACCACTTCTTGCTGGCGTTGAAGCATGTCGTCTTGTCCTCGGTGCCGTGGCCCAGCCAGAGACTCTTGACGTTGCCGCTCAGCGTCAGCTTGTTCTGCGCCAGCTGGTCCGTCCGCTCCAGCATGCCCGCCAGCCCCTCGAGCGTGCCCGTGTTGTGCATGAGGTCGTCGTCGCGGATGCTCTGCTGCGCCGCTTTATCGCGCGTGAGGTGTTCGGCGGGGATCTCGTTGACGAGCTGCTGCTTAGGTAGAACCTTACTCGCGAGCTTGCCGAAGAAGACCTTGAGGAAGCTCGGCTCCTCGCCGGGCGTGAAGGCGATAAAGGGGCTCTCGAGGAGCCAGCCGCGCACCTGACCGACGAGGTCGTGATACTGCGGGTCGCTGGCCAGCGCGAGGACCTGACCGCCGCCCATGGAGTGGCCCATGACAAAGAGCGGCGCGTCCGTAGGGGGCGACGGGATCTTGGATTTGATAAAGGCGGCCACGTCGGCGAGGACGCGCGACGTCGGGCCCGTGAGGCCCCGATCGGACTTGGACGCAGCGCTGCGGCCCCATCCGCGTTGGTCCCAGCTAAAGACCTGGATGCCGCGGCCGGCGAGGTTGGGGAAGAGCTCATCGTACCGTCCCACGTGGTCGCTGAAGCCGTGTACGAAGACGAGCTTGGCCTTGATGGGGCCCTCGGGCTGATGGTGCAGCGTCAGCTATGCCCGGGTGTTTGTTCATCATGGGATAACCCCAGGGATCGAGTGAGTGGGTGAATGAGTCTACACTTACCGTCCAAGTTGTGCTGTGAAGCTTGTGGCCGTCCACCTCAAAGGTGCCCTCAGTCTGCGTGGCCATAATGACGACGATGATGCTGTGAGATTGGTTGACGGGTTGCACGCAAGACTCTATGATTGCAGATATAAGTATATAGCGGAATTATCACGATGAACCACGGGTTATTAGAAGTGATGAGGTGAGATGAAATTCACGTGTTATTGTTGGGGTTCGGATTCAAGACATCCAAGGTGTAGTGGTGGTGGCGCTGTGGCCATGGGCCATGGCACTCAAAGAGCTGAGCTCCGCTTGCAGACATGGGGAGCTTGGAGCTTACTGCAAACTCCAACTTCTCCAATGAAACCTTCCGATCACCGTCCGTTTCTGGCTCAGCGACACAGGTACTCGCACGCCGACCTGCCGTTTGGAACGGCGTCAGGTTGAACAATGAAGAATTCTGAACTAGACTTTCCTAGTTGGCAAGGTGTCAGGAGCCATGCTACTCCAAGATAGACAACTAGAGGATCTCATACCTTAATCCTCGCAACCCCAAGAGTACCTCACACATCATATTCATATTCTGACAACAAGCGATCAAACGCATTCAAAGTATTGAATTTGGAGCACTCCATCAAGATCGAGCGGAGTTATTCTATGATGCTGTGTAACCGATGAATAGTTTGTAGTACACAAGACGGCAGCACGGTGTGAGCTGCGCCATAGTAGGAAGTGATTCGCCGTTGCTGCCGAACGGCTGCTTTATATTTGAGCAGCCGTTTTTTGATATGAAACACAAGAAAACCACACATTTACCCCCTTCAAAGCAATCCTACTCTTGTCCAGAGATCAAGTGGAATATGCTTTTTTCAGCGCCGTGCCTCCTTCTCCCTCGTCTGCTCCTGCAACTGCTCCTCAACCTCCTCTTCACCCTCCTCCCGCTCTAGGTCGGATTCGATTTCTTCCTCTTCTGTAATATGAGCTCTATCACTAGAGCGAGGGTCGGGAACGTCGCCGCCGCTCATCTGCCACTCCATGAGCTTGCTAAAGGCGCTGTCCTTGTCGGCAGAAAGCTCCGTGTACTTGCCAATTTCGGCAACTCCGCCGTTGTTGGAAAGGACAATGATCAGGTCAGACCGCTTAATAGTTGACAGTCGGTGAGCAATAGAAATGGTCGTGTTTCTGCCTCTGAGAAGCGAGGTAAGGGCGGCGTTGACAAGCGTTTCAGACTCGGCGTCCAAGGCAGAGGTAGCCTCGTCGAGGATAAGAATATCGGGGTCCTTGATCAACGCTCGCGCAATGGCGATGCGCTGCTTCTGACCTCCCGACAATTGTGAGCCTCTGGCTCCCACCTGCGTGTCCAATCCAGAGGGAAGATCGCTGATAAAGTTGCAGTTCGCCTTCCGCGCAGCTGCGATAATTTCAGCTCGGGTGGCGTTGGGCTTGCCATAGGAGATGTTGTCGGCAATCGAGCCAGAGAACAAGACAGGTTCCTGCGCAACCATGCCAATGCGGCGTCGCAGTGACTTAACATTCATCTTGGAAATGTCAACGCCATTGATAGTAATAGAGCCAGAGATAGGATTGTAGAATCGCAGCAGCAGGCCGGCAACGGTCGATTTACCACCACCGGAAGGCCCCACAACACAGACATTGCTGCCCGAAGGAATTTCAAAGTTGAGATCGTTGAAAATATTGACGGCAGGTCGTGTAGGGTAGGCAAATGAAACGTTTGAGAACCGAATCGGGCCCTGTGCCGACTTCACCTTGAGCCCGACTGTCTGCGAGATGCCCGGCTTTCGGTCTTGCAGCTCGAAGAGGCGGCTGGCAGCACCCACTCCTTTCATCAGCTCTGAATAGAAAGACGAAAGGCCAAACAGACTAGATCCTGCAAAAGCCGTGTACATCATGAAAGATGTCAGATCTCCCAGCGTCATGGCGCCGTCGCGGACAAAGTTACCGCCAACAACGAGCATGGCAAGGATGGTCATGTTACCAGCCCAGCCCGTCGAGGCGAAGAAAGTGGCAGCGATTGTAGATTCCTTCTTGCCCAAGGCAAAGATCTTCTTGACCTGGCGGTTGTAGCGGCCAACTTCTTGGACCTCTCCAACAAATGCCTGGCTCGTTTTCACGTTGCCGAGGCGTTCTTCAGCGATCTTCGTCAAGGTACCGAGATTCTTCTGGATTCCCTTGCTCACGTTTCTGATTGCGCGTCCGTAGAAGAAGGCTCCGACTGCGACGGGCGGCAACATGATTAGGAGAAGTCCAGTCAACTTGGGACTAAGCCAGACCATGACACAGAAACCGGCTCCTCCGCTGAAGAGAGCCCGCAGACCATCGCTGATGTTCTGGGTGATTGACTTGCCGACAATGACGGTATCGGAACTGAGTCGCGAAATGAGGTCTCCAACTCGGTTTGCATCGAAAAACTCGGCATCCTGTACATACGTTCGCCGATAGAGGGACGATCGCAGACGGGCGACGACCCGTTCGCCAACGATACGCAGGAGAATTACGCGTCCAAAGTTGGCCATGGCTCCGACGGTCAAGATGACACCCAAGGCTGTGAAAAACTGCGGCATGGTCAGGCCAAACAGGCGCGCGTCCTCAGCAGGGTCTTTGGTAGCCATGTCGAGGATTCTGCCGACGGAAAATGGGATGGACATGGTGACTCCGGATGAGATGACGAGGAAGATCATGGCGATTCCCAGCCACCGCAGCTCCGGCCGCGCAATCTTGATCAATCGCCAAATCTCGGAAAATCCGGCCTTGCCGCCTTGCGACTTGCCCTCCTTTGACAACTTGGCACTGAGGTTGACCTGAGCAGCCTTAGCAGCCCGCTCGCTCTTTTGGAAGTCATCAGGTTGTTCGGGATCTTGTGACGTGGGTTCGGTCTGGTTCGCGTCCCTGCCACCGTCTCGCGTAGCCGGTGTTTGCGTTGTAGCCTGGGAGTCTCGTTGCTTGGAAAATCCATTCGAGAAATAGCGCAAGATCGTGATCGGACCGGGCAGTTGAGGCTTTTGGGAGAGGGGAACGGGTCGCTGTAGCGAAGATCGGTGGATGGCAGCAGAGCGCACTGCAGGTAACGATTGAACGGGCTTCGAGCTGAAGCTTCTAATCTGTGAGAGGAGAGGATGTTGTAGTACTGGCGGTGTCGAGGTATTGCGCAGGCTGGGGAGGGTTGTCATCAGCGATGCCAATGTCGTCGGGCAGCTCCCGGCGCGGTGCGGGAGCAACACCGCGGATCGCACTACTCCCATAGCCATGGTGGAATCGAAGAAGAATTTATCTCATGGGAGGCGCATAGTCAGAAAGCGATGAAGGAGGGTGCACCATTATACGAAGAAGCTCGACGACGGGTTGCGCATGAATACAGCCACGACCTAGGTAGTTTAACGAAAGGACCGGAGAGATTCCGTCATCGGTTCGCACTCGAAATTTACAGCGCTCGATGCATGGCCCGTACCTTACCCGGAGGAATGCTGACAGCTGACGGGTCGCTGCTGCCCGCTACTTACCTGACCTGAGCAGGGCCCCTCGGTGATAGTCGGCCCGGGCATGTCTTTTCGCCGACCTGGATGCTGCCGTCACTCCGCAGCAGCCGAGGATCTAAAGGAACAGCACTAATAAGCAAATAAGCTACTTGCGGCAAAAAAGTGATTTAGATGCGGTTCGCCATTCCTTCTGGTCCAGATGCAAATCCTTGCATTGCTTCTCCATCATCAAGAAACCGAATCGGCTCAACTAATTGCTTGTCCTGTTTTGTTGTGATTCCTAGCTTCTTGGTTTCTTACATACTATAAAAACATGAGCCGGCGATTGGCTTCAACTCTTCTGATTTCCACCTCAAACCATGTCCCCAAGGATGGCCAGTTCCTAGAAGGTTGTTTCCTGCTTCGAATTAGGACTCAGAGTACAACTGTCGAGGTTCCGTCTCACAGAGATCCCTCGGGTGTTCGACTAATCTTCGTAGCTGGTCGCGAAAACTAATGACGCCTGCTGTGTGCTCTCTAGTATAATACTACATGCCCATGTCTGCCCATGTCTGCCCAAAACCTCTCAATGCCGTATCTGTGGCATAACGAGTAGTCGGAGCGGCGCAGTCTCTAACACACTGGTTATTCACGCGCTGCCATTGCTTTCCTTACGCAGCATTTCTGCTACATCGGCATCAATTCCATCGTCACCTCCGAGGTCAGGGAACTCGTCTCCGTCGATTCGGCGTCTCTTCTTCGCGCCGTTTGCTGAGACAGGGATAGATTGGTATTGCGAGGCAAGGGCTGACAGCATCTCAATGCCCGAAGCTGCTGGAGGCTGGAAACCCTGGCTCGATGCTGAGCGGGCACGATCCTCTTCTGCATGGTGAGGAACAGGCGGCTCATCATGGACAGGGGGAGGGGTGAGCGCCTCTACAGACGGCGGTGTGAAGGCCTCCACGGGGGGAGGTGTAAGCGCCTCGACTTCTGGTCTCTCAGGTTCAGGGGTCTTGGATGCTCCGTTGCCAGGGGATTGCGAAGCCTCGTGAGTCGGCAGTCCCCGCATAATGGCTTGCTCAATCTCACGTCTCTTCTCCTCCGTCTCTGCCTTACGTGACATCAGGTCGGCATGCTGCCTCTCGTCGTTCGCGAGTGCCTCCTGACTTGCGCTGAGCATCTTCTCCAACTCGCCAATGAGGCCCTTTCGGGCCTTAACGCACTCTGCCACAGCGCCCTCAGCACTCGCCAAACTCTTCAAGAGACCATTAAGTCTTGCCGCGTAGACGGGAGCCGATGGGACAGGTGTCGAGGGGTCGGTAACCTTTTCAAAATCCTGGTTGGCGGTGCTCACAGCCGTCTTAGTGGGCAGGTTGAGCTTCGAGACATTGGTATAGGAGGTGACGAGCGGAGTAAGCTCTGCGGGAACGGAAGGACCACCACCGCCAATTCCGGGACTAGCGAAGTTTGCCTTGGCAGTTCCGCGAGCCTTATCGAGTTCTAAAGCATCATCAGTATATGTTGCTGTCGTATTTGGGGAAAACGTCTACCATCAATGCCACGTTCGATGGCCTGTTGAACCGGTGGCTCGAAAATGAAGCGGTCTTTCCAGACGTCGATGACCCTTCTGAGCTTGTTCTGGATCTCAGCCGGCGCTCCCTTGTAGGCCAAAGCTGTCGCCTCAGCGATGACTGGAGAAAAGGCAACAAGGAAGTCGTCCTTGTGCCGAGCCTTTGATTGCTGGGTGACCTCTGTGAATGTGTAAGAATCATTCTTTTTATATATACATGAGTCCTCATCAGGAAGACAGGGGTTTTGCAATGCTTGAAGGCTCTTACCATTTGCAAGATAGACCAAGCTTAGTCTCTTGGTGCTTGATGAGTCTCGAAGACGCTGCATCCATAGGGCAACTGTGCGATCTGCATGTCTCCTGTGAAGAGGCCAAAGTCAGTTTGCACTGAAGTGAGAACGGTATGAGTATCGGGACTCATCGGCTTAGCTTACTTATGGAACATGATCCATTGCGCAGCAGTCGCAATGCTGTCATGGCTCTCATTGAGGGCCGATAGCTTTGCCAGCACAGCATCGTCGTTGTACGCCATTTTAGTATGGGTGCTGTAGATATGTAGGAAGTGGTCTCTGCGACGGTGTCGGTAGTGGGAAGGCACCCAATTGCTTTACTTGAAGTAAACACGATCTGAGGACGGATGTGTTTTCTTGCCCTTTCCTTTGATAAAAAAAGCAAACCCGAGCCGAAATTGAATTTTGGGTAGCTAAGGTTGATGTGAAGATGGCTTAAAGAACTTCTGTCGAAGTTGAAAAAAAGAACCCTCTCCGAAATGTAGTGCTTGAAAAAGTTTCAAACGATATTAGACCAGCGAGGTGGTGAGGTAGGCTAGGTAGGCGAGAGAGCGAAAGGAAGCAAGGCAGTGAAAGAATGAGTGGGACAGAGTGAGGGAAAGAAGGATGGAAGGTATTCAATCAGTCAGTCAATGGAATCTCTAGGCTTGAAATCCTAGTAGCAAACACCTGACCTCCCAAAGCTGCTTCCGCAAAGCGTCCAGATCAATGCATCTAGCAGCCCTCCTGCACCGATGGCCAACCAGTAAGACAGATGGATTGGAGACCCAGAATCACGACACTTCTGGTCAGTGAGATGAAATGGTGGACTTTGCTGGTGACGAGAGAGATGGCGATATGGAAGTCAGTTAACGGAGGTCAACCAGAATCAAAACAACGCTGATGGCTCAGACGTGGTCGCTCCTGCTCTCTCTATAGTAATGCATTAAGTAGAGATTCGCCTCGCAGTATCCAGTATATGCATATATCCACAGATTTCCCTCACCCTGGAATCCCTAGCCATAGGGGGCTGCTCGGACCACATGGGTGACACTTCAGAAGAGGCGCATTCAACTAACCGATGGGAACAGCTTCAAAGTGGATACCTGTTACTACACACTGCACACGGCAAGCACCACGAGACATCCCATTCAAGGTAACCTCCCGTTGTCCCTATCACATATCAAAGGTACCTTACATTCCATACTTCACCTCAACTTATTTCTGCAAGCCTACAGCCGCGATTGCATTCAAGTGTCTCCAGGAAGAAAACTCCGTTATTGACAACCAGGCTGTACAGCTTTATTTCTGGGTGGAATTCTATCCCAATCGGCTCCTTGGCATCTGATCCCCAGCAGCCACGTCGACAACCTGCCCATCTTTCCTATTCTTCAACAACCCACAATCCAGACATCAAAATGGCCGACAGATTCCCTTCGCTAGAGGATTTCGATTCGGGTGGTAGGTAGTCTTAGCGCAAATGTGCTTCCTCAGGCTGACAGATTGCATTCAGCCCAAACCGACATCAAGGATACCGGCGCCGAACCATCTACCGACGACTTCCTTGCCCGCGAGAAGGCGCTTCTTGGTGACGATGCCGATCAGTTTGCTACCGGTGATGATGCCATCGCCTTTGGAGCGGGTGACGATGATCTCCTTGGAGGTGGAGGTAGCGGAAACGTCATCAGCGAGGAGTCGACATTCGAGTCGCAATTCCCAGACCTTGCCCAGAACGAGGTTCGTCATTCCACAGTTTCGCCCCACGAACCATCTAACAGATGAATATATAGGCCATCACTGGCGAGATTCCCGGCGCTGGCATCACCGCTGCTCCTAGCGTAAACTACAACTCTGGCTACAATGCCTTCGTCGAGGAGGAAGAGGAGCCCGCGGTCATCCGTGAGTGGCGCGAGAAGAGAGATGCGCAGAACGAGAAGCGGGCACAGCAATTCGCCCAGCAGCGTGAGGAGACGATTAAGGAAGCCAGAGAGAACATTGACGATTTCTATAACAACTACAACGCCAAGAAGGAGAAGGGCATTGCCCAGACGCAAAAGGATGCTGAGAAGTTCCTCGCCAGCCGTGAGGATACTGTCTCTGGCGGCACGAGCTGGGAGAGAATCGCGAAGCTGGTCGATGTCAGCGGAAAGGGCTCTAAGGGTGGCGCCTCCGGCTCCGGCAAGGAGCGCTTCCGCGAGCTCCTCATCAGTCTGAAGAAGGACGAGAAGGCACCTGGAGCCAGCGGCTACTAGATGCTGCGAATGAAAGATGAATGAGAGGAGCGGCTGTAGCTGTCCAAGAGGGTTGGGTGACGCTCAAGCACTAGATTTTGACGTTACTTACGGTGCCGATGCGCATGTGTATTCTAGATGACCTTTTCTGCCTAATGAACGGAGCGGGAAAAGGTTGGCCATTTGATTATTTTGACAGGCATAGTCAAAAAGGAGAACTCCCACGATCGACGTCATTACGTTTCTCGGTTTTTGTCAACATGTCACTAAGGAAGAATGGCCTAGTGAAGCCCATTTGGTCTATTGGTCGCCCTACGAATCATACAGTCCTTTCCCGAGCCTCTCGCTACGGGGTGGTATCCATCGCGAGCAGCGTCTATTCCTTGCCGAAGTAAGTATTGTAGCCGAGGACCTTGCGGCCCATGCCGTAGAAGGAGACTGCTGGATGTGAGTATTCGTCCTTATGAGTTTTCGAGCAAGTAACAAACATACCACCAAGAGATCCCCACAGAAGGGTAACGTAGGGGATCATGTACCAGCGGGAGCGAGGGTTCTGCGGTTATCGAGTCAGCGTCCGTCCGTCGGTGCAGGCGCCAATTGCGCATATCCAGAGTCAATTCGACATACAATCTTCCAGACACGGGTGTGGTCCTTGTAGGCGGCCTGGTAGAACTTCTGGAGGTCGGGGACCTTGTTCTTCGCGTCGACGATACTGTGTGGACGTCAGAAATGCCCTCGTATGATAATTGTTCTCGACTTCGACATGGACGGCGATTGACGGCGACAGCGTTCCGTCGACCGCCGGTCGGTCTCTCGTCTACTTAAAAGGCACGTACCCCATTTTGATCGATTCAATTGCGATTGACTTCGGATTTGTGGTGGTTTACAGCTTCGAAGGCTTTCTCGTATGTCGGCTTTGAAGGACGGACGGAGCAATCAGGAAGATGGGCTCATGCCTTGCGTGGGCCGAAAGGCTCCCGACTGACTCAGCAGGGCCCGCTTTCTAGGTACACACCGACGAATGGCGCGGAGCTCAATTCGGTTGACGGATGGATATTGCTTGGGAACTTTTTGGCCCAGATCTGAATTTCCTCCAAGCTTGCAATTGTTAGATCCCTCCTGCAGATTCAGCCTCGCGATGCAGCCCGCCACCGAACCTTAGCTTTCGTTCAATGTGCCAGCTGCTATGCTTAATGCCCCGTCTCGACGCAATTGTGCTTTGCTGGTTCTTCACGCGGGGCAATGCAATTGGCCTCGCAATGCCTCTGTCACTTGAATAGAGCAGCATGCCTCGGCCGGCGGCAATCACATCAAGGACTCGGCGCGATTCGACAAACAGTCCCAGCGTTACTGAGAAATTCACGCAGAAGCTTCGCTACCTCGAAACACTCGTTACGCGCTCCCAACCTTGACCCGCGCGCATCTAGTCTTCCAAGATGTAGCCCAACTTCACTGCACCCAGTCGTCAATGCCCGCGACTTGAGCAGCACGACCACCAAAACGGACAGTCCGCCGAAACCTTCAGATAGTCTGCGTTTGGGATCGAGACCAGGCATTCTTCAACCTCGAACCACTCGAGGTCGTCTCATACAACGAGAACCCGATTCCGGCACCAACATCGACCCAGAAGGAGGCATCTGGCTTTCCGATAAATCCGATATTGAACTCGGCGGAATACCGGAGAACGAAGATGATCCTTCGCTCTGGCTCAGCGTACTTGTTGCCGCAAAGCAAAAACAGGGGAGAGGCGGCGTCCTTGCTGTTTGGGAGGCTGTGAAACGGCGCAGGTCATGGAGGGACGTGACGAGCGAAGAAGCAAAATCATTATGGGGCATCATTCTGGAAAACGTCCTCCACGACGAGGACAGGCTCAAGGACGTTGCGTTATTCGCAGAGCGTCTCCTTCATGATAACTCTGCCCAATGGCCGTCGTTATACCTGACCACAGTCTCGTACTGTCTTCGGAAGGGCCAGTACCGGCGAGCACTGCAGTGGCACATGCGTCTGATGCCGAACTTTGACCCCGGACAGGAAGCCTTCGGTGCCTTATTACGAGAATTCGCGGCTACCAGCGACCCCGACATGCAACAGGTATTACAAGCTCTGTATCTGACAGCCATACACCGCGGGTTATACAATGAGATCATCCCCCTCCTCTACGAACGCGGCCTTTCTCAACAATGCGCCGGATGGCGTCATGCGTTCATACACCACGACGATCTACCCCCACCGAATATCGAGTCACAGCCGTATTTGAGGTTTCTTGCCCGTTACTACCCAACCATCACCCTTGAACTAGAGGAACAGGTCGTCATTGGCTTGAACTCCAAGGCCTACTGGGACGCCCAGGACGACTCATTGTGGGATGCCATTCATGACACACATGGCGATGAGAGTGGGCCTCCGGGAAGACAGCACAGTGATAAACTTGGAGCGCGGTGGTTTGCAAGTTCTTGGGTGCCTCTTGACTTTGCAATTCATGCTGTTCATGCCCTCGGGGTGCACCACATCGGCCCTCTGTCACTCCAGTCGATTGCCTTGCGCGAACCGACAGCCAAAGGGGTCTTGGCCCGGATCGAACAGCTACGAGCAGTGAATATTGGCATTGGACACTCAGCTTACGCGTGGGTGCTGAAACGATTCGCCGAGAATAACGAGGACGAGCTGCTCGCGGAATTGCTGCATACCGACATACACCCAGACGTCTTCGACGACCCTGCGATGCTTGCCAGCATCCGTGACAAGGCCTTTGATGAGGGAGACTGGAAGACACACCGGCTCTTGCTGTCCGTCCAGCCCGCAATGGTGGAAGATTCGGTCGACTCCACGTCGAACGTCTTGTTGCACCATCTCGTCGACGAAGGGAGGTTCAAACAAGCTTTGGCTTTGCTGGATGAAATGCGAACGATGGACATCGGGGTCCACGCATCAACGATACAACACATCTGCGCGAGTCTTCTCGATCCCTTGCCGTGGAATCCAAAAACGACGACATCCAACCAGGAGGCGTTTTCCACGGCCATCGCCTTCCTTACACGCCTGACGCTGTTGCAAAAGCCTCTACATTCGCGCTACTGGCAGAAGGTACTCTTCGGACTCGGCAAATTTGGTCGCTTCGATGTGTTGGAGGACATCAGCCTTGGCATATTGGACACGCACCGGCATCTTTGCATCTCTAATGCCGGACTGCTTCCGGTCCATCCGCTGGATGCACCGCCTCTGTGTGTAGAGAGCTCGACTAGAAACGTTTTTGTCCCGACAGACTTGCCCATATCCCATGAGCAGCACCCGATGCGCCGAATCTTTGATAACCCTGCTCTACACGCCGCCATTGCCCGTTGGGGATTCAAGGCCGGCGGGTTGCGATGCCTCGATCCTGCGGGGGATTTCCCCGCGAATAAGGAGGTACCAGGCGGTGGGTTCTCCCTCGCTCGGGGCGTGCGATTGCTCGCGGCACTGAATGATCGAGGCATTCCGTTCCGAACGTCTGTTGTCCAGGAGGAGGTCGTCAAGTGCCTGGCTCGGACGTACCTAGCCCAAGCCAACGGCGCGCCCAGGGTGCAGGCGCGATTGCCCCCGTTGAACAGCATTCGGGAGCTTTTTAACAAGGCGGCTGGACGTAGGCTTTTGCCAGACGTTGCAGAATTACAAGACCTTATGATGGATGCACGGGGGAAGCAAAGGAGAGGACACTGACTGCTGCCGCGAGAGCAGTTCGCCTGTTGTAACACCATGTAATAAATAACACCCATGCCCAAGACACAGCGACGCTGGATGATCTTAATTATCATTGCAGGTCGATGATGGATTCCATAATCGCTAGACATTTGTTCTAAAATAAGAAAATTCATACATTTAGCTTACACCAACTTCTTCGTCTCTTCATTGAAGTGCCCATTTGGATTTCTTCACTCGTCGTCACCGCCTCCGCGTTTCTTGGGTTTGATGACCAACAGGATGATCATACCCGCGATAATGAGGAGGAGAAGCAGGATAATCTTGCGCTTGGTCGTCTTCTTCTGGTACGTGTCGGCGATGACGAGCTCCTTCTCGGCCCCCTTTACGTCGGTAGTCATCCGTTCCACGTTGTAGTCTATCCTGTCCAGCATGGTGCCCTGGTCAATGACCATGTTCTGCAGGTCGCGGAATATGTCGGCGAGCTCGATAATGCCCTGTGCAATGTCCTCGATTTCGCGCTCGCGTTGGATGATGGCCGCGTCGTTGGACTGCAGGAGCTTTTGCTGCGTTGCTTGGAGCGTCGATTGTGAGAAGGACCTGTCGGCGTCCGACTCGACCATGGACGGGTCGAGGTACGAGTTGAAGGGCTGAGGTGTTGATCCCCTTTCGCCTGGCACGCCTACGCCGCCTGTGCTGAGACCGCTCATCCCGCGTAGTTCTACGCATATTGTTAGCGTACCATTTTCTCCTTTTATATCCCGCGGTACTGACTTTTCAAGTATGCGCTTTGCTTCTTTCTGAAGAGCGCGCTGGCTTCCTGCACCCGCGAAGCCAGGGATATCTGGATGTTCTTTGCCATGGTCTCCTCCGCGCTGGTAATCGTTCCAGAATGCTTCGAGTCCCTCACCATCTGCTCAACCCGTTGAATGCAACCATGGCAGTCGTGAAACCCCTTTGTGATCTGCTGCGTGAGCCTCTCAATTTCCCGCTCCTCGGCCTTTTTCGCATCCTCATCGTTGAACCCCGGCAGTACGTGTTTCTGGTGCAGGCGCTCGAGGGCCTGGCTCCTGGTAGCAATATCGGCGAGGAGGTCGGTGATCTCGTCGGATATGTCGGCCCAGCGTGGGGGTAGGAGGTCCATCTCTATGACGGCGTCGCCATCATCTTCGAAGGCGCCGGCCGAGAGAAGGCCGCGCGTGTCGTCGTTGCCGCTGGCATAGCTGGTGTTCCCCGGGAAGCTATCGCCGAAGCCATTCCCACCGGCCGCGCTACCGCTGTACTTTGTCCGTTTTGTCGGGTGGTGCGCGTACGACTGCCGATAGGAAATGTAGCTGGAGGTCGGAATGCGTTGTTAGCAAATCAGTAATCGATCTTGGTTCCCGTCCAGCAAACTGAAGGCAGAGTAGCCCAGGTGAAGACGATGCGGGCATTGTGAGAGCGAACAAGGGCGACTAAACGTACAGATTCGTGCGGTCTCGCCACATAGCGGACGCCAGAGTAGGCCGCAATGGCGCTGCTCAGCCTGGTGTCCTTTGTCGCTCGCTGCGCGGGCCGCTCAGGGTCGCCGTCATGAACGAGAGGTCGCAATTACGGAACAGGACACCATTGGCGTTGGTCGAGCACAAGGTTGCGGCGACGTGGATGTTGTGTGGTCGAGGGAGTCTTTTGGGAAATGTACGTTAGATTAGATGATTTAGTTGTGCCAAGGGCGGAATTGGTTCAGCTCTCTAATACCGGTAAAGATCCCAGGTCTGGCCGGCTTTCAGCTTCGGGTCGCAATTATTAATTAGCAGAAAGCGATTGATTTGTGGTTAATTTGGAAGATAGCCAAGTCAAGCCCTCAACAAAAGACAAGCACGGATACGTAGGGAAGCTCTTGGATCACAAGTCAAGGTGATAGGATGAAAAGGTAAAGTGAGTTGAAGTATGTGGTGGTAGTGGTGGTGTTGGTTGATTATGCCACCCTGTGTAGAGATGCGCCGACTAGCTTGCATTAACTCGCTGATGAAATGGACAGGTATCGCATGCCAGGATGGGAGCCTTTGGCAATGGGGACGGATTGCGTCAGGTCCACGGGTCTTATTCAGTTGTCTGCGGATTGAGCCGCGTGTGGGCCGGGCCAAATCCCAATGGCTCCGTACCGTCGAGGCAACCTGCCTCTAAGAGGGACTCTGTAAGGAACCTTCAGGTACCTACCCAGCTAGGTACCTTGCCTTAGGTACCTTACCTACCTTAGGTTGGCGACGCGGCACTGCTCGACGTCAATTGGTGTGCTGTTCTTTATGCATCCGCCGCTTCAGGGTGTCTTATGTCAGCTTTTTCTACCACTCTGTACTCAATTTAGGTGAAGATGGAATGCAATGGATGAGCAATAGGTAGGTACGGAGTACAAGTGGGCCAGACAGTGGGCGTAATGGGACGCCTGGACACCTGGCACCTTCCAGACCGTCCGTCCAAACCGTCATCCTTTCATTCAGGGGCCTTTCTCTACTATGTAGGTAGGTACTCCGTAGCTTAGGTTCGGTGACACCGCCAAGTGCACAGCGACCCCTGGCACCATAGATTGGCCCATCAGGCTGGGAGACGCGGTGACTTGACACGCTGAGAGATGAAGCTACCGTCCTGGAAAGACGCCCGCTGCCCAATGGTCGAGGCAACCTATGGCTGTCCCGGTCAGCCACAGACTGAGCAGGCGGCCCGTCAGCTTCGACCCTTCGACGCCCGCGGCCCCCCTATCGCCCGACGTTCTCCCCCGGTCTGCCCCATCTCTCCCCACGAGCTGCACACTACAGAAAAGCTCGACCCCCCAAAGGCATCCAGTAGCATCTAATCTGGCCAAGGCTTCCGAATACTTTCGTGAACATCTTCCAACTCCATAACATACGGCCCCATTCGACGTAGACCGCTTCCAGAACCAGTCCCGTATTCTCACAACAAACCATCGTCAACATTCGCCATGGTCAGTTGTCCAAACTCCGAGCTCCGTCCTCTATGCCGCCTTTATGCTACCTCTCGTGAGGTGACCCCGCGACTGAGGGGCTACCGACGCTATTTTCGGCGAGCTGAACTGACACGGCTACCCTCAATCTAGGCTGACTCCCTCACCGAAGAGCAAGTTTCCGAGTTCAAGGAGGCCTTCTCCCTCTTTGTAAGTCACTCCGAGTTCGTCCCGGACGAAGTTCCTTTTCCTCAAAAGGTATTTTCGGATGTGAGCTGACCCATTCATACAGGACAAGGACGGCGATGGTCAGTACCTGGTCCCCCCCTTTCCCTTTCTCTCGACCCCGCGCCAGTACAATTTCGACTCCCGCGACCGCTTCGATACGAGATCAGCATTGGGACATTGTCGAGATTTGATCATGTGGATTTCAGGGCACGGAGCTAAAGAATACGGACAGGACAAATTACAACCAAGGAGCTCGGCACCGTCATGCGCTCCCTGGGACAGAACCCCTCCGAGTCTGAGCTTCAGGACATGATCAACGAGGTTGACGCCGACAACAACGGAACGATCGACTTCCCTGGTAGGTCTACACAATAACCACTGGCAATCACGCACACGAAAGCGACTCGCTGACGAATAATCTGGCAGAGTTCCTCACCATGATGGCCCGCAAGATGAAGGACACCGACTCCGAGGAGGAGATTCGTGAAGCCTTCAAGGTGAGACGAGCTAGTGCAACCCGCACGTAGACAACGCTGACAAGAGAAAGGTCTTTGACCGCGATAACAACGGCTTCATATCCGCCGCCGAGCTTCGCCACGTCATGACTTCAATCGGCGAGAAGCTCACCGACGATGAGGTTGATGAGATGATTCGCGAGGCTGACCAGGACGGCGATGGACGCATTGACTGTAAGAACGCGACATCCGTGTTCACGCTGCTCATTGCTCACGTTGCTAACACACGTTCCCAGACAACGAGTTCGTCCAACTCATGATGCAGAAGTAAGGCGTCAAGTTGGTCGAGCGGCTGTAGGTCGAACCTATTCACGGTGACATTGGCCGCGCAGCATTTGTTCCTTGCGAGAAACGACACGAACGGTCTTCAAAGGGCCAGGCTGGTCAGAAGGTATTCTTTTAGACCGTGGGAGTTGGCATACGAGAATAACCAGCGAAAGGACGAGTTTGATATTCGGACGGTTGAGGGGGGCTCTATGCATTCGTCTCGCTGCCAGCACGCTTGCCTGTTTCATTCCCGTTCTATCACGATGCTTATTTAACGAACACACTCTCCTACACCTACACCGACACAGACACAAGACACATTCTGAATGACACGGGAGTTACGCTTAGAAGGGGGTCTCCTCCAGGGCGGCGAATGCAAAAGTCAATCAACCCGGCGATTTCATCAAGTGCAATTGCGAAGCTTGACGATGCTTATGATTTGGTACCAGGCGCGTGAATGCTGCCATGGCTTCTCCGCGGCGAGCATCACATGCTGAAATATGACGCCAATGACCGCGTTGAGCACTCGCTGGGTGGGCAAAGTAGTCTGTTGCACCCAGGCTGATAATGACAGCGGGCAACAGAGGCACTGTGTAAGCTTGTTCATCAAAGGACGGAGTCATGAAGATGGATAGACGATCACGTTGTGCCACACGTATTATCCATGACCTGGTACATGCTGAGCCAGAGAGCTAGGCCGGCAGAGCAATCTAGCTTGGCAGGGCTGCAGGCACCGCCCCGATCCGCCCCTCTAGATGTTCCAAGTGTGCGTATCGTATAGTGAAGCAAACCTTGAACTGCCATCCGTTGTCGTGACTATCTGCTGCTTAGATGGTCTGGACTATCTTGGTATAGTGCACGTGAGGTTGACAACAAGCTGCACGACGCATCGTCAATGCTGCTTCTAGGGAATTGATATTCAGAGTCTAAGTTGGGACTATGGACTGAATAAAATGTGAACCGGATGTAGCAAGGGAAAGACCGGGTTGGAAGCTCTTCAGGTCTTACAAGACTCGGGAACATGAGGTGTTATCTTGGTGGTGAAGCCCAGGCACACAAGCCAAGATCCCATTAGCTTAGAAACACGGATGCCAGCTAAGCACCTTAAGGTACAGTATCCGTAAGGTAAGGTACTACACGACACGCTGAAGGACCCCTAAAGCCCCCTATCAAAGGTCAATGGCCTTTGAAGTACCACATAATTCGTTTGCGCCTGAAATGTAGGGCCAAGTCCACACGTCGGCCCCACACCTGTGACGGCGCTGCACGGTGCACCTCCAATGCCAGGCCACGGATGCATGTCGCTCAACCCGCCGGGCCTGACATCCTTGGCCCCGTCTATCTGGTCTATTCGTCGGTCCTTAGCAAGTCTACCGGAACACGACCCTCAAAGACCTCCTCGATAATCGCGACTCGCCCTTTCGAGAGCTCTCGACGAGCTTGCAACCCCCTCCGTGCATTTCTCTCCTCCAGGACCCAACTACCTGTCCAAGGCCCTCCGCGGGCCCATTCCCCCGGTCGCCCAACATGAGTTCTTGTATGATGAAGCCCCTCTGTACCTGTGACGGTGGCCTGGAGCTGACCTAGGTGACACTCCAGTGAAGCAGTTCATCCGCAACGTTCGCGCCGCCAAGACCATCGCCGACGAACGAGCCGTTATTCAGAAAGAGAGCGCCTCCATCCGAGCAAGCTTCAGAGAAGAGAGCGGCGACCACAGCGTGAGGTGCGCAATGGATTATGACCCCGAAAGAAAACCCACCACGGATCGGGGCTGACGTTTAATCACTAGGCGGAACAATGTCGCCAAGCTCCTATACCTTTTTACCCTCGGTGAGAGAACACATTTTGGTCAGATCGAATGTCTGAAGCTGCTGGCCTCTCCACGATTTGCCGACAAGCGACTGGGACATCTCGCTACCAGCTTGCTGCTTGACGAAAACCAGGAGGTCTTGACGCTTGTGACAAACTCACTACAGAAGTAAGGCCCGGCAACACATCTTGGCCATTGACACCATAGCTGATATGGAATAGTGATCTCGCCCACTCGAATCAGTATGTCGTCGGTCTGGCCCTTTGCACCCTGGGTAACATCGCCTCCATTGAGATGTCGCGAGACCTGTTCCAGCAAGTCGAAGCCTGCGTCAACACATCGAACCCGTATATTCGAAGGAAGACGGCGCTCTGTGCCATGCGGATATGTCGCAAGGTCCCAGACTTGAAAGAGCACTTCGTCGACAAGGTCAGCAACCTGCTGGCCGACCGAAACCACGGCGTCCAGCTGTGTGGCTTGACCCTGGCAACCAGCTTCTGCGAGGCCGACGAAGAAGAAGATGCGGATGGTGATGAGGACATTGTCGAGAAGTTCAAAATCTTTGTACCGAACCTGGTCAAGACACTGAAGGCTCTCGCAACCTCTGGATATGCTCCCGAGCATGACGTCACAGGTATCAGCGATCCGTTTGTGCAAGTCAAGATCCTCCGCTTCTTGAGGGCCTTGGCTACGGGCGACGCACATGTCAGTGAGCAGATCAACGATATTCTGGCACAGGTTGCGACAAATACGGACTCCTCCAAGAACGTCGGAAACTCCATCTTGTATGAGGCCGTCCTCACGATCCTCGATATCGAGGCGGATTCTGGTCTTCGCGTACTCGGTGTCAATATTCTGGGCAAGTTCCTGTCCAACCGTGATAACAACATCCGTTACGTTGCGCTCAACACTCTTATCAAGGTGGTCGCCATCGAGCCAAACGCTGTCCAGAGACATCGCAACACCATTTTGGAGTGCTTGAGAGACCCGGATATCAGCATCAGGAGGCGAGCGCTCGAACTCAGCTTTACGCTCATCAACGAGAGCAACGTGCGGGTCCTCATTCGGGAGTTGCTTGCATTCTTGGAGGTCGCCGACAATGAGTTCAAGCCTACCATGACCAGTCAAATAGGCATTGCTGCCGACAAATTTGCACCGAACAAGCGCTGGCACGTCGACACAATGTTGCGAGTGTTGACGCTCGCCGGCAATTATGTTAAGGAGCCTATCATGTCATCATTTATCCGACTGGTGGCCACTACCCCTGAACTGCAGACCTACGCCGTTCAGAAGCTTTATATCAACTTGAAGAAGGATATTACGCAGGAGAGTCTTACACAAGCTGGAGCGTGGTGTATCGGCGAGTACGGCGATGCCCTATTGAGAGGTGGGCAATATGAAGAGGAAGAACTGGTTCGTGAGGTTAAGCAGCACGAACTCATCGACTTGTTCACGACTATCCTCAACAGCAACCACGCAACCCAAGTTTCGACCGAGTACATCGTGACGGCGCTCGTTAAGCTCACGACGAGATTGTCGGATCCTGCGCAACTGGATCGCATCCGCCGGCTGCTTGAAGTCCACCAGACAAGTTTGGATGTTGAGGTTCAGCAAAGAGCTGTTGAGTACACCAACTTGTTCTCGTACGACCAAATCCGCTCTGGCGTTCTTGAGAAGATGCCGCCTCCTCAAATCAAGGAGGAATCCCGCGTACTGGGCGCGGCGACCACCACAAAGAAGGCCAAGGCCGCCAACAGGAAATCGAGGGTCGTCAAGCCAACCGAGCAGGATCTCCTATTCGACCTTATGGACACCCCTCCAACAACTACTCCTGCCGCCGGTGGCGCCTCTAACACCGACCTTCTCGCCGACATTCTGGGCGGTACCTCATCGCCCCCTACATCGACATCTCCTGGCCCGCAACAATCCCAGGCAGCCTCTATCATGGACCTCTTCTCCCAAGGTCCTGCCCAGCCCGTGGGCTCTCCTGTACCAGTTATGGGTGGCTCGAACATGGACCTGATGTCTTCCATGTCCGCCGTGGCAACCCCTCCGCCCCAGGCGCAGGCCGCCCCGCAGGCACCCGCAGGCCTTCCTGTCTACGACAACAATGGTCTCAACGTTAGCTTCCAGATCCAGCGCAATGCCGAGGGTCTTGTTCAGGTTATCGGTCGCTTCAGAAACTCAGGCCCCGGTCCTTTGTCGAACGTGGGATTACAAGCAGCTGTTCCCAAGACGCAGAAGCTGCAGCTCATGGCCATTTCGAGCACGGATGTTGGTCCTGGCGCCGAAGCCACCCAGAGAATGATTGTGTCTGGAGCCAAGGGAGTATGTTTCTTCCCCCTCTTTGCTTTTGTACTTTTTTATCAGATTGCTAACTTTCTCGCAGCCGCTGCGACTGCGTCTGAGGATTGGGTACGGGCATTCGTCTGCCGGAGAAGTGATGGACCAGGTGAACTGGACCGAGCCGTCCTGATTTGGCGCATGTTCTCTTCGGGCGGTGGCGTGGACTTGTATGCTTACGATGACAAGGCAAGCGTATTGAAAAATAGAAAGATCTGCGAGGATGAAAGATTGGGGGCAATTAAAAGCACACCGTCGTTGAAACCACCTGCTTCTTACTGAATTTGACCCGTGATGACATAACATATATAGCTCTGGTGTTGACGTAGCAATTTCTACCTATGCGTCGTTGTCGTTGTGTTGTAGTGCTTGGCCAAGTGCGGGACAATGGAATGTACACACTTCACCAAGCTCACCGACCTCGGTGCAGGCATCCACCCATCCATCCATCCATCCCACCTACCTCTGATAGCGGGGCCAACATCAATTCCAGAAATCAGATGTATCAACCGCGTACAAGCTTCCTCGCCATCAAACATAGTCGTTTCCTCATTCGCCCTCCTCAAGCTCGTGCATATACCTACACTTTTCAAAATATGGGCAAGGAGGTGGGGGAAACGTCGACGTCGCATACCGAGCGCACGGCGGCTCAACCCCGGGATTCTGTAGGAAGCCGCCCACCTCCAAGCTGTCATGCTGTCAGCAGTACTTATGTGCTCATGAAGAAAGACAGACATTGCACAGCGTTACACTTGTCAGAGTCAATGCCGTAAACGAAGAAATCCGTCTCTTCCGGCTTGGGGTAAAGGAGGGATCGAGGATTGAGGTACGTTCGGCATCCACAATTTCCTGCCGCCTTCAAAGGATGAGGTTTACATACGCGACTTACATTGCGCGGAAATGTCCCCGCCTCTGGCCGTGGCTCCCGGTTTACCTCTCACTTGGCCAGGCTCTTGATCCGATGTGACTTACTCATTGCGGGAAAACAGTTCCTCCCAGGCCAATGGCTGGACACCTACGTCCCCGGCGTGCCCAAGGCAGGGGGCTTCACCCTCACCAGTCCGCCGTCCAAGGCCGTCCTACCAAGATCCGCGTACCTCGAGCTCGCGGTGCAAAAGTCGCCGACGAACCCGGCCGCCGCTTGGCTCTGGGAACAACCTGTCGACGACGAGAATGAAGACCTCTCCCAGGTAGAGAAGAAACCAGAGATTCAGGTCCGCGTCGGCGGGTCCTTTGTCTGGCCGCCCCCGGGAATTGCTGACTTGGCCTCCCTGCGGCGAATCGTCTTCATTGCAGGCGGCGTCGGTGTGAATCCGCTGATGAGTATCGTGAGTCACCTGGCTGAAGGGGTTGAAGGGAAGGGCGGCTGCCCGTACGATGTCCAGTTCATGTACTCGACAAAGGTGCCGTCGTCGGCGTCGCCGCCAGAAGAGTCTGGCGAGGACAACCTCCTCGATTCCGAAAAGATCCTCTTCATGGAGCGGCTGGCGGCTATTTTCGGCCGGGAAAAAGTCCGTGGCCAGATGAGGTTGTTCCTCACCGGCCTCGGTCCCGGGATCGCATCCGGTGAGCCCGTTCTACATTGCAACGAGATGGACGTCCCGTTCAAGAGGCGCCGTATGGGCCTCGAAGACGTGGCGGAAGCCTTGGGGCCCGAAGCGGAACGCGGTGATGCATTGGTGTACGTCTGCGGGATCCCGTCCATGACTGATGAGTTGGTCGAGAGCCTCACATCGAAGAGCGGGTTGAATCTCAGACCTGAACGGGTTCTGTGTGAGAAGTGGTGGTGATGTAGAGCCTTCGAGAGTTGTCGACACCTTACGAGATTGGTTTGTTCCTCCTCAGGCCTAAATGATAAGGTATAGCTCTGAGGAGTGTACAGGTTCTACTTGTGATGTGTGAAATCGGAATTCTTGTGCAAATGTTTTGGGCAAACCAGTGCAAATACACTGCTCATAGAGGACCTTGGAGTAACTGATAAGCAGAGGGGAAAGTGACAACGACTTTCTGCAGTGTTTGATTTGAGCGTGTTTAGATTTCACGAAGGAAGTCGCTGGTTTCCGTCTTCGTCAACGCCACTGATAAGGTCGCATGGTCTTTCCTCCGGCCAGGCTCGTCGACATCTATTAAAATCAGAAGCAGCATTCTACCTCAATTGAAGATTTATAACGCAATAATCCTGTTTAAACACTTCTGCGTTAGTGGCAACGTATTCAATAATGTTTACCTTGTGACAGACGCATAGTAGCTAGGATAAGACTATTCAATGTCTATGTATATCTGTCTCATCAAGTCAGCATCAAGAAGCCCCTAAACTATATAGAACAAAATAATATCACCATTACATCGATCCTTAGAGCTTGTTTTCCGGTGAGTTATCGCATTTTCCAATGCACCAATAACGGTTCACTTCCGTTTCGGTTCCTTGTTCAGCAAAGCTGTGAATTTCCGTCTACTGAACATAGTGATGTGAGCCTCTCAGTTTTCATGGCTAGGAGCTTCCAACATGTCTTAGAAACATACAGGCCTCTTCTGAATATGATCAGTGAATTGGCCACTGAAGTGCTCCGTTCCTTTCAGCAAACTCGTGCCTATGATCAAAATAGTCCTACAGATAACCCGAATTTGTCTTCTTGAACCCGGAAGTCTCATTGGTCTTCATTCCTCCCTCGAACACTTCACTTGTTGAGATTCAATCTGCCATGCCTGCGACGCAAAGGCGATGGACTCCGCTTGAGCCATTCTCCTTCCGAGACGCTCACGTTGTCAAAGTTATCGACAGTTGACGCCATGCCGGGGTTAGAACCGAGGCGCCTGGGATCTCGAATGGAATAGTCTGAGAAACTCAGACTGCCGATAGACGAACCTCGCAGCCTCATGGCGCTCGCACGCGCTGCTGCAATATAATCTTGCCTCCCAACCCTGTTAAATACCTCCAAGCCACCCGTAGAAGGAGGGCTCATGTCATAGTCGGATGAAGACGCTGGAAGTCCTAGGGGCGGAGATGGGAGAGGACGGCGAGGATGTATCTTAGGGAGCTCTTGAGATAGAGAGGGCAGCGTCACCTGTCTGGCAACTCCAAGCTCAATCTCGTCACAACCACTCGACTCGTCAATGTACGGTAAGAGCGATGGTGTGACTGAAGGTGCCCTCGTCGATTCTAGTGACTGCCTGCTGATCGATGGTTCAAAGTCAGGAAGCATTGGCAGAGGTCGAAGAGGGTCTGACACCTTCCGAATCTCTCGCGCTAGCTTGCTGGGTTGAGGCATCCTGGTCGTTTTCAGGGCCGGAGGAGCGAGCTTGGGTGGTGTTTCAAGGTAGAAGTCTCTCTCGGCAGGCGAATTCTGCCTCTCTCTAATCTTGTTCCGACCTTTGTTACTGTCCTCAAAGACTAGACCGTCAAGGGATTCGAGGCCAAATGGTCTCGGGTGGGTTCGAATATAGCTTCCAGTCTCATTGTGGTTTGGCGTCTTTGGTCTGTCAGGCAAATGTCCACTCTGTGCATCCGAGGCCATCAGTTCCTCATAATGCGCTTCTGAGACCAAGTTCAGCGCCTTCAAGTTTCCCCAAGTGCGGTAGAAGAAGCGGAAAGCGGCGAATGGAGAGTCAACAGGGTCGATAAGGGCCCAGTCGTAGAATGTGAGATCTTGAGGTAACTCCACGAGGCCGCCGGTTGGTGATCTATGTCATGGATCAATTTAGTCGAAGTGTTGGAGTGGATTATGAAAAGGAAATCTTACGTGATCCCGTATTGATCTTGACTGCGAAAGTCATCAAGTTGAGGCGCCCTCCTCCTTCGTCCGTAGGATCGGAAAATCTGAAGGTCGATGAGGCCGCCATCCATGGCAGCGGAGGTCTCGGAGCGCGGTGTGAAGTGAAAGAAACGTTTCTCAATGCCTTCACGCTTATAAGTGACGCCGCACTCTCGATAATGCCACTTGGTATCGGGCTCGTACAGAGCATGACTAACGATCTGGCTCTGGGTGGCTTGCGACTTGATACCCCAAGAAACTACTTGACGACCGTTCATGGTCATTCTGAAGTACAGGAATTTGCTATCCGTGTGAGGTTTGTTGATTGAGTATCTCAAGTGGAACTGGGATCCTGTATAACCTACGTCAATTCTGGCCAATTGGTGTAATGCGCTGAGGAAGCAAGCTAAAGTGGTGACAGACCTGGCGACGAGGGAATGTAGACGGATGTCGTCGGTCTGCACTTCTCTGGCGTTGACGTGAAGCTGGAAGCCGTGGTCGACATCGGGCTTGCTGCATGATGACCCCGAAGTCGGACAGAGGAGGACTCGGGGTGAGGGAGCTCGGGCAACCCCTCCATGTTGGGACCGGGCACGATCGAGACGTCGATGCCCCTGAAGCTAGGCATTGTGTCTGTGTTGCTGACGATTGGTTATGCTTGGGCGAACGAGTTCGACGAGGTCTCCCATGGAACTAGCCAAGTTTGCAGAACAACACTTGAGGGAAAGGAAGGGAATGGTGATTAGTGGTAGCTATGAGGGTAGTCGAGGGGACGTGGAAGCAGTAGTTTGATCGGGTTGGTATTTTGGGAATATACGCCTGGAAACTGGTAGGTGAGGTAGGAGTGAAGCGTATTGAAAGTTTGGACTGAGTGCGAATCGTCGACTGCGTCGGTTTTTCTTCAGGGCAGGTGCGGCTCCTGGTGAATTGTAGTCTGCACCTTCCCTCAGTACGTATACAAGCTACCTTGCTCTGGCCGCCTGCTCCTGCCGCCGTTCTTCGCAAATTTTGCCGATAAGGTTAAGCTCCATACTTAGGTACGTTGGCGATTGCTTCCCTTTCGTTTACCTACATACGCAGACTTCTCAGATGGCGTATGGGAAGCCCACCGCTTTGAGGTTAGTAACAACATAACACCGCCACAACCACCACAACCATACATATGTTCGGTGACTCCTCAACGCATTCAAATCTTCTAATGCAGGAGATGTGTCTCGTCTCAGGTGAGACTGGCACCTCTTTAGATCCCCGAACAGCACGCAAGCGATCCACCTCCATGCACTGAAAAGAAAACTAGTGTTGATCATTTGGTGCTTGCAAAAGCTACCTATTCGGTTCGCGCCATGTACATGTTTGTCTCGCCCCTCTCGAGCCCGGCTCTAACTTTATCTCGTTCAACTCGACCCCGTTACGACCTTCGTGTCGTCCTCCTTGCCGAGTAGCCCTAGGTTGCGTATTTGCCCCGCGCTCGGTGCGTTGTCTCGTGCACTGGCAGACTCAGCCTTTCGGTAGGCAGCCTGGAGCGCTCTCGTTCTCGCAGCCTATATGTGTTCGTGTCACTGGTTAGTGATCGGTCCTCTGGTGATAGGTATGCCGGGGTTGAGGGTTCGAGGGATTGAGGGATCGAGGGGTCTGACAGACCTCCTTCTTGTGGTGCAGGCACTCGTAGTAGTCCTCCAGAGCCAATCCGCACTTCTTCTTCTCTGAGTGATCCTCGCCGTTGGTGTTGACGACATAGCAGCCAAGAAGCTCCTGCCAGTAGGGGAAGCACCGCGATGGGCCTAGCCGGCGTCACAGAATCAGTACGGCATCAATGGCGACGGGAATGGGCAATTACCTCCGTGAAGTCCGTATCCAGAGGCCATTGTGGATATACAAGCGCCGATTGGTGGGTTGGTGAAGCTTCAAGTCGTCGGGTACTGTCGTGGAGACGCAATCGCGAAGTCGAAAGTCTGGAAGGTGGTTGTGCCAATGGAAGAGTCCGCGGCTGTCTGGCAAATATTGTCCTATCAGAAGGTACTTGATTCCAATAGCACTTCCGCCGGGACTGTGAGTTCTCGGGGCTAGCGCGCGTCTATTCCTCCCTGGATTGACCCGCTTGCTTGCCAATCAGAGCACCTGGCACTCAATCCACTCAGCACCTCAGGCAAGGTACCTTCTTTGGTATCTGATGACGAAAGCTAAGTGCATGCACCCCAAGTCCCCAACTGAACACGCTTCGGGGAGTTGGACCTTGATGCCCGTGCCTGTGCCCACTTGCACTTGTGCTTGCACCTGTCGACTTGTCCAGCGCTCCGATATACCGACATCGGTTCGCGATAGCTCCTCTGACCAGCTGAGTCCAGCGCTTCATGGTCAGCTCGCAGTAAAAGTTCCCGACAACACACTAGACTGGATATGCCTCGGACCCTTGCAGAATGAGCCTCGTCCTGTCCCCGCCGAAGCTTGTGCTTTTGGCTGTCCACTTAGCCATCCACGCCGATATTGAAAGCCTGGCCTTTCTTGCCTCTCGACATGCTACTGTCCTACGCAAGGACCTCGTTCTGCGCGTCCTCTTGACCTATCTGCCCGAGACAGTTAGTTCTAGCGATTACCTTTCCTTTTTGGAGGAGCTTTCGACTGGCGAATTCATCGACCGCGAAGCTGAGAACATCGACCACTCTATCGTCGAGAACTTGTCGGACGAAGACGCTGCGAGAAAGGTTCGCAAACTCCACTTGCTACCGTTAGCTAGGAAGGATATCACGGTCGAAACCGACGACGATCCATTGACTTTATTCCTCCTCCACCGAGCACACCGTGTCGACGAAGAGGCCGGCCTGCTCAACCAGCTTCCCGAATTACTTGGCCCTTTTATACAATATGCTCCAGGTATCCGGGTCTGGATGGTCTCAACCTTGTTGCCACTGCTAAGGAGGAATTACGAATACTACCCGACGGAAAGCGTGCCCTATACGTTGGCCGAGTTTCAGAGTCTCCCAGATGGCGCCGCCGTTGATGCTCTTTTGTCCCAGACGGGCGCGCAGCCAAAGGATTATAATTTGATCGGGAGAGATCTCAGAGGCATGCTTGTGCCCTGGTTGCATGACGACGCGCGGTGGAAACCCTTAGACAAGACTGAATCGACAGAGGAGGGCATTTACAGTGCGGGATGGGAACGTTTCCTCGAATGGCTTCTTTCCAAGAGCTCGAGCTCCTGGAGAGTGGCTGTTGCTGCCGTTGAGCAATGGGGAGGTGCTGTAGACGTAGATCTGGGAGAGCATGATGTTGTGTGGCTCAGTGAGCAGCAACAGCAGCATCTCGATCGCCGCTATGCACGAGGAATCATGGCGTGCGCTTATCTGGTACCAGAGGCCAGCGTAGAAGCGCTCGAAGGAGCACACCAAATGTTGAGGAAGGTCATGGACCTGCTAGGTCAGGATGATATGATGTCACTTCGCGAGGGTACAGATACGTTATCTGCTGTTGCGTATCTGGAAGGTGATGGGATCCTGAACCACAAGAACACTGCCTTTATGCGAGACGACCTGCTCAAGGATTCGAACCCTCTCACCAAGCCGTCTCGAAAGTCAACACACCTTCTCCATGGCCTGATCCTCAGCGCATTCATACTGACGCAATGTGGACTACCTTGCACTATTAAGAGAGCTGGAGACTTGGCGTTCATCCAAGATGAAAGAGACCAGAAGGCCGAGGTGATTCAGCTGATACATACATTAGCAGAGAACGCTCCTAAGAACGACGAAACATATTGGGTCAAGAGACGAAAGGAAGTTCTCTGGCTCCGAGACTGGGGCATTGCCCCCACGCCAGAGGGCAAGGTGATGGGAATATTCGCCAAGGTCAAGCCGGAAGTTATCGAGACTGAGATCTTGAGAGCACTCCTGTCCAGTACACGTATGTGTACCATACACAATCCATGACTCTACTTTACTAACCATGGCCAGGATATTCGCTCGCAAGGTCCCTATACGAGGACGCCACCGACAAGCCGCTGTCGCCGCAAATAGTGCAGGAGACCGTCGTAGCTGCTGCGCTCAACGCGTACGACAATGCGTCGAACCCAAGCCGCGCGAGGGGCGGCCTCAAGAAATGTGACGAGATGTGAGTAGGAAAACCCATATCACGACGGACTCCCGCTAATAATTTCACAGTATCAATGCCTTCCCTCAAACGATTCACAAGTCCGTCCCTGAGCGGCGCCGTATCGACTCCTTGCTGAAAGCAACGCATGCCCTCAGCGAATACCGGCTGGTCCTGAGGCAAGGCGAACCCTTCAGTCCCATCGTGTTGCGTGTTCACTCAGATCCCGTTTCCATCATTGGTAAGGTTCTAGAGCAGAACCCGAAGAGCTACACTCGCATTCATGACCTCTTGGACGTGGGCACCAACATGGTTCGCGCCGGACTCGTGGACCGCAATAACAAGGTCGCCGCAGCTACAGCTCAAGCCGAAGAGAATGGGCAGCAAATCGATGCTGCGACACAACGCATCACAGCCATGTGTATCGAAGCAGCCTTGAAAGAAGACGACTTTGAGACGGCGTACTCATATATCGTCAACCGGCTCAGCGGCGGAGTGGACGCATCAATGGGTTCCACGGTAAAAGTCGACGACGACTGGTCCTGGAGGGCTGCTCTGCAGGCCGGGCAGTACATCAGGAGTGCCCGAACAGTACGCCCGACACACCTGGGCAACGCCAGCGGGAATCCCGACATCAGGCACCTAGAACAGCGCATCGACTGCCTCGCCACGGCCCTGAGGATTGCGCCTCCCTCGCAGCTACAGGAGATCCTCAAAACCTTCCGCCGCTGCGAGGAGCAGCTTGACTCAGCCATCAAGGAAGACGCTGCTCGCGAAGAGGACCTGGGCACTGCCGAGCACTCTGTCATGCCCGGCGGCTTCGACGCAGCCCCCGCGGCGGTGCGATCTCACCGGTCGTCAGGCGAACGGCAGGCCCACCCATCAGCCGCGGTTGCGAGCAAGGCCGGAGATGACGCCCCCATGTCGCTGTTCGACCTCTCGCGTGCAACGGCCCGCGCGGCGACTCGCAACTTCACTGCGCTCTCGACTCTACAGCAATCTGCCGGTGGTGGCGCCGCTGCTGCCGCCGCTGCGGCTCCTGCGCCGGGTTCATCAGGCTCGGCGCCTGACGGCGAATGGGATGGGCATGATGACCACCCCAGGGCGAGGAAGCGCGATCAGTTACGCGAGGCGGCCATGGGCACGTTAACGTCAGGCGTTGGCTGGCTTATTGGTGCGCCTGCGCCTGCGCCCAACCAGTCACAGGCACCAAGAAACGACTGAGGCTGAGTACCCGAGTTGAAGATCATGTGTTCGCAGCAGTAGTCACGACTAAATGATGAATGATTCCCCAAACTTCTGGACGACTGGTGGAGCGCCATGGACTGTACAGTTCCTTTTGATGACTTTGTGTTATATTATGTACCAAGCTATGATATTGCCTATCTGGTTTGTGCTGTTAATTACCATTCGGGTGCAAGTTGTGTAGCAATTATTCTTCCCAGCGGGATGACGTGAAAGACCGGGCAACCCCTTGGGAGTTCCATATTAATAGAGAGGTGAGAGACTCTCAACGATTTGCCTGGTCCAAGTAAATTATGCTCGTGCCTCTTACGTTCGACGTTGAACGCTATTTTGACGCAGATGACGAAGGCCTCGGATCTCTGTTCGCCGCAGGCTGTCAGATACAGCAGACCTCATCAAAGGTTGAGCCACGATGCGTTTGAGCAACTTCTTTGCGGCAGTAGGGAAAGCCCTGTCAGAAGCCGTGTGGGAAATGGAGAAAATATTTCCAAACCAACACGCGAAAGGCAAACCCCGCGCCGTGACTGAGACAGCAGACAACTAGATGGGGTAGGCCTAAAAGTTGGGCTGCACCGCGCGTTGGGACTTAGGCTGGTCGCCCGCGAAAAATCGGAAAAGCTGGCGGAAAAAGGAAGTAGAGTAAGTGGCGAAGCAAACGTGGGAGATGGACGCCAAGGCTATGTCAGGCATCCACATTCCAAGCGGAACGAATTTTCACTGTGAAAGCGATGTGTTTGCTAAAGCGTCAGTTTAGTTCAGTGCATTTGGGGGGAGATACCTTTGAAACAAGTTTTGTGCTTTGTTATCACATATGCCATGTGACGCTCTAAACACGGCCAAGAAGCGCTGGAGGTGGGTGATCAGAATAACGCGGCGAAGCAAGGGCCACGACTTCGTTGAATCCCGTACCACTGATTTGTGCTGACATGACGATGAAATGAACAATAGAGGGTGTGGATGGCGGGAAAAGAGGCGTTTCATTTACGATATGAGGGTTGAATTTGAATAGTGGCGTTCAGGCGGCACAGTTACGTTTTAGTTGAATTAAGGGACGTGGTTGTCATTCATGTTGCATTGCTGGTCAACATCTTATCATGCTGAAAATTGCATCGAAAGAGCCATGTCGGATTTGCGAAGCCGTCTCAAACTCGACTGAACCCCGATGTGGGACGCGATAGATAATGGTACAAGGTGGAAAGTGCTGCGTAGAAACAATCGTGGACCGCCGCAGGCCCACGATGTGGTGTAACGAAAGTGCTGGTCCACGAGGGGGAAGTGACTGTCACTCTGGCCAAAGCCTGTCGATGCCTGCCGTTTTTTTGCCGTGTTGATTGTTTGCCATAGCTACCATAGAGACCGCCAAACATTCGTCGACTGCAGAGACCGAGTTAAGAAACAGCACCCAAATAAAAGGCAGCTGGTTCTCGCCTACAGTCATTGTTACCGAGAAACCGAGGTTAAGAAGCCGTGAACCACGCAGGCCGAAAAATCCCCATTTTGTGATCCATCCCATACTAGTTGTAGTGCACAAGAACTT